CAGAATCATGATAATGGACGGCGCATGAGACAAGGAAAAGGTTGTGCCAAGCTGCCACCTGCTCTTCACACTCCTTTGAAGTTGACTATTTATACAGGGATGTGACGAGGATTGGGTGACATTTCAGAAAGCGCCTTCCACAACAGAATTGCATGTATTTCTCGTGATGTGTTTGTGGAAGGCGAGGGCAGCCTCCTTGGGCTCAATTCCAGAGGGAGCACGCGAGGCACGTGTTCAAACCGTGGGGAGAACTTTAACCTCAAAGGGGTCATGTCCTTACAACTGAACACAGGGACGGATCATGATCAGCAAATATCCAGAGTGAGGAGGAATCCCTGGTGAGGCTCCCTTACCCCATCCTGATGCAAGTGTAACAGGGCCCCTTTCAGCACTCTGACATATTTCCTGGCCCCAATCACATTGTAATTATAGGGGAAACAGCCTAAAATAGGTCCTATCAGAATCATGGTGCCTTAAGCAAGACCTATCCTGGAGACACTTGGCAGCTGAATCTGTCACCAGAGGGCACACTGGATGATCATGCTGCTCCCTGGCAAACTGCCCCGTTTGACAGCATTGGAAATGCTCAGCAGAAGTCCGGTTTGGAAGAGATAACTGAGCAAGGGAAAGCTACAACTCCCAAAATGTTCTCCATCAGGATAGGAGGTGCAATCCCCCAACAGTATATTTTCCAAACTCTAGATCAGTGGTTCTCAACCTTCCTAATGGTGTGACACCTTAATACAGTTGTGGTGACCCATAACCATAACATTATTTAAACCAGTAGGGTCTGATAAGAAAATATGTGGGAGAATGCAGAGCCAGACTATCTTCCTAGATGGTTCTTAGAGGCTAAGTCAGGCATGGGCAAATTTTGGCCCTCCAGGAGTTTTAGACTTCAACTCCCACAATTCCTAACAGCCATTAGGAATTGTGGGAGTTGAAGTCCAAAACACCAGGAGGGCCAAAGTTTATCCATCCCTGGGCTAAGTCATTTTTCTAAAAGAATGACACAACTTTGAACACAAAGGCCTACACCAGTATTTCTCAACCTTCCTAATGCCGCAACTCCTTAATACAGTTCCTCATGTTATGGTGACCCCAACCATAAAATTATTTTGTTGCTACTTCAGAACTGTAATTTTGCTACTGTTATGAATTGTAATGTAAATATCTGATATGCAGGATGTGTTTTCATTCACTGGACCAAATTTGGCACAAATACCCGATACTCCCAAATTTGAATACTGGTGGGGTTGGGGCGGATTGATTTTGTCATTTGGGAGCTGTAGTTGCTGGGATTTATCATTAACCTACAATCAAAGAGCATTCTGAACTCCACCAACAGTGGAATCGAACCAAACTTGGCACACCGAACTCCCATGACCAACAGAAAATACTGGAAGGGTTTGGTGGGCATTGATTTTTGGAGTTGTAGTTCACCTACATCCAGAAAGCACTCTGGACTCAAACAATTATGGGTCTGGACCAAACTTCGTACAAATACTCCATATGCCCAAATGTGAACACTGGTGGGAGTTTAGGGAAAATAGACCTTGACATTTGGGAGTTGTAGTTCCTGGGATTTATAGTACACCTAAAATCAAAGAGCATTCTGAACCTCACCAATGATAGAATTGGGCCTAACTTTCCACACAGAACCCCCATGACCAACAGAAAATGCTGTGTTTTCCTATGGTCTTTTGACTACCCCTCTGACATCCCCTCATGACCCTCCCCCAGGTTGCGAAACACTGCTCTAGAATAAAAAGTTAAACCCCTCCCTTAGACCCTCTGTAGGTGTTCATAATCTGAGATTACTAACATACAAGTGGAGGAGCCAAGCTAAGGCTGTCTCTGTCAGAAATATTAAAAATTAACTAGATATTTTAATTACAAAAATGTGTGTCAAGCACTGAAAGGATTAAATGGATGTAATCACTCAGAAAAAGCAGCAGTTCTATATAAGCAGGTGTGCCTGTAGCTTAGTAGACGTCAGTTTGAGGTAAACCTCAGTGGGAGAAAGGTCTCAGTCTGTGAGAAGGCTTCACAGTGTGAGGTAGGCCTCAGTCTGTGAGAAGCTTCAGTGAGAGGAAGCCCTAGATTGAAAGCTTCGTGTGTAAAGGCTCATGCGTAAAGCTTCAGTATAAAGGCTGCTGCGTGTAAAAAGTTACTCTGTGAAGCTCCAGTATAAGTTCGTTGTGAGAAGAGGCTCTCTGAGAGCGAAGCTGTTTATCTGCATGAGGAAGAAGCCCAGCATGGAAGCAAAGAAGGAAGTATAAAGGATTTTATTAGTGTTGTGGAAACTTTGTTCTTGTGAATAGTGCAACTATATTATTTTACTACAAAGAAAAGCCTCCTATGGAAGAGATAACATTGGTCTGTGTGTTTTTGTTCTTTTTATCACTTTGGGCTACCAGTGCTGGGTCACGCCGCTGCTAATAAGTTACTCTGCTGTATATTTATGGGAAGGGTCTTTTGTTAATAAGCCCACTCGCCCAACAGTCTCCAGGTGGTGAGCAACTTTCTGAGGATAGCCTATCCATGCGCGTTCTCTATGTAATTTTGGGTTTGTGTTCTGTTTTGTTTTGGTTTTTTTTTTTTTGGACTGCAAATTGTGCAGAGACCTTCCACCGACAAAGGATGCAATTACACTTAACACCACTTTAACTGGCATGGCTCAACGCACTGCAAAAGAACAAGTTGTAAGGATCACCGTATATGCAAGCAATAAACATATATAATTTAGTATCCCATCACATTCTCTCTGTGGTCAAGAAAGAGAACTGAACAGTAGGGGTGTATTTACCCCGCTCAATGCTATGTAATTATGGGAGTTGTCATTTTACAAGGGCCATAAGATTCTCTGTTAGATGATGTCTAATCAAACATTCAGTCCCAAGATTCCATAATATTGACCCATGGCAATTAAAGTGGTGTCAAACTGCATTAATTTTACAGTGCAGATGAAACCAGAGAGGGGTTTTTCCTTCTAGAAAAAGCACCCATCAAGTAGACAGGGTGACTGAAATGTAAATAAGAAGGCAGACATAGGGCCCTAAGCCCTATATCCTAGGATCTGATCCGAGGTTTTCTGTTTATCCCAGATTATCTGCCGGTGGGGACTCATATAATCCAGTTTAAAGAAAAAAACTCCGGTTCAGATCCTGGGATATTGGGACTGCATGGAAGGCCCCATAGTATACTTCTCTTCCCTGTGAGTTAAATATACAGTCAGCCCTCCGTATCCACAAGTTCAGCCATCCATGGATTGAAGGGGTTTTTTTAATCCCTAAAGCAAACCTTGATTTTTTTTTGTCTTTTTATATAAGGAATACCTTTTTACTTTGCCATTATACATAATGGGTCTTAAGTATCCATTAATATTGCAATTACAAGGAGTTCTGGAACTACTCCACAGTGGATACCAAGAGTCCACTGTATATCAGACATAAAACTAAGAAATCCTGGCTCCCATAATCTTTTGCTCCCAACATTTAACTTTCATTTGCACAGAAAATTAAGAATCTCAGCTGCTAAGAATGCTCTGGCTCCATCTGGTTCCCTCAACTAGCTGCACCCAACACTCCTGTTCTCCAGGAACCAGTCTTTCCCTGTTCTAAACCAGTAAGGTCTGATAAGAAAACATGTGGGAGAATGCAGACCCAGACCATCTTCCTAAATGGTTCTTGGAGGCTAAGTTAGGCATGGGACACAACTTTGAGCACAAAGACTGACACCGGTGTTTCTCAACCTTCCTAATGCCGCAACCCCTTATTTATTTATTTATTTATTTTATTTTGGGCATTTTTACCCCGGCCTTCTCAACCTCCTAGGGGGACTCAGGGCGGCTTCCAGCCGGCACATACCCTTAATATAGTTCCTCATGTTGTGGTGACCCCCAACCATAAAATTATTTTTATTGCTGTAAATTTAAACTGTAAATTAACTACTGTTATGAATTGTAATGTAAATATCTGATATGCAGGGTGTCTTTTCATTCACTGGACCAAATCTGGCACAAACACACAATATGCCCAAATGTCCACATCCATCATTGTTTGAGTCCACAGTGCTCTCAACCCCTTCCATTATTTTCTGTTGGAGTTCTGTGTGCCAAGTTTGGTTCAATTCCATCGTTGGCGGAGTTCAGAGTGCTCTTTGATTGTAGGTAAACTACAAATCCCAGCAACAACAACTCCCAAATGACAAAATCAATTTTTTGAATGATGATCACTCGTTGGCCTGATAGGCATATTGTGTCCAAATCTGGTGTCAATTTGCCCAGTGGTTTTTGAGTTATGTTAATCCCACAAACGAACATTACATTTTTATTTTTATAGACTAGCTGTACCCTGCCACACGTTGCTGTGGCCCAGTCTGTGTATATGTGTTTTGTGTGTATATATAGATATATATGTATATATGTATGTTTGTGTATATATGTGGGTTGCGCATGCATTGTAATGTGTTCTTTTTTTGCTTTCTAAGTCATTTTCACTAGGATTTTCAGTGTTTTTATGAGTGATGGTCACTTGTTGGCCTGAGGGGTGTATTGTGTCCAAATTTGGTGTCAATTCGCCCAGTGGTTTTTGAGTTATGTTAATCCCACAAACGAACATTACATTTTTATTAATATAGATGCTGGGGAAAATGGAAGGAAAAAGGAAGAGGGGCCGACCAAGGGCAAGATGGATGGTATCCTTGAAGTGACCGGCTTGACCTTGAAGGTGCTGGGGTGGTGACGGTCGACAGAGAGCTCTGGCGTGGGCTGGTTCATGAGGTCACGAAGAGTTGGAAGCGACTGAACAAATAAACAACAACAACACTGGAAATCTGGGATTTGTGAAATATTTACTCTTCTATACCACCGCAAACTACAAACCTCAGGATTCCATATTGTGGAGCTATGGCAGTTAAATCGGTATCAAGCTGCAATAATCCTTTAGTGTGGAATGTCTCCAAGAAAATACTTTTTTGGACCTGAAATCGCAACCTACCTTTATTGGCCACCTCCCAAGCCACCTCAAAGAGGACAGCATTCTCCAAGTCAAGTTCATCGTCCCAGTCCTCTAAGCCCGTCAGGGAGGTCACCGAGAGGCTGCGGGCCAGTGGCATGGCAAGGCTGAAGACAGCAGAGGTAAGGCAGGGATGGGGAGGTCAGCGGCTCAGGATTTTGCCTGGAGAAAGAGGAAAGTGAATCATTCCAAAAGCTGTGACATTCCCCAGAATCACTATGCTAGGTTGGAATATCAGACACCCCTGGGGCCTTTGCTCCAAGCTATCTTGTCTCATGGAAATAAAATGCCATTCTCCTTAGCATACCTCCAGTCCTTTTCTTCTCCCTTCCAATCCTCAAAATACTTGTAGGATTACATTCTACTGGGTCAGAAATCCCAGAATTCCATTGTGGTCAAGGCAGCCCCAAATTGCTCTAATTTTGCAGTGTGGATTCAGCCTTAGGCTGCTGTTTTATATTCCTATGTTTTATTTAATTGTGTGTTCACCCGGATTGTTATATTTTATTATGCTCATATTTTAATTGTGTTTTTGCCTTAATAGATTGTTTTGTATTTATGTCTTGTGGCTATTTTGTCCCATATGTAAGCCGACCCAAGTCCCTTCGGGAATAAAGTTATTATAAGTTGGGTTGTTGCATGTTTTCTGGGCTATATAATAATAATAATAATAATAATAATAATAATAATAATAATAATCTTTATTTATACTCCGCCACCATCTCCCTGATGGGGACTCGGAGCGGCTTACATGGGGCCAAGCCCGGACAACATATTACAGCAAAAATAATAAACAACAAGCAACATTATCAAAATTACATGAGAAAAAGAAAAGAAATGGCCATGCTCCAGAAGAATTATCTCTTGATATTTCACCTGCATCTATGGCAGGCATCCTCGGAGATTATGAGGTCTTATAAAATTATTATCTACACTGTCAAGCAAGCAAGGGTCCAAAAGTGGCAGGCTAAAACCCAGAACCTCAATCCATGGCTAATACCAAATGAGAGACACCCTTCTGGGCACACACAAGACTGGGCAACTTGGAAAGCACTGAACAGCTTGCGCTCCAGCACTACAAAGTGGAGTCCACAACATGTAAGTGTAGAGAAGAGCAAACCACAGACCACCCATTACAATGCAACCTGAGCCCCGCCACATGCACAATGGAGGACTTTCTTATAGCAACACCAGAGGCACTCCAAGTGGCCAGCTTCTGGTCAAAAGATATTTAATATAATGCCAAGTTTTCAAAGTTTGTGGGGGGGGGGGTTTGTGTTTGTTTTTAAAAATACATTACAACTGTACCCTTGGTTCGCTCCTGATACGATAAATAAAAAAATAAATAAAATATATACCGTCGTATAACCCAGTTTCAGAAAAGTTAATTGCATTTAACTGGATTATATGAGTCCACACTGCCATGTAATGCAGACCAATGCAGTTAATCTGCATTCTGAAATTGGATTGTATGGAAGTGTAGGTTCAGCCCCAATGCAATGGTGGTTAAAAAGATTCTGTGGCCCCTTCTACACTGACATATAAAATCCAGATCATCTGCTTTGTACTGGGTTATATGGCAGTGTAGACTCATATTATCCAGTTCAAAGCAGTTAATGTAGATTTTCTTATTGTGTCAGAGTGAATTGAGAATATACTGCAAGTCACTTCTGGTGGGAAAGAATAGGCCGTCTGCAAGAACATTGCCCAGGGGACGCCAGATGTGTTACCATCCTGTGGGAGGCTTCTCTCATGTCCCCGCATGGGAAGCTGGGGCTGACAGAGAGAGAATCCGTGCTAATGAGTGCCGGTGACTCATCAAACTACAGAATTCAATATCATTGAGACATGGCAGTTGAACCGCTGTCAAACTGCACTAACTCTACAGTGCGGATGCATCCTGTCAACATCCTTCCAGCTTTCTCCTTTTCCCTTCTCAGCTCCCAGTGGTGCATTGGGTTAAACCCTTGTGCTGGCAGGACTGCTGACCAGAAGGTTGAATCTGGGCAGTTGGCAGTTTGAATCCAGGGAGTGGGGTGAGCTCCCACTTGTCAGCTCCAGCTTCTCACACGGGAACACAAGAGAAGCCTACCACAGGATGGTAAAACATCTGGGCATCCCTTGGGTTACGTCCTTGCTGACGGCCAATTCTCTCACACCAGAAGCGACTTGCAGTTTCTCAAGTCGCTCCTGATATTAAAAAAAATCTTCAAAACACTTGGAAAATATTGATTCAAGCTTTTTCTTCCAGCCCACAATTATACTCCAATCTTTCCCTGTCTTCCAGAAAACCCTGGAGTCTTCTTTCTCTCTCCCCCCCCCCCCCCCACCCTTTCCATCTTTTTGGAAGATAACACTTAAGTCTTGAGTAGCAGCAACAGCTGTGGTTGGGAAGATGAGGAGGAGGAGGAGAAGGGTAAAGGGAGATAATATGCAACACAACCTGAAGATTTCCAAACATCAAATGACAGAAATCAAAAATGAGAAGGATAAAATTGGAAGGATAAAGTGGGAATGCAGGTCTCTATATTATTTTTTTAATAGAGGAAGAACTGATTTGGGTTATGGATCCAGAGAAAAGAAGTAAATAGTAAAGTTCCTGCAAAAAGAGAAGGAGATAGGGCGAATATAAAGCTATATCACAGGCATGGGCAAACTTGGGCCCTCCAGGTGTTTTGGACTTCAACTCCCACAATTCCTAACAGCCGGTAGGCTGTTAGGAATTGTGGGAGTTGAAGTCCAAAACACCTGGAGGGCCCAAGTTTGCCCATGCCTGAGTTATCTGGAGCAAATCAAATATATTAAATATGGTACTTTATGGAAAACTATTAGAAGATATAAATATTTAAAATAAAATAAATAAATAAGAGGGAAGGGATAAGGGAAATACATTTTGGAGAAGTGCAGCATTAAAATCTAAAATTTTATGGGAAATGGGTGGAAGAGGAAAGGGAGGAAATGGACCTGGGAGGCTTTAAAGAGTTAGGAATGGTGCATTGCAGAATTAGAAAGGCAGGAGAATCCGGATTCATTGAGAAGTCCGGTTGCACTTACCTCTCTGCAGCTGAGAACAAAACTAGGCTCTCAGTTTGCACTCCCCACCAGCCCCAGGCTCACAGGCCCCGCCCACTCAAGGGGCGTGGCCTAGAGGAAACCCACTCCCCTCCCTCCCCCCCTCCCTCCCCATCTTCTTCCCATTAGGTGAGCAGGGCTTTCTCTTTTCCTCCATTTCCCTCCCTTATTGGCTCTCCTTCTTGATTGGCTGGAGGGAATGAATAACTCCCATAAAGCATTATTGCTAGGAGTCAGATCAGGAAGGGAAAAGCAAAAGGAAGGAGGAGGAGGTTGCTGCAAGGTCTTAAAGGGGAACTATCAGGTGCAATTTCCAGGAAGGAAGATGGGGTTTTGGGGGGAGGAGTGGAGGACAGAAGAACGGTGTAATAATAATAATAATAACAACAATTTAAAGATCAAACTGCAAAGACTCTGGCACAAGCCAGTAAAGGTGATCCCAGTGGTGATCGGCACACTGGGTGCAGTGCCTAAAGACCTTGGCCTGCACTTAAACACAATCGGCGCTGACAAGATTATCATCTACCAGCTGCAGAAGGCCACCTTATTGGGATCTGCATGCATTATTCGGCGATACATCACACAGTCCTAGACACTTGGGAAGTGTCTGATGTGTGATCCAATACAACAACCAGCAGAGTGTCTGCTGTGGACTCATCTTATTGTGTTTCTAATAATAATATAGATCTTGTTTTCTGTGACATACTGTGATTTTTGTGTCAGCAACATAATAATAAATAATAATATTTAATAATAATAAAGATCAAACTGCAAAGACTCTGGCATAAGCCAGTCAAGGTGGTCCCAGTGGTGATCAGCACACTGGGTGCAGTGCCTAAAGACCTTGGCCTGCACTTAAACACAATCGGCACTGATAAAATTACCATCCGCCAGTTGCAGATGGCCACCTTACTGGGATCTGCACGCATTATTCGCCGATACATCACACAGTCCTAGATACTTGGGAAGTGTCCGATGTGTGATCCAATACAACAACCAGCAGAGTGTCTGCTGTGGACTCATCTTGTTGTGTTTCTAACAATAATATAGATCTCGTTTGCTGTGACATACTGTGTTTTTATGTCAGTAACATAATAATAATAATAATAATAATAATAATAATAATAAATAAATAAATAAATAAATCGAACTGCAAGGACTCTGGCACAAGCCAGTCAAGGTGGTCCCAGTGGTGATCGGCACACTGGGTGCAGTGCCTAAAGACCTTGGCCTGCACTTAAATACAATCGGCACTGACAAAATTACCATCCGCCAGCTGCAAAAGGCCACCTTACTGGGATCTGCATGCATTATTTGCCGATACATCACACAGTCCTAGACACTTGGGAAGTGTCCGACGTGTGGTCCAATACAACAACTAGCAGAGTGTCTGCCGTGGACTCATCTTGTTGTGTTTCAAATAATAATAATAATAAACTGCTTCAAGTGCAAAAGACAAAGAGTGAATACCGTAAAAACACAATGTAGATCAGAAGAGAAAACTGGCAAAAGAAGGCTCTCTATGGACAGTTCCTGGAAAAAACTGAGAGCCAAACTGACAAAGAAAAAACATGGCTGCAGAAGGCCACCTTACTGGGATCTGCATGCATTATTCGCCAATACATCACACAGTCCTAGACACTTGGGAAGTGTCCGACGTGATCCAATACAACAGCCAAGCAGAGTGATCTTGTTTGCTGTGGACTCATTTTGTGGTGTTTCAAATAATAATAATAATAAATCACACAGTCCTAGATGCTTGGGAAGTGTTCGACTTGTGATTTTGTGATACGAAATCCAGCATATATATCTTGTGTGGTACTGTGTTTTTGTGTCAGAATAATAATAATAATAATAATAATAATAATAATAATAATAATAATAATGTATTGCTGAAGGCTTTCATGGCCGGAATCACTGTTTTGTTGTGAGTTTTCTGGGCTATATGGCCATGTTCCAGAAGCATTCTCTCCTGATGTTTGGCCTGCATCTATGACAGGCATCCTCAGAGGTTGTGTGGTCTGTTGGAAACAAGGAAAATTATATCTGTGGAATGTCCAGGATTGGAGAAAGAACTCTTGTCTGATGAAGCTAGCTGTGAATGTTTCAGTTGGCCACCTTGATTAGCATTTGATGGCCTGACAATTTTTAGGGGTGGCTTGTTGCTGCCTGGGGAAATCCTTTGTTGAGAGGTGATTAGCTGTCCCTGATTGTTTCTTGTCTGGAATTCCCCTGTGTTTGAGTGTTGTTCTTTATTTACTGTTAGAATTTTAGAGTTTTTAAATTTTGGTCATTTTCATGGTTTCTTCCTTTCTGTTAAAATTATTCACATGCCTGTGGATTTTGATGGCTTCTCTGTGTAGCCTGACATGGTAGTCAGGCATGTGGCATGGTAGTCACAGACATCAGAAGAGCTGAAAGATCAAGAACATGCCATGAGAGTAAAAACAAAGATCCATCCAGAGGAAAAGTGTTCTTGCCATACATCAAGGGAACCACTGACCGCATAGGGAAGCTGATGAGGAAACACAACCTACAAACTTGCTACAGACCTACCAAGAAAATCCAACAAATGCTACGTTCAGCAAAAGACAAGAGGGATCCTCTCACTTCTGCAGGAGTCTACCATATTCCATGCAGCCGTGGACAAGTCTACATAGGGACCACCAAACGCAGCAAGGCCCAAAAACGAATCAAGGAACATGAAAGGCACTGTAGACTACTTCAACCAGAGAAATCAGCCATAGCAGAGCACCTGATGAACCAACCTGGACACAGCATATTATTTGAGAAAACAAAAATGCTCAACCACTCTAATAACTACCATGTCAGACTGCACAGAAAAGCCATTGAAATGATTTCCTTCTTTCTGTTGACATTGTCAACATGCTTGTGGATTTCAATAGATTCTCTATGTAATCTGACTTGGTAGTTGGACCACTCTAACAAAAAATAAATAAAGAGCAATACCCAAAAAACAGGGGAATTCCAGACAGGAATCAATCTGCGCCAGTTAACACCTCTCAACAAAAGATCCCCCAGGCAGCAATCAGCCAGGCTTTGAAGCCACAATGCCATTGAATGCTATTTTTCAACAGGGGAGGAGGAGTGCAGGAGAGAAAATAATAATAATAATAATAACTTTATTTTTCTACCCCTCCTCCATCTCTCCGAAGGGACTTGGGGCCACTTACATGGGACCATTATTATTATTATTACAGAGGTGCAATAATAATAATAACAAAAGATCCCCCAGGCAGCAATCAGCCAGGCTTTGAAGCTACAATGCCCTTAAATGATAATTTTCAACAGACTTCACAAGAAGATGCCTGCCATAGATGTGGGTGAAATGTCATGAGAGAATGGTTCTGGAACATGGCCATACAGCCCAGAGAACTCACATAACATAGTATTAATAATAATGGAGGAGTGGGGAAGAGGAAATGAATAATAAGTGGGGAAAATAATTGTGTAAATAATAATAATAGGGGAGGAGGAGTGCAGGAGAGAAAATAATAATAATAATAATAATAATAGAGGATAAGGAATGGGGGAGAGAAATTGTGTAAATAATAATAATAGGGGAGGAGAAGTGTGGGAGAGAAAATAATAGTAGTAGTAATAATAATAGTAATAATAATAATAGCAACTTTATTTTTCTACCCCGTCTCCACCCCCCGAAGGGACTCGGGGCAGCTTACATGGGACCATTATTATTATTATTATTATTATTATTATTATTATTATTATTATTATTACAAATGGGTAATAATACCAATAATAATAATAATGCTTTTATGATATGCAGGAGAGATAAAGTGGGGTGTAAATAAATAAATAATAATAATAATAATAATAATAATATATCAATAAAATAAAAAATAAACAAACAAATAAAATAGAAGTAATAGTCAAATAAATAAATACATTTAACCAAATTGATTTTAAAATTTAAATAAAGCAAATGAAGCCAACTAATAAAAATTGTAGAGTGATGGCAAACTACAACTCCCAATAGGATCCCATAGCATGGAGCCAAGGCATGTGGGGTCAAACTTCATTCATTCTGCATTGTACATGCACTCTCCAGTGCCTTAGGGGGTGCATCTACACTGTAGAAGGAATGTAGTCTGACACCACTTTAATGACTTGGCTACATGCTATGGGATCCTATTGGGAGTTGTAGTTTAGTGAAGCACCAGCACTCTTTGGTATCAAATTTGATTGATTCTAGTGCATGCATGGGCAAACTTCGACCCTCCAGGTGTTTTGGACTTCAACTCCCAGAATTCCTAACAGCCGGTAGGCTGTTAGGAATTCTGGGAGTTGAAGTCCAAAACACCTGGAGGGTCGAAGTTTGCCTATGCCTTTTCTAGTGTATAGATCTCTTTTTCTCACCTCCTTCCTGTTCTCTATGGGAGTCGGACGTGAGTCTAGGCACATAGACGAATTTCACCACTGCAACTTAAAATTCTCAATGGTATCTTGACTGGACCAATGAGCTTTCAGGAGAGAATTCTGGGGTTGTGAATGGCACACCCACTTTGCCCTGACTAGGAGAGCTCTGGCTGGAAATTATCCAATGAGGCTTTAGGATTTTTTTTTATTGACAGGCAATCTATCCAATAGCTGATAGCACAAGCAGAAAAGGCTGTTCTTCGTCGCTGAGTGACGTCATGCCCTTCCATATAACATTTGACCTTGGCATTGAATGAACACAAACCAATGAAATAAATTACTGTCCTTTCCAAATTCGGATTGACATGTTTGTCTGCCAATACAGATTTGTCAATCATTTATCCTAAATGATGGATATGCCATTCACCCAATAGGAAAATGAAGGCTTTTTAATGACACTAAGTTAATTCTATCAATGGGGGTAAAAAAAAGGATTGATAGGTGATGAGTGTACACTGTAGACTTAATGCAGTTTGATACCGCTTCAACTGCCACGTCTCAATTATATGGAAATTTGGGATTTGTAGTTTTCGGCATTTCTCTGCCTTCAGCATGTTAGGCCCCTTCTATAGTGCCAAATAAAATCCAGATTATCTGTTTTAAAGTGGATTATGTGTCTGTGTAGACAAATATAATCCCATTCAAAGCAGGTAATTCGGATAATCTGCTTTGAACTGGATTATATATCAGTGTAGACTCCTATAATCCAATTCAAAACAGGTAATTTGGATAATCTGCTTTGAACTAGATTATATATCAGTGTAGACTCCTATAATCCAATTCAAAACAGAAAATTCGGATTATCTGCGTTGAACAGGATTATATGTCAGTGTAGACGCATATAATCCGATTGAAAGCAGGTAAATCGGATAATCTGCTTTGAACATTATTATATGTCAGTGTAGACTCATATAAACCAATTCAAAGCAGACAATTCGGATTATCTGCGTTGGACAGGATTATATGAGTCTACACTGACATATAATCCTATTCAAAGCAGGCAATTCGGATAATCTGTTTTGAACAGGATTATATGTCAGTGTAGACTCATATAATCCGATTGAAAGCAGGTAAATTGGATAATCTGCTTTGAACTGGATTATATGTCAGTGTAGACTCATATAATCCCATTCAAAGCAGATAATTCAGATTACCTGCGTTGAACAGGATTATATGTCAGTGTAGACTCATCCGATTGAAAGCAGGTAAATCGGATAATCTGCTTTGAACAGGATTATATGTCAGTGTAGACTCATATAAACCGATTCAAAGCAGATAATCTGGATTATCTGTGTTGAATAGGATTATATGAGTCTATACTGACATATAATCCCGTTCAAAGCAGGCAATTCGGATAATCGGTTTTGAACAGGATTATATGTCAGTGTAGACTCATAATCCGATTAAAACAGATAATTCAAATTATTTTATTTGAACTGGATTATATCTCAGTGTAGCCTCGTGTGATCCGGTTCGAAGCAGTTAATTCGGATTATCTGATTTGAACTGGATTATATATCAGTGTAGATTCGTGTGATCCAGTTCAAACCAGATAATGCGGATTATCTGGTTTGAACTGGATTGTATGTCGGCGAAGACTCAAAATCCAAGTCAAAGTAGATAATTCGGATTATCTGATTTGGACTGGATTATATATCAGTGTAAGATTCGTGTGATCCAGTTCAAACCAGATAATGCGGATTATCTGGTTTGAACCGGATTGTATGTCGGTGAATACTCAAAATCCAAGTCAAAGCAGATAATTTGGACTATCTGATTGGAACTGGATTATATATCAGTGTAAACCAATGTTATCCGGTTCAAAACAGGGGATTATCTGCCTTGAACCGGATTATATGAGTCTTCACCTATTTATAATCCAGTTCAAACCAGACAATGCGGTAGATATATCTGGTTTCATAATCTGAGTTATATGGCTGTGTCGAAGGGCCGTAGGTTACATGGCAGTGTAGAAGGAGCTATATATTGTCATGTACTTCTTGACAATTAATGAATAGTTTATGGGGCTAAAGAGAACCCCTGTTCTTTGATTGTCACCTTAGTTAACAAATCCGTTTCTTTGTCCCACCCCTTTGAAACAAAGCAGCCAATGATGATTGAGAAGACGGAACCCTTTGCTTTGACAGGCATTTCCATCACCAATAAATCTTGGAATATTAGCTCCAAAACCCGCCTCCCTCTTTTAATTGGTGGTCGTTTCTTTTTCGGACCAATCATATTTCATACTAACAGACGGGCCGGCCTCTTGGTTCGTGATTGACAACGCTCTGTTCTTTGGGTGCCTTAAACCAGGCATTTCCTGGTTTAAACTTCGGCCCTCCGGGTGTTTTGGACTACAACTCCCACAATTCCTAACAGCCGCTAGGCTGTTAGGAATTGTGGTAGTTGTAGTCCAAAACACCCGGAGGGCCGAAGTTTGCCCCATGCCTGTTCTAAAAGAAAAGAAGTCCGCCTCTTTCAGGGAAAGCACCCAATGGGATTCGAACGTCGGTTTGATGGAAGATCCCGACGAGGAGTGTGTCGTGTCAACCAATGGGAAACAAGAAGGCGGGGCTTATTTCCCCACCTCTTTCTCTTTCTCGGGAGTGACAGCGGGGCCGCCCAATCGGAGGGAGTCCCACCTCCTCGGCTGAACGAGAGCGTTGAGGGGAAAGGGGAGGGGGCGGGCGCGCGAGACGGCTTCTCTCTCTCTTTCAGCGTCTCATTCGCAAGATGGCGGAAGCTGCAAACTGCATCATGGAGGTGAGGGCGCGTGGGAGGGGTGGAGGGAGCGGGAGAAAGGGGGGAAAGGGGCTCCAGGGAGGCCTCAGGCCCCACAGACCCCTTCCCCATCGAGCCCGGGCCCTTTGGGGGGACCTTTAAGGAGGGACCCCCCACTCCCTTCCCATTCAAAGGCCTGTCCGCCCCTCATAGTGAACCCCAGGGCGCTTTCCCCCATCCTCAAGGGTTCCTTCTCCTTCCAAGAGAAAGAAAGGCCTTTGGGTCTCATTGGAATCCCCTCTTCTCCTATTGAAGGTTTTATTTTCTCTCCCCACATCGTTATGAGGAATGGATTTTTCTGATTTATTACTATTATATATCTTATTAGTTTATGATAATTTCCACACATTGTTTTTAGGAACGCATGCTTCCCTGATTTGTTATTATAACCCAATTTTTGATAATATTCTAAGGAACATATTATTATAATATTATATTTACATCCCAGTTTATGATAATCTCCCCACATTTTATTAGGAACGCATGCTTCCCTGATTTTTGTTATTATTATAGCCCAATTTTTGATAATATCATTCTAAGGAACAGATTATTATTATAATTTTATATTTACATCCCAGTTTATGATAATCTCCCCATATTTTTATTAGGAACGCATGCTTCCCTGATTTTTGTTATTATTATAGTCCAATTTTTGATAATATCATTCTAAGAAACAGATTATTATTATAATATTATATTTACACCCCAGTTTATTATAAGGAACGGATGCTTCCCCGATTTTTTTTATTATAGCCCAATTTTTGATAATCTCATTCTAAGGAACTGATTATTATAATTGTATTGTATTTACATCCCAGTTTATGATAATCTCTCCACATTTTTATTAGGAATGGATGCTTCCCTAATTGGTTATTATTATAGCCCAATTTTTGATAATCTCATTCTACGGAACTGATTATTATAGTTGTATTGTATTTACATCCCAGTTTATGATAATCTCCCCACATCTTCCCCCCTCAGGCACCCTCCATATTCCAGAATATCAAGGCAGAAAATCCCACAATGGGCCCTTCCACACAGCCCTATATCCCAGAATATTAAGGCAGGAAATCCCACATTGTCTTAAGTGTGGACTCGGATAACCCAGTTCTAAGCAGATATTGTGGGATTTTCTGCTTTGATATTCTGGGATATAGGGCTGTGTGGAAGGGCCGAGTCCACACTGCCATATAATCCTGTTAATTGTGGATTTTATACAGCTGTGTAAAAGGGGCTAGTTTATGATAGTTTATTATTATATTTACACCCCAGTTTATTATAATCTCCCCACATGATTATTATAATCAGTTTATTATAATCTGCCCACATGATTATGAGGAAAGTATTATTATTACTATTATTATTATATTTTTGGATTTCTGATCATCTCCTCACGTTATTATGAGGAGTAATGAGGCATTATTATTATTATTCTATCCCAGTTTTTGATCATCTGATCTCCATAAGGAACAGATTCTTCCTCCTCACTTGATATGTAATATTATCATAGGATATTTTCAGATCATCTCCCCGCATTATTCTGAGAAATAATGAGGAATATTAATAATAATATTCTATCCCAATTTCTGATGATGTGATTTTTGTCAGGAATAAAGCTTTGCTCCTCACTTGTTTCCTATTATCAATATTATAGTATATTTTCAGATAATTTATCCACATTATTCTGAATTATTATTTTATTATTCTATCCCAATTTCTGATCATCTAATCTCTATCAAGAACAGATTTTTCCTTCTCACTTGATATGTATTATTATTAGTATAGTATATTTTCAGATCATCTCATTATTCCGAGGAATAATGAAGAATTTTTATTATATTTTATTATTATTTCCCAATTTCTGATGATCTGATCTCATAAGGAATAGATTGATATGCATTATTATATCCCACTTTCTTAACGAGGCTCAAAAATACTACCATTTAACATGGATGGATTGTAAAATAATATTTTCAAATTTCTGATCATTCTGAGGAATAATGAGGAATCATTTTTGTTATTATATTATTATTTCCCAATTCCTGATCATCTGATCTCATAAGGACAGATGTGTCTTCCTCTACATTTGATATGTATTGTGATATTCAGTGGGTCCTATGAAATTATGCGGCCTCCTTTTCTCTAAAGCTGGTTCCCTCCTCATGGTCCCCGCATGGCATGATGGCACGCCTCGCCCCGGAGGGCCCCGCCTCCTCCGGCCCGTCCAGCCCCGCCCCCGCCCGTCTAGGAAGAAAGCGCGCCGGGCCCCGAGAAATCCGCCTCCTTCCTCCCCTTTTGTGGACGGATCCCCTTCCTTTCCTCACCCCAAACCGCCTGGAGCTCTCTGCCCACCAGAGATGCCCAGAGCGCTTCATGCTCCCTTCTCTGTGCCAAGCCTGCAGCCATCTATTGGGATGAACCTAAGGACACGTGGAGCACGTCTGCACTGTCTCCCCAATGGAGCTCTTTGTCCAGGGAGAAGCCTTCCTCCCCTTGAATAGCATGGGATGTTTCCCCAGTTCATTGGAGCCATTTCTCCTCCAGCCTCACAAGAGTGCAGTAGACTCTTAGGCCCCTTCCACACAGCCACTGCCAGATAATCTGGGATAAACAGAAAACCTGGTAATCACATCCTGGGATATAGTGCCTGACTGGAAGGTCCCCAGCCTCAGAGCCCTTCCACATATATGAGTGTGGACTCATATTCCAGTTCAAATTAGATATTGTGGGGTTTTCTGCCCTGATATTCTGGGATATAAGGCTGTGTGGAAGGGCCCCCAGAACATCAAAGCAAGAAATCCCACAAAATCTGCTTTGAACTGGGTTTTCTGAGTCTACACTGCCATATACACTCCCCTAACACCAATTGCTACTCTGGGACCAGAGGAAAGAGGGATCCAGGGTTTCTTCTTTAAACTGGATTATATGAGTCTGCACTGCCAGATAATCTGGGATAAACAGAAAACCTGGGATATAATGCCTGACTGGAAGGTCCCCAGCCTCAGGGCCCTTCCACACAGCCCTATATCCCAGAATATCAAGGCAGAAAATCTCACAATATCTGCTTTGAACTGGGTTATCTGGGGGCCCTTCCACACAGTCATATAACTCAGAATATCAAGGCAGGAAATCCCACAATATCTGCTTTGAGCTGGAATTTATTTATTTATTTATTATGACATTTTTATACCGCCCTTCTCACCCCAAAGGGGACTCAGAGCAACTTACAAGTCATATACGATACAATAAATAAAATAAATACAATATCTTCCTGGGGCCCACTTTTCTCTGGTCCCAGAGTAGCAGTTGGTGTTGGGGAGTGTATATGGCAGTGTAGACTCAGAAGACCCAGTTCAAAGCAGATATTGTGGGATTTCATGCTGTGATGTTCTGGGAGCCCTTCCACAAAGCCCTATATCCCAGAATATCAAGGCAGAAAATCCCACATTATCTGGGGCCCCTTCCACACAGCTGAATAAATTCCTACATTTTCTGCTTTGAACTGGGATATATAGCAGTGTGAACTCATATCCCAGTTCAAAGTAGATATTGTGGGATTTTCTGCCCTGATATTCTGGGATGTAGGGCTGTGTGGAAGGGCCCTTGGAAATCAAGGCAGAAAATCCCACAAAATCTGCTTTGAACTGGGTTATCTCAGGGCCCTTTCACACAGCCCTATATCCCAGAATATCAAGGCAGAAAATCCCACAATATCTGCTTTGAGCTGGATTATCTGAGTCCACACTGCCAAATATTCCAGTTCAAAGACGAAAATGTGGGATTTTATTCAGCTGTGTGGAAAGAGCCTCTGTCCACACTACCATATATTCCAGTTCAAAGCAGATAATGTGAGATTTTATTCAGCTGTGCGGAAGGGTCCTCAGTTAACCAGAACCCATGGAAATTGGTATATGCTGGATACATATAGGACCCCTCCAGACAGCCCTACAACCCAGAATATCAGTGCAGAAAATCCCACAATGTCTGCTTTGAACTTAGTTATCTGAGTCTACACTGCCATATAATCCCGTTCAATGTGATTATACAGCTGTGTGGAAGGGGCCTCAGTTTGCTGGCACTATAGGGATTGGTAGATGCTGGATCAACTACTACTTCTGGTTATTTGAGAGTTACTACTAAAAATAAACCAAATTCTATATCCCCATACTCTACTCTACCATAAGCTGTTTATTGACTTGATTTTAACATTATAGTCTTTAGAAACAAATAAAGTCCAATGAAGGCAAATTTAACTTAATGTTATCCAGCTTTACTACTAAAATAGATCCAACTCTATATCCTCATACTATACCATACCATTAACTCTGTATTGACTTGATGTATAATGTTGAAATATAGTCATTAAAAACAAATTAAGAACAATAAAGGAAAATTTTGATTTAACACAGCTTTACTGTACAGGCAGTCCCCAAGTTACAAACATCCAACTAACAAATGACTCACAGTTAAGAATGGTGTGTGTGTGAGAGAGTGTGTGTGTATATATATATATATATATATATATTCCCATACTATACCATAAACACTATATTGACTTGATAATCATATTGAAATGTAGTCATGAAAACAAATAAAGACTAATAAAGACAAATGTTGTTTAATGTGACAGAGCTTTACTGTAAAAAAGCTTTTTTTAGTTAAAAGTACTATTTCTTCCATTTTTTGGTTACTTATGTTCCATTTAACTGAGAGCCTACTGTGTTTTTAGGTTGGGCATCCCTTTTCTGAAATTCAGCCATAAAAGTAGCTGAACTAGTGGCACCTAACATTGAGATGGTTCAGTGGACCCAGAAAATTAGTTTCATACACAAAATTATTAAATATAATATTTATAAAAGTAACTAAGCTATGTGTAGAAGGTATGTCTGAAACAAACAAACTCTCTATTTAGATGGGGGTTCCATCTGCAAGAGATCTCATTTGTATATGCTAATAGTCCTTTTTTAAAAAAATGACCCAAAGTACTGAACACATGGTTCCAAGCATTTCAGATAAGGAATGCTTTACCTTACTTACTTTCGCTATATCAGGCACTATTGGGGCTTCATTTTATAGATATTCTGCCTACCTTAATTCCCTCCACCCAGAGCAGAAAAGACACTACTAACTTTTTTGGACACCAGGCCAGTTGTAAAAATTGTTTTTTTCCCCCAATCCATTGCATCATAAAATGGTCTCACTATGTTCGTGCCCCTAGCCTTTAACCTTATTGGATATAACAGGCTGCTCCACTTACCATTACTTATTCCGCTAGGTCCCAAACTGCAGAATACTTTTACTGGGACAGACCTAGTTATGTCTTGGTGATAAGGGGTTTTAAGAGGTGTGAGAGAGGTTGTTTGCTGTTTGGAGGCTACTCCATAGAATCGTATAGCGAGTGCTAGTGGAGCTATACATTAGTCAGATTGATTCTTTTTTTAGGAAAGACATAATTCTTTGTCCAGTAGAAGAGAACTAGTGAAGAGAGAGAGAGAGTGCTGGGTTGTTTTGGGGGGTAGTCATTAAAACAAATAAAGATTGCTCATAATGGGAAATGCTGGGGTCTTCTAAAGGTTGTAAAAACTGCCGGGGAAAACTCAGAACGTGGATAGTGTGTTGAGGACCCCTGAGGGATGCTTTTAGAATTCAAGTTGAGGAAAAGGATGAGGGAAAAAATCCAGGCAGGTTTGAATGTTGGAGGTTTGGGCATCTAGGTTTCAAGATGGGGTTAGATTTGGGCAAATGGTATCTTGGAGAAGGAAAAGTGAGATTTAAATTGGAGCCTTGGGATTGGGTTGGATGAGACCTGAAAAGGAAGCTGCATGGGGCTCTGAAATATGTGAGCTGGGGGAAGTTTCCTATGACAGGAAATTGATTTCTCCCCCGCCCGTTTTACCATGTGGCCCTCATTGAAACAAAGACACGGCCAGTATTGGGACAGCCAAACTTCTTCACTGGACAGGGAAGGGGGATGTTTTGGGGAAGGCAGCCATATTGCCACCTTTTAATTATTAATGGCTTCAGAAAAACATTTCAAAAGATACTTTTTCAGATTATAGCTCCCAAAACCAGCAGCCAGCTTGGCTTTGGTGGATTCTAGGATTTGTAATGAAAAGGAAACTTTTACAAGCTAACTTTTTACAAGCTTTTGCAGATAATTTAGGTAACAGTTTGCATTTGGGTTTGTATATAGTTTACGATCAAAGTACAGGCTGCTGGATGCTGATTTGCAGTTCCCATCAGACCTTGGCAGGATGACCCGTGGTGAAGGATGCTGGAAATTGCAATCCATTATCTGGAAGGCTGCCTTTTGACCTTACCTTAAACAACATACCAAAACAGTTATCATATTCCCTAGGAAATTTCTGGAAACTGTCTGGCTTTTCTTCTATTGGAAACAAGTTTATTGCCATTTTTCATGCTTGCTATCAATTTATTTTGGTAACTTGAATCAAACTAGGTTCTGGAATTGTTCCATTGTGCCCCCTTAGACCAGGGCTGAATGTAAAGAAGGGGTACTATTGGTAGCTTGTAGTGCAGATGCAAAGTATAGATGTATAAATAGCAGGTGCTATATTTCAGAGGAAGAAACTGACAAAACCACCTTGGAATATTCCTTACCTTAAAAAAACGCTATGAAATTCATGGGGTCACAATAAGTCGACAGGCAACACATTTGGGATTTGAAATGGGATAGGATGAAAAAATGCTTTGAAAATAATAAATATATATTCAATGACTACTGGAAATAGACCTTGAATGTCAAGGACACAATATTTGAATTGATAACCTTTGCCCCTCTCCCCCAAGTCCATGGTGGTTCGGGCTGATGGGTTTTGGGAAATAACAGTTTCTCAAGTTCTACAAGTTTTCACCCTTTTACCTTGTGGTGGTGTTGGGAATTTCCCCACATATTTTAAATAACCTATGCAAATAGTTTCTCGTTTTGTTTCACCTTCGTTACTTTAAAGCACTTGTGGCATAACTGGGGTTTTATTTCATCCCCTTCCCGGAAATACTGTCCCAGAACAATTAGATCTTTCAGTTACGGATCTTCAAAAGGGATGCAGGGAATAGAGAAAGTGCCAAAAAGAGCAGTTATCAATTTGACCAGGGGTGGTGTGTTAACAAAGCAGTGTGGCAAATCCCCATATAGAAACTTTGTCATTTTTGGCTGACTTTTTTTCTATTCTGGGCCTGCCTGGGATTGTGATAATCCCGTAAGAGGCCTCTTTCGGACAGGAGATGACCTTGTTCTGGCGACTACGGAAGTTCATGCCTTACTGTTGGAGGTGGGGTGGGGGTATCTCTTTCCCATAAGGGAGCTGTTTGTGAAGACTTTCCCCCATTTCTTGCATCTGTCTGTGTTGCCATCGCAGTCCTGAGGCCAGGTGTCATGCTCTGAAGGGGAACTTGGTTCTTTCTAGCCACTAGTGTCAAAAAAAGTAGGAGCTGCCTTTGACACCTCTCCACATAGGTCACAATTTGGCCAACTTATCACCTTCTTCCCCCAAGCCATGAATCCAGTCTCCGGCTCAGTTCCCGTTGAGCACTGAATTGACTTTATTTCCCTTGTTACTCTCTCTTTCCTAGAATTTTGTAACCACGCTGGCTAATGGGATGAGCCTGCAGACTCCGCTAGAAGATGTAAATATCCTTTGAGTACCTGATGGCTAAACTAGTGCCCAACCCTGGGGTGGATGAGGCATACTAGCCCTGGCCAAACCTGTTTTCCTTCCTATGTCGCCAACTTGGCGGGGTTCACTGTCCCATAGCCCCCTTCTCTCCCTTGTATATGTCCTTTGCTTTTTAAAAAATGCCTCTTTAGTTGCTCCTTTGCTTTTGTAGGCAGCTTGTTTAGCGATATTGCTCTTTTTCAAAGTCAGTAGGAAGAACTCACCATCCTCTCCCATGGATTATAGAAAATAGACACTTTCTGTTGCCATTCTTCCTGTGCATTTCATCCCACCTTCGTATAACTTGTTTAAATTTCTGTCCCTGTACATCTTTCGGTACATATATTCAATTAATTCTAATTAACAGTCTTAACTCATACATTTTCTGTGTGGTCTGGGAGGCAAGACCTTTTGTAAATTAGTCCATGTACCATACTTTACTTGCAGAGTGGTTATTCTCAGTTCTCACTGAGTTAAGAGTATTGAGCCAGGTCATAGCAGTTTATTATAAATAGTTTAGCTTGCTGTTATTGTGATTCAGTGAATTTGGCCTTAGTGGAGCCTTTCTAAGGTCCCTTCTACACTTGCCCTATCTCTCAGCATCTGATTCCAGATTATCTTCTTATCCTAGATTTTCTGGCAGTGGAGACTCATATAACCCAGTTCAAAGCAGATCATCTGGGATCAGATCCTGGGATATAGGACAGTGTAGAAGGGACCTAAGCCTGCATTCCTTTAACCCTGACAATTCATATATGGCTGCAGGTAAAACAGGTTGTTTTAGTGTAAGCACTTGGGGTTTTGTTCAGAGAGGAGCTGGAATGGGAAGGCTTGGGGTGGGGGATAATTCCTCCATTTTGAGGGGAAGGAGAGAGAGAGGTACCTTGTTTTTTCTCTTCTCTACACCTTCATATCCATATTTCTAGTCTTCATAGTTGCATAGGTAGGTACAAACATAAAGTGCGAGGGCAGTTTTCTTTGAACATCTCAGAAACATCTTTTGAAGTGTAAGGGAGAAATAAGGCTAAGAAGGGATCATTTCAGAGATTTCAGTGCTGGTCAAAGAAATAGGCTGCTTTATTGTTATTCCACGTTTCTCTCAGAACTGGGACCCAAAACAGCTATACTTAGCCCACCTGCTCATAGGTGCTAGTTATACCCTTCTGATGTGCTTCACACCTTCTTTTCTTCCAGTGTTTTGTACTCCTGTTTCTGAAACCCTTCCCCTATTGTAGCATAACTCTCTTGAAGCACATTTTCCTCCCTTCATGTCTATCTGCTATGAATGTACAATCTTGACTGGTTACACGTTTGATGAAAATGTACATGTGGGAGGCATTGGGATTTGTGCAGGGAGGTGGGTAGCTCTGGGTGCATGGGTGGTGGCATTAAGAGTGTTTTGCTCATTGCTTCCTTAACTTATATTGCAGCTCCCCACTCGTGGGGGCAGTCGGGGGGTAGCGCAGTCCAGGAGGTAGGCCTACAAATGAGTATAGCCTGCTGCCCTTCCCCTGGGGTGGGAGTGAAAGGGTTTACTCCTGAGTGCCATGCAAGGGGAGGAAAGAGCCACAGTTCTATAGCTACAGTAGAGCTAATAAGACAAATGTAACAATAGGTTTCTGACAAAGGACAGATTATTCAGCTGCAACTAGATAGGATATAACACCCACGCTTTCATCCTTTCTAACACATAGAAGGGATGATAGGTATAACATCTAGTGATGAGGCAAACTGTATTTGTCAGACATTAATCTGTTTAGAACATGGATGAAGAATGTGCAACCCTCCAGATGTTATTGGACTGAAACTGCTGAGACACACGGGAATTGCAGTTTGATAATGTTTGGAGAACCACATGTCCCCTGCCGCAATGTAGGTTTCTTTTCTCTACCCAGTCCTGACTGCCTTTAGGGATAGTGATCCTATAGTGGCCTGCAGAGTTAGTTTGGTCTTTATGTATCCAGATCTCATGTGGTCTTGGTAGCTAAACAGATTTAGCCATGGCTAGTATTTGGATGACAGACCACTAATGAATGCCAAGTGCTAAAGACTATTTCAGAGGTAGGAACACGCAAAATAATATTTGGCATTCCTTGAAAGTCGACACTTCTTGATGAAGGGAGCAAGAGAGGAGCCAGAGGGTTTGCACCCTTGTTGTGGAGGTACCTATAGGTTTAAACCAACATCTTGAGTTGTTCCAACAAGAAGAGTGAGTCTTTGCAGGCACAAGAACACTGGTATAAGTATTCTCAGTGATCAACTTCCCAAGACATCACACCTTTGTCATCTCAAAGCACATCACTGGAGGGAAAATTCATACAGCGATGGATCACTCTGGTTTTTGACAGCATGAGTAAAATATGAAAAGAAAAAAAAAGAATTCCTTTGGAACTAAAACTCCCCAGTGGCTAAGTGACTGGGGGATTCTGGCAGTGCATGTTCAAAGAGTCACTTTGCCATGCTCTGGCTTTTTAAATACAGAGATGGGCAACTTGAAGCCTCCCAGATGTGGTTGGACTGTATGACCTATTATGCCTCACCAGTGTCTGTCCTGCCTGGAACTTATGCCTGTTGCAGGTGTCTCCCCTGCTCAGACATCCCCACCCTCAACTCCCCATAGGCACATGTGCTTGACAGCATGGTTTCTACACATGAGGCACAGCTACCGATGAGCAGCTAGATTTTCTGTAGTCCTATCTTGTATTTTTGTCTTCCTTACATTCTATATATTGAGCAGGTTCACTTAGATCCCGAGGAAGTGAAAGCTGGGATGGGCTTGAAATGTGCCTATGGTCCCCCATTATTCCTGTTGTCTAAAGTGAAGGGTGGAATAGAAATTTGATGATTATCTAATTGAAAAGTCTACTAAACTGCATCTCAGAGCTGTGTACCAACTTCATCTTTCCTACACAATTTTTTTAATTATTTCCTTTTTAGAATAAAATGATCTCAAAAAGGTTTCAGGTTCCTCTCCTAAATGGTCAGTTTCAAAGGGGGAGGGTGCCATGAAAGGTACGTTGGGACATCAATGTGTGCAGTCAAAGTTAACCCGCCCCAGCACACGCTGAGTAAAAATAGCACTTTATCCAAGAATAAACATGAATAATCCCTCAAGGCGAGCTAATGCTCGGACAGTAAAAGAACATTCTGCTCTTGTGATCTTGAGGTTTTTGCGGCACTGAGGTGTTTCAAAATGAATTATCCATGGAAGCAGAATACGATGGGCCTTAGGAATTTCTAAAACTCAGTGATGTGCTGCTTAGCTAACGATGAGCCGCTATTTGAATTTAGTTTAGCAATAGGTCACCACTGGCATTGGTGTGAGTATTACCTGCCCAGCAATGTATGTAGCTCTTCCATTTGATCAATGGTACTCAAAATAGTGGTCCCTAGACTTGTGCCATTGGCTATTGGTCCCTGGAGAACTTCAAGGAAAAAAACAGTTGGAGTTGATAGACACAAATATGGCTCTGGTCCCTGGTGTCTACAGGAAGAAACAGCGCTATCCCTATCCAGAGAAACACTGCTGTGGATAATTTTTGAAGGAACCTTAGGCTGGTATGGTCGACTGCCAAGTACATTGGGGTCGTTTTTCATTCTTGAACCTTCCGAGGGAAGCATTAGCAACTCTGGTGCAAAATGGAAGTGGCATGTCACTTTTGCTTGATTTTTGGGTGGACTTTCCCCCCACTTTTCAAATTACTTGGGATGAGGAAAATTTGACATTTTCCAGCAAGTCTGAGCTGTTATTTTGCCTAACAATAGGCCCTGATTATTATTTTTTTCTAGATTTTCAGGTAGAGGATAATGAAATATGGAACCGTTGATCACTTAACATACAGAAAAAGAGTGTGGGGAGAAATTCAGTGAGAACTCTTTGTGGAGAGTATATCTTTGTGGAGAGTGTTTGCTGCATGCTAAAGATTCTTTCTTTCTTTCGGGCTACTATGCCTGTGGCCTTTTCCCCCTCCAGCCATCATTCCCTTTGTAGTTAGTGCACCAACAGAATTCTGGCCGCAGTCTGTGGCATCTCTCATAAAACTTGAGCCATTTGGTCTTTTTATTGAAAGGATATTAATAGAACTTTCCTTCCAAATGTGTTGCATGACAAATTCTACTGTTCTCAGGCCTGTATGCTGGGTGATGATGATGAGAGCTGTGACCTACACATTTAGTGGGCAGTCAGTTGGGAATGATTGCTTAATCTCATTAGTTGGTTAAACCTTGCAACCTATGCAGCTCAGTTGCTATCTGATGAATCCTGAGGGGTAAAGGGCGAAAGAACAGTTGCAGGGAAAAGACAGCCTTAGGAGATTTATAGAATCACAGAGTTAGAAGAGGTCATAGAGACCATCCAGACAACCCCATCCTGCCATGCAGGAATACACACTCAAAGCACTCCCAACATATAGTGATCCATCCTCCTTTTAAAAAGGTGCAGAGGAGACTCCACCATACTCCGAGACAGTATATTCCACTGTTGAGAAGTTACTGAGAGGCCCTGGGGTTATTTAAGCCAGTTTCATCTTCATGCCCTCTTTCTTTTGCCAGGTCTCATGTACCACCCAGCCGGAAAGCAGCGGAAAGCCGACAGCAGAGGAGATGACCTCCAAGGATTACTATTTTGATTCTTACGCCCACTTCGGGATCCACGAGGTGATGGGAGTTGGATTGAGAATGGGTGAAAATACTCCTCCCTGGCAGGATTCTTCTCTGTTTAAGGGAGTGCAAATGGTTTTTGGGAAGGTTTTCTGAACCTGCATTTTTGTCCTTTTCTCTCTTCACTAGGAAATGCTGAAAGATGAGGTGCGCACACTGACCTACAGAAATTCCATGTTTCACAATCGACACCTCTTCAAAGACAAAGTGGTTCTGGATGTTGGCAGTGGAACTGGGATCCTCTGCATGTTTGCAGCCAAGGCTGGTGCCAAGCGGGTCATTGGGGTGAGCAAGATGGCCATGTTCCTATTGGCCTCTCTTTTGTGATGGATGATAGATATTCTTAGCTGTGATCACCCACCATCTACCCTCCACAAAACTGGAAGTAAGACGGCAGCACTTCCACTTTGTTTTGCTGGGCTAAAGTATGATCAGATTTGAGTTAATTTAGGTCATAGTGGGGGCTAAGCAGGTACAAACTCCCCACTTTTTGTGCAACTGTTTGACTGTTTTTTGAGTGAAAATAACATTTTAAAAATGGGACTATGTGGGCTTTCAAAGCTCAAAATGGGGTTGGAGGAGCCTCATATTGACCACATTTTTCCCCACCCTGGAGTTTGATGAAAACTAGAGGAAAGTGAACAGAATACCATGGTGTCTGCAACAGGGCTTGGAAAAGTTACTTTTTGAGCTGCTGTCCTCAGAACCCTTTCACCAACTTCATGGGTGATTCTTGGATTTGTAGTCCAAAAAAAGGTAACCTTTCCCAACTCTGCTTGTGCACCAAGTTAAATTCTGCAGTCTCAAAACCAGCACACCACTGTATAAACAGACAATACCTCTTGAATAATAGGGTGGCTAAGTTGGATTAAAGTTTTCTTTCCTGCAGAATTTAGCTTACTGGGACCAGTTGGATAGGCCTCATGGTGGGGAGATGATTTTACGTACTTTGGTATCATGGAGAGAAATTGAACATTGCAGGCCTGATCCCTAGGATTTTTACATTTTTAGCAACAAAAAAAAAATCGTGAACAATATATTTCCTTGACCAGAAAAACATATTCACACACTTCCCTCTTGATTTTGTAATTGAAGTTGTATCTGGTATTCCCTTTTGCATTGTAATCAACTAAATTGCATCCAGCCTTGGATAATAGCAAAGGCCTTTTTGTGTACTCTATTGAAACACTTTTTACTTCTGTATGACGGACTGTGGATTGAACTTCTCTCTCTTTTTGGAACTACTTTCTTAACAGATTGAGTGCTCCAGTATCTCCGACTATGCCGTGAAAATTGTGAAAGCCAATAAACTTGATCATGGTGAGTAATGTTTTTTAGATATCCTGTCTGTACTTCTCAACTTTGGTGCAATTTACCCGTATATACTCGAGTATAAGCTGACCCAAATTTTACCACAAAAAACTGGGAAAACATCTTGGCTCGAGTATAAGCCAAGAGTGGGAAATTCAGCAGCTACTGGTACATTTCAAAATAGAAATAGATAGCAATAAAATTACATTAATTGAGGCATCAGTAGGTTAAGTGTTTTTTAATATTTGCATAACACTGTAATTTAAGATAAGACTGTCCAACTCTGATTAAACCATTATTCTAACCATCTTCAATGTAAATGTGCTTATGTATCTTTCCAATAATAATAAAGAGAGTAAAATAATAAATGTAATAATAACAATAGAGTAAACTAATGGAAATGTAATAACAATAATAAAGAGAGTAAAATAATAAATGTAATAATAATAGAGTAAAATAATAAATGTAGGTAACAGAGTAAAATAATAAATAACTTTGACTCAAGTATAAGCCAAGGGGGGCTTTTACAGCCTAAATAGGAGGCTGAAAAACTCAGCTTATACTTAAGTATATATGGTATTTGGACATGTCTTATAGGGAACACTACAGATGAAATGTGCCTGTCATTCATTCTGTCCTTCGTTTTGTCTCAGAATATCTAGCACAAACAATAATTATTATAGGATGGGCAGCCACAACACCACCCATGTAAAACTTGGGTCCATTATAGTTTTCTTTTAGATAGTTCCAGAAGAACAGTTTTCTCCATTTCCTTTTGATTATTATGCCTCTCAATTTAAATAAAAGGATTTTGTTTTAAAAATGGGGCTGCCCTGTGGCTGCAGTTTTTTTATATAAAAATCCCTTTCTAATTATGCAGGAAAACGCCTGTTATTTGGCCCTTCTTCACCCTCTCAGTGAAAGCTGTGACTCATGTTTGGGTCATTTCTCATCTTGTGACTCCTGCAACTTCCTCCTTTGCGGCCTTCTATTTGGCACCTCATCCCCTCATCACTGTGTAGAACCCGATTGCCATATACTTACTATTTCATCATACTGAGGATGTGATGCCCCTCTTTTCACTTTAGACTTGTTTTCCCACAGCTCTGGAACCTTTTTTATAATTAACTCCACACTCTTCTCAGATCTATAACACATGCCCCTGACATTCAGCTCCACTAGTTACTTTCTGAAGCTCTTCAGCTTAACTGTTTCTCCCTTTCTGCCTTGTAGTTTTGGATCTGTGTTCCAAGCACCCTTATGCTGCTGATCTCTTTTAAAGTTAGGAAATTATATGTATTAAATTGGCTTGTACCTTCTTTCTTTCCTTTCCTGCATGTTCCCCTCAAGTGGTCTCCATCATCAAGGGCAAAGTGGAGGAAGTGGAGCTGCCTGTGGAGAAGGTTGACATAATCATCAGTGAATGGATGGGCTACTGCCTCTTCTATGAGTCCATGCTCAATACTGTCATCTATGCCAGGGACAAGTGGCTGGTGAGTCTCTATTGTCTTTTTGTTAATTATCAAGTCCAGAATCTGCCTTGCTGTTTCCTTTTGTATGCTGTGGGAATGCTGTTATAGTCTCCATTGCATAGTGATGGCTCAAGTGGCAGAACATGTATTGTTTTGGCCAAAAGAATACTTCATGTTGAGCAGCCCTTATCTGGAATTCCAAAAAAAAATTAATAATCCAAAATCTGCCCCCATGGGTGGCACTTTTGCTTTCTGATTATTCAGTGTACACAAAGTTTGTTCCATGCACAAAATTATTAAAATATTTTACAACATTACATTTGGACTATGTGTATAATGTTATCTATTAAATATAAATGATTTTTTGTTTAAACTTGGATTCAAACTTCAAAATACGTTACTATTTAGTTATATACAAATGAAGCTATCACAGAATTCAAGATCTAATACACTTCTGGTTGTTAGCATTTTGAATAAAGTATACTCAACCTGTAATTTAATTTGGCTTTTACCAAGAGCCAAAATGCTCTTACTCTTCCATATGCACTAATTCCTACTATAGTACAACAGTGATGGGTCACTTGTATCCCACTGCTGTGAAAATTTCACTGAGTCTGTTTTGCTCCATGATGAGGAAGGTCCTTTCAGTCTGAGTAAACAGAGTAAAATAATAAATAACTTTGACACAAGTATAAGCTATGGGGGGCTTTTTCAGTCTAAAAAAGGGCTGAAAAACTGCTTATACTCAAGTAAATACAGTATTTTGTTTTGGGCAAATGGAGTGATTTGGAATTAACTGATTCAACAATAGCTTTAACAATGAGTTGCTTTCATGTAAATGTTGGTTATTACTTCTTGGAATTCTGCAGCTTATTCCTCCTGAAAATCACCTCAAAAGTGAAAACATTAAATATTATACTGTAATAACTTTGGTGTGAATGCAGCTCGAATTTCTTAGCATTACTGTACATACCTGATCTCATTACTCTCATTACTTCTAAAGTCTTAAGAACAGGATATTGGACAGTTATCCATTTCTGTTTTTCATCATCCAAATAAGAGTACTGCTTCATGGGAAGGAGTCCCTTTACTGCAGTTATTTAGCACAGGGAATTGGATTCTGCAGGGAGGGATGGCTTATGGGTGCTGTGGAGCTCCACCAGCCCTAACATCTTCCTTCCAAATCCCTCTTGTCCCAGACTCCTGATGGGCTCATATTTCCAGACCGTGCTACACTGTACATCACAGCTATTGAAGACCGGCAGTACAAAGATTACAAAATCCACTGTAAGTAGTAGGTTGTTCTGTGATTTACAAGGGGAAGACCAGGCCCCAAAGGGAGGATAGCTAGTGTCATGACAGGATGAAGCCTTCAGTTTCTAAACTATTTTGTGTGCTCCATCTATATACTTCTTGTGAGAGTAGCACCTTGCCCTGTTTACCTCCTCTGGCCCACTGGGGTCCCCAGCCTGGCCAGCAGAATGCTAAGTGAGACATAGAAGCCCTGAACATACTTCATTGTCATCTTAAAAGCGTTACCACTTTGGAGGAGATGGAAACTGGATGAGAAATGGTGCTGAAGCCTGGGATCTAGATTAGTTCTCACACCACAGTTTCCCTCTTGTGGAAAAGCAAAGAGGGAGAGAGGCTAGTCTGTAGACAAAACTCTGATGTTGGCTGTGGCGTTAGTAATAAGGTTTAGCTCATTGGGAAGGCATGAGGTATGAATGAATCATAGACATTGAAGGCACCCCAAGAGCAATCTACTCCAACCCCCTGCTATGCAGGAATCAAATAATACCCAGTAGATTGGACTAGCTGGTATGTATGGTCTGTGATTCTATGAAAAAGCCATCCAGTCTTTATTTTAAAACCTCCAAAGAAAGAGACTCCACGTATGACTAGACTTTCCAATGTTTACATGGAATCCCTATTCCCGTAGTTTGAATCCATTACTCGGTGTCCTAGTCTCTGGAGCAGCAGAAAACAAGCTTGCTTCATCTTATCGTTCACCATTCTAGATTAGTTATCTGCTTCTTGTTTGTTCCCTCCAACATGTTCTATAAATTTCTGTGACATGCAGGGGTTCTCGCTAGCAAGAGTATTACCTGAAGATGGAAAACTTGAAAATTATCAGTTTAGCCCAATGTCATGGGGAAGCAAAGTTTGGTCTGCTTCTCGTGGAGTTGCCCATTTTTAATTCAGTTGACGTGTTGGTGGATTGCGTTTACAGCATCTGATTCTTCTCCCCGCAATCTCTGCTTCTTATTACAGGGTGGGAAAACGTGTACGGTTTTGACATGTCATGCATCAAAGATGTGGCTATCAAAGAGCCACTCGTGGATGTCGTTGACCCGAAGCAGTTGGTCACCAATGCCTGCCTCATCAAGGTATGACTGAGGCTGGGACAATATTTCCCTTTTGCTTGCTTCCATTACCATTGTTCCTGAGCATATTAAAAAATAGCAATAGTAGTTTGTCCATCCAATACAATTTCATTACAGTTTACTTTACCTCGCACTGATTAGCCCTCTCAAGGCTAAACATTATACTGAACATAGTGCAAAACTCAAAGCAAACATGATACCAGCCTATAAGAGTAAATGATAGAACAGGGAAGAGGAAGCTGACCTATTCTCCACTCACTGGCGTTTATAGACTGGAGTTTGCCTCTTTCTGCAGCAAATGGATAGGCATTCTTGCTTTAATATATGTGTGTTATGGCAACAATTTTTCTGCTTATATTTTGTTTGTTAATCATATGATTATGTTGTTTTTACTCTGTATGTTTTTGTGATGTTACTTGGGAACCACTCTGAGTCCCCTCGGGGAGATGGAGCGGTATATAAATAAAGATTATTATTATTATTATTATTATTTAGTTATGTGCTCAGCAGGTACTGTTGGCAGTGGGTTCAGATGTTCTTTATGGTGGTGGAGGTGGGTGACTGTTGATGAATTCTACAGGCATAGTTCAGGGAGGAGAGGGATGGAAATAGAGGTCAAGAATCAGGGCTCAACAACAAAATACTGGTAGAACTTGCCTGGGAGGTTTTTCTGCCTTTGCACAGAAGGGACGGAGCAAAACTTTCAGACCTGGAATAGCCATTCGGAAGGAAAGTCACCTACTGGGCTACAGGAATTGCTTATTGGAAAGAATGCTCCCAGTGTGTCATCCTGGTTATGTCTGTTTTAATCAACCATTGCTTATCCATTGTCCTTTTTCTCTCTTCACGGCTGGCAGGAGGTGGATATCTACACAGTGAAGGTGGAGGACCTCACCTTCACATCGCCCTTCTGTCTCCAGGTGAAGCGGAATGACTATATCCATGCCTTGGTCGCCTATTTCAACATAGAGTTCACCCGTTGCCACAAGCGCACTGGATTCTCCACCAGTAAGGGCCAGGGTCTTGATTTGGGGAATGGAATGGGTGCATTGCATTCCAAGTGGGTGCTTTGGTTTTATAATGTAGATTTTGGTAACTGGGAGAAATGAAGCTTTAATTTCAAAAACCCATTGCCTTAAGAACTTAGCAAGTAAACCAACAGCTATTGACTAGTATTTTGGGGGGAGGATATACTGTAAGCAAATAGGTGGCCCAGTTGCAGCCACACAATGTAATCTAGTCCCTGATTGTGAGACGGATCCCTTCAGCCTAGAAATTCATGTAGACTTTAGTCAGTGTTTCTCAACTTGGGGGTCAGGACTCCTGGGGCAGAGGTCTTGAGGGGGTTTCAGAGGGGTCTTCAAAGACCATCGGAAAACATATACTGTATTTCTGATGGTCTTAGGAGCCTCTTTGGCAGAGAAGGCTGAAGATCTCTCCTCCTGTCCTATTTCTTTTTGGAAACAGACAGTGAATCCTCCCACCAAAAGCCAAGGAGAGGGCTGTTTTGAGACTCCAAGCGGGGAGGGGAGAGCAGACTGGCTTGATGCATGGCGCATGTGGTGCACTTGTGCAGATGAGGGAGAGTGTGAGGCTGGAAGGAGGCTCAGACTAGAGAGTCCCTTTGAGGCATGGGGGATCTGTGAGGGAAGCTTGGGCCAATTGTTGGTAGGGTTCAGAATACTCTTTGATTGTAGGTGAACTATAAATCCCAGCAACTATAACTCCCAAATGTCAAAATCTATTTTCTCCAAACTCCACATTTGGGCATATTGAATATTTACGATTCATAAGAGTAGCAAAATTACAGTTATGAAGTAGCAACAAAAATAATTTTATGGTTGGGGTCACCACAACATGAAGAACTGTATTAAGGGGTCTCAGCATTAGGAAGGTTGAGAAACACAGCTTTAGGGAGTCTTGTGTGCAAGCAGAAAATTCCAGCAATATTGATGCGCAATGTGTGTGAGAGTAAGGTAGAGTTAAGTTGGGCTGATAATAGGGGACACTGCCATGTGGGTAAGTGCTTTTCTCACATGATAATATTTTCCCATTGACCTGAACTTGTTCTTTTCCAGGTCCAGAATCTCCATATACCCACTGGAAGCAGACTGTCTTTTATATGGAGGACTACCTAACAGTGAAGACAGGAGAGGAGATATTTGGCACCATTGGCATGAAACCCAATGCCAAAAACAATGTAAGTTGAGAATGCAGTCCTTATTTCTGTGTGTACCTTTAGAAACCTCAGCTACATCCTTCCCTCTGGTAGTGGTCAGCTGCTAAGTGCCAGCAGTAATCTGGGCCACTGAAAAACGAGAGGGATGTACCAGTATGTTTGAGAAAGAAGGGAGGGCAAGTTTGCTAAAAGACACTGTAAAAAAACAATTGAGGAGACAATACAGCCCAGAGAAAACTTATTTTCCTTGGTAAACCTAGAAATTATATGATTCAGAGATGCTGAAATCATGGGTGGGAGGTAGAAGGAGACAAATCAAACAGCCTCCTTGTAGGGAAGGCAGTTAGCCCTGAATAGGAGCAGTGCACACAGAGAGAGGTTGAAGGACTTGTAAGACCTTGTGCTTTGGTTAAAGTGAAATAGATGACGAGATGAATGAGTTTGGGAGATAAAAGACCCAAGTTTTACCACAACATTGGAGATTTGGGTAGCTTCCCCCATCTTGGGATCTCACTTTTTTCGTGGCATAATCTGCACCCAAAGCTTGCCCGAGGGTCCTTCTACACTGCCATATAATCCAGAATATCAAGGCAGATAATCCACATTATCTGAGTCTACACTGTTGGGCAAGTGGGCTTATTAACAAAAGACCCTTTCCAGAAATGTACAGCAGAGTAACATATGAGCAGCAGCGTGACCCAGCACCAGTAGCCAAAAGTGATAAAATAACAAAAACACACAGACCAATGTTATCTCTTCCATAGGAAGCTTTTCTTTATAGCAAAATAATATAGTTGTACTATTTACGAAACAAGGTTTCCATAACACAAAGTTCTTTACACTTTCTTTGCTTCCATGCTGGGCTTCTTTCTCATGCAGATAAACAGCTTTGCTGTCACAGAGCCTCCTCTCACACGGAAGTTGCATAGTAGCTTTACACCCAAGGCCTTCAATCTGGGGCTTCTTCTCACACTATGCCTTCTCATACTCTGAGGCCTTCTCCCAGACTAAGGCCTTCCTCACAGAGTGGCTTCTCGGAGAGACTAAAGCCTACCTCACACTGAGGCCTGCTCTCACAGACTGAGGCCTTCTCACAGACTGAGAACTTTCTCCCATTGAGGCAAACTAACACAGAAGCCTACACATGCTTATATAGAACTGCAGCATTTGCTAAGTTACTGCATCAATTTAACCCTTTCAGTGCTTGACACACATTTTTGTAATTAACAATACCTAGTTAATTTTTAATATCACTGACATATACTGCCATATAATCCAGTTCAAAGCATATAATCTGGATTTTATACAGCTGTGTATCTGTCCACGGAACATTTCATTTTTTTACTCATTAGAGTGAATGCACATTCTTTTAAAAATTGGCCATCCTTTGAATCCCAAAATCTTTTCACTTCCCAGTTAAGTGGCTTTAGTTGCCCAAAATCGGAATAAAATGAATTAGATCAAGACTGAAAGTGCTTGTGTATGTTCGACTGTGATTGGCAGCTAGCATTTTACATATGAAGGAGGTGTTAAGAGTGATAATAGTAGCAAGTCTGCTGAATTCTTACTCTCCCACTACCATCACATGTCAAAATTATTTGCTTCACTTCTTTCGAGACAGAGAGGGGGGCAAGTAAGCCAGCTAAATTTGTTCCTATTTCCTGAAGATGCCTTGAAGGTTCAGCAAACCCACTGAGTGGAGAGCCTCAAAAGGGAACCTGTGGGAGTCTCAATTTACAAAGTCTCTAGCCAGTTAATTAGCTGGGATTGGGATTATAGTTGTACAGCATCTGGAAGACCACAAGTGTAATGTGTGGTGAGCCCTAAGCACTCTAAACCACATGTTATGTGTATTTATTAAAAGACTTCAGACTAGTTGGTGCCAAGGATCATATCCAGACTCAGGACTGGGCATTTCAATTATGCGATTTTCACTTACCCATTGTTGCTCATTGACTGTAGGAAACGCATTCTAAAATGTGAGTCTCCCTCCTCATTCACCTCACTAACTCGATGGCGCTTGACTTGTTATTCAGTGACATCAAGAGTTTAAGCATCCAGGATTAAAAAGCTCAGGGGATAAGGAGATGAAGCCAGCAACAGATGCTCTGACACTGAAGCACATGCTTTCACGTGTTTATGAATGAGCCCTTTGTGTGACTCCAACCTGGGAAACAATTAGCTTGCGGGCTGGAAACATGCCAGTGTGTTGCATTAGTTTAAAAGGGTGTTTGGTTGTTCTTCTGCTACCATATTTACAGGGAGGAGGGAATCATTATCTTCGCCTCCCCTTGCTTTGAAGAGAGGAGAAAGGAAGGGCTTGTTATTGTTGGGGAATTTCAAAATGGAAAACGTATTGAAATACACAACGCGGCAAGAATGGCAACAGCAGCAGTTTTAGCAGATCAGAAGCTTCTTGAGCACAGCAGGATAGAGCAAATGAGCTTTAGCAATTACAGGAGCAGAATCAAAAGACCTGTGAAACAACTATATTTCTGTATAGCAAAGTTGTTGGGCGAGTGGGCTTAATAACAAAAGACCTTCCACATAAATATACAGCAGAGAAACTCAGCAGCAGAGTGACCCAGCACCAGTAGCCCAAAGTGAAAAAAGGAACAAAAACATACAGACCAATGTTATCTCTTCCATCTATATAAATAAAAATGTAATGTTAGTTTGTGGGATTAACATAACTCAAAAACCACTGGACAAATTGACACCAAATTTGGACACAATAAACCTATTAGGTCAACAAGTGACCATCACTCATAAAAAACACTAAAAAACATAACAGAAGAGACTTTAAAAAGGCAAAAAACAAAAATTACATTACAACGCATTACAACCACATATATACACATATACACAAATATATACATACAAAATACATATACACAGACTGGGCCACAGCAATGCATGGCAGAGGACGGCTAGTAGTAAAATAATATTGCTACATTATTTACAAGAACAAGGTTTCTGTAACATGAGCAAATTTCTTTATACTTCCTTCATTGCTTCTATGCTGGGCTTCTTTCTCATGCAGATAAACAGCTTTGCTCTCACAGACCCTCCTCACACAGTTAAGTTACACAGGAGCTTTACACAGTAGTTTTATACACACCTTTACACATGAGGCCTTCAGCCTCGAACTTCTTTCACCAAAGCTTCTCACACGAGGCTTCTATCATGCAGACGTTTACCTCATACTCCTCAGGACGACACTAGCTTTGGCACACCAACTCTACCAGTCTCCAGCCTACTAATTATTTCAGTGCTTGACTCACATTTTTGTAATCAAAAATACCTAGTTAATATTTAATATTTCTGACTAAAAGTAAGGGCCAAACGATCTCTGGAGACATCGCTCTCTCCATGTTCACAGAAGAATAAAATGGAGATTCGGACTTGCCATGTGGCTAGGAACCATGAATAAAAAGACAGTGTCCCTGAAAACTGTCAGGCTTAACAAACCAAGAAATAGGAGGAGAGAATAGAAGGGAAGGTAGACTGAGAGGGCAATGGGGATGGGCTTTCCCTGCCAGCCAAATCATCCACCTATCTATTTCCTTGATGAGGACTATAAGCCTGAGCAGGATGCGGTTGAGTTCCAACAGATACAAGGGAGTGACTTGAGGAGGAGAAATTCATTTGGTCTTTCCCTCTCCTTCTTCACCTACAGCGAGATCTGGACTTCACCATCGACCTGGACTTCAAGGGCCAGTTGTGTGAGCTCTCCTGTTCAACGGATTACCGGATGCGTTAGCCCATCGGCCCCGTCGCCCGTTGTTTTTTTCCTTCCTCCTCCGGCCAGCCTTGCGCCCAGAGCTAACTCTCCCTCTTGTCTTCTTCCGTTGACGTATCATTAACCCATTTCATTGTGTAGTTCCCCGTTGCTGCAACTCTGGGCCAGCAAGGAGAGGATCAGTATTAGAGGCTTAGGGGGAGATGGAAGTAGCCAAGAGCCCCACGAATCCATTGCCCCTCATTTCCAGCTCCCTCCTCCCCCAACCAGGAACGGGGGCTTTTAGCACAACTGAAGATGCATAACGTGGTTAGTCCATCCGTCCGTTTGTCCTGAGGCCTGAGTGCCGACTGCGGACTTCCATAACGAGTTTTTATTATTTTTGTTAGATGAAATCATTGTTGGTCTCCTCTGCCAAACTGGATTGTCTAGAATTATTCTCCCTCCCATATTGTTTTCGGAGTAATTCTGCTCTACGTCTACTCTTCTGTCTAGAGCAAAAATGCTGCTCGGGCTTTTTGGGGTTCACACCTCTATCCAGTGTTCAGTCAAGGGGCAGGGCGAGGGAATGGGAATCCCAACTGGTTTATATTAAAAGAGCACGATTGTTCTTTTGGGGGGTGGGCGGGTGCGTGGGTGGGTGGGAGGGGGCGGCATCTCCATTTTGTGGGTGTTGTTTTTTTCACTAATAGTTTTGTACTTCTCCCTCTCAAATTGCCTGTTTGGATGTGTGGGGTGGGAGTGTTTTTTTTTTCAGTCCCCTGCCCTTTGAGAGCTGACATCGTGTGACTTTCATAACTTATGGTTTTTATATGGTTACATTCATGAGGAAAAAAAATAAAGAGGTTGAAACCAGCTACTTCCTGTTTTCTTTGGGAAGCCACTGTCTGCTATGTAGCTGTACTTGTGGCGTGGGCATAGATTAGAATCGTAGAATCATTGAGTTGGAAGAGACCGCGTGGGCCATCCAGTTAAACGCCCTGCCAAGAAGCAGGAAAATTGCATTCAAAGCACCCCTGACAGATGGCCATCCAGCCTGTTTAAAAGCCTCCAAAGGAGCCTCCACCAGGGCAGAGAGTTCCACTGCTGAACAGCTCTCACAGTCAGGAAGTTCTTCCTAATGTTCAGGTGGAATCTCCTTTCTTGTATTCCACGTCCTAGTATCCAGAGCAGCAGAAAACAAGCTTGCTCCCTCCTCCCTATAACTTCCCCTCACATTTTATACATGGCTATCATGTCTCCTCTCAGCCTTCTCTTCTTCAAGCTAAACAGGCCCAGCTCTTTAAGCTGCTCCTCATAGGGCTTGTTCTTGCTAATGTTCAGGTGGTGGTGCAATGGGTTAAACCCTTGTGCCGGCAGGACTGAAGACCAACAGGTCTGAGGTTTGAATCTGGGGAGAGTGTGGATGAGCTCCCTCTGTCAGCTCCAGCTCTCCATGCGGGGACATGAGAGAAGCCTCCCACAAGGATGGTAAAACATCCTGGCGTCCCTTCAGCAATGTCCTTGCAGACAGCCAATTCTCTCACACCAGAAGCAACTTGCAGTTTCTCAAGTTGCTCCTGACATGGGGAAAAAAAGAAGAAGAAAAAGGTGGAATCACCTTTCCTGTAGTTTGAAGCTATTGTTCCACATCCTAGTCTCCAGGGCAGCAGAAAACAAGCTTGCTTCTCCTTCTTTTGACTTCCCCTCACATGTTTATACATGGCCATCGTGTCTCCCCTCAGCCTTCTCTTCTGCAGTCTAAACGTGCCCAGCTCTAATACCTGTAGTCCAAAAAAGTATGTTTCTCAAAAGATAAGTGTCCCCAGAATTAATAGATGGACAGCAAGGGTTTGCTTTATTAAGGCACCAGCTTGGGTACTAGGCGTTGACTGGGTTATTTGAAACGCTGCCCGTCCCCTGAGCCCTCTGACTCTACTCCAATTACGTGTTGCTCCGGTTCACCCTCTCCCTTCACATAAGCATGCCAACTAAGAAGGAGCAGCAACTTTCCCATGCCTTGTTGAAGAAGCCCTCTAAAACACAAAATGCTATTGATATCAAGTGATTTGTGAACACAATATAAGATGAATACATTCCATACTTTTTATTGCACATCATTGAATGAGATGGAGTTCCTCCATTGCACAGCTGCAGCCTTTAGTGAACAAGACCAATTAGTTTGACACAAACTAAAAAAACCCATACTGCAAACAAGCCATCAGGAAAGCCTATCAAGTTGAAAGTCACACTTCTTTGGGATGGTGGCAACAGTCCTGCTCCGGGACGCCAGTGCTATTTCTCCAAAGGTGCGTAGTTCAACAGTTTCTCAATCAAATCCACATGTGAGAGAAGCATCCGCCGACAGCAGTAGCGCTTTAAGCCGAGCGCATCCAATGCATCCCTAAAAGAGACAATGGAAAAATAAGTATGACCTATCTCTTTAGAAGTTTGCCTTGGGACAGTGTGTATGCATGTATCTCTTCTCTCCATCTAGGGCTGCCAAGTTGTGTCTCCAAAAAACTCGATTTGTAGAGATGAGCCTATAAATGCCTCTTAGGCTGTGAAGAAGTTCCACCTACTACTTCTAGTGACAACTTCACAGCCAGCATATGTAAACCATAGCAGCTTTCATTCTCTATAGTAGACTTGTAGGTGTACCAAATACACCCTTTTTTAGAGGTATAGGACCAAAGCTGGATCTACACTGTGATATAAAATCCTCACTATCTGCTTTGAACTGGGTTATATGGCAGTGTAGACTCATATAATCCAGTCAAAACAGAAAATGTTGATTATTTGATTTGATAATTGTTGGGCAAGTGGGCTTACTAACAAAATACTAACAAAATAAGCAGAGTAACTTATTAGCAGCAGTAGCCAAAGGTGACAAAAAGAACAAAAACACAGACCATTGTTTTCTTTTCCATAGGAGACTTCTCTTTGTAGTAAAATAATATAGTTGCACTATTTACAAGAACAAGTTTTCCATAACACAAAGTTCTTTATACTTCCTTCTTTGCTTCTTTGCTGGGCTTCTTTCTAATGCAGATAAACAGTTTCGTTCTCACAGTGCCTCTTCTCACACCAAACTTACACAGGAACTTCACCCAGTAGCTTTAAACACAACGGCCATCACACTGAAGTTTCATATACTATGGCTTTTAACTAGGGACTTCTCTCACTGAGGTTATCACACTAGGCTTATCCATAATGAGGCCTACTAACATTGAGGCCTACCTCACACTGAGGCCTTTCTCCTACTGAGGCCTTCTCACACTGAGGGCTCTCTCTGAGGCCTTTCTCCCACTGAGAACTAACACTGAGGCCTACTTTGCACTGAGGCCTACTAACACAGAGGTCTCTCAGACTGAGGGGCTACTAAACTACAGGCACACCTGCTTATTTTGAACAGCAGAATCATTGTATCCATTTAACCCTTTCGATGCCTGACTCACATTTTTGTAATTAAAAATACCTACTTAATTTTTAATATTTCTGACAATAATCTGGATTATATGGCAGTGTAGATCCAACCCAGGAGTGTATATTCACTGTAGAAGCAATGCAGTTTGACGCCACTTTTACTGCCATGGAATCCTGAGAGTTGTATTTTGGTGCGGCACCAGCACTCTTTGGCAGAGAAGGCTAACAACCTTGCTAAACTACAACTCCTGTTATTCCACACCATGAAGGCAGTTAAAATTGGTGTCAAAACTGCATTAATTCTACAGTGCAGATGTAGTCCTAGCCAGTCTTGACAACATTCAGTACTATTGTCATACTAAAAAGTGAACATGAATAATTGATTCCTAATTGCCTCTGATGGCAATGACTGGATTGTTAAATCTGTAAGAACGACTATAAACATTCCCTGTCAATCATGTAAGATCTTTATCAAAGGCCCTCTTTCGTGGACCCCGCCTTCACCTGCAAACTCACCCTTCGGTATATTCAGCCTGCAACAGGCCCAGGTAGGCTTCCCATTTGTTTCCCACGACTTTGCCGCAAGTGAAGCATCGGACAGGGATGATCATTTTTCAGATAGCTTAAAATATCTGGGTGTGGGGTAAAGAGAAGAAATAGTGAGATGTTCAGCCTTCTGTCTTTTCTTCTGCTTTCTTCCCTGCCTTACTATCCCAGACCGCCTTTCCAAGCCAACACAAGTGGAAGACATAGTGCTATAGCAGGCATGGGCAAACTTCGGCCCTCCATGTGTTTTGGACTCCAACTCTCACAATTCCTAACAGCCTTGGGCCCTTTCTCTCAACGAAGCTTCTCACACCAAGCCTACTCATATTGAAGCCTACTGACACTGAGGCCAACCTCACACTGTGGCCTTTCTCCCAGAGGCCTTTCTCCCACTGAGGCCTTCTCACACTGAGGGCTCTCTCAGACCTTCTCGAAGCTGACAATCGAATATCATGGATCCCACCTTCACCTGCAAACTCACAATTTGGTATATTCAGCCTGCAAGAGGCCCAGGTAGGCTGTTAAAAGGAAAAGGCTTGAGGCTGTTAGGAATTGTGGGAGTTGGAGTCCAAAACACCTGGAGGGCCCAAGTTTGCCCATGCCTGTACTATAGTGTATGCCACAAACACAACTGGTAAGAGTTAAGGGAGGTTACAAAGAGTTCAAAAGGGAGGGTTGGTAGGGGTTCAAAGGGCGGGTAGGTGCTAGGCAGGCATGGGCAAACTTGGGCCCTCCAGGTGTTTTGGACTCCAACTATCACAATTCCTAACAGCCTCGGGCCCTTTCTCTCAATGAAGTTTCTCACACCAAGCCTACTCATACTGAGACCTACTGACACTGAGGCCTACCTCACACTGAGGCCTTTCTCCCATTGAGGCCTTCTCACACAGAGGGCTCTCTCAGACTTTCTCGAAGTGACAATCGAATATCAAAGGCCCTTCTTCATGGATTCCACCTTCACCTGCAAACTCACACTTTGGTATATTCAACCTGTAAGAGGCCCAGGTAGACTGCTAAAACGAAAGGGTTTGCCTGTGCTATAGTGTATGCAACAAACACAACAGGTAAGAGTTAAGGGAGGTTACAAAAAGTTCAAAAGCGAGGGTAGGTGGGTAGGAAGGGGTTCAAAGGGTGGGTAGGTGCTAGGCAGGCATGGGCAAACTTGGGCCCATACACTATAGCACAGGCATGGGCAAACTTGGGCCCTCCAGGGTTTTTGGACTTCAACTCCCACAATTCCTAACAGCCTACCGGCTGTTAGGAATTGTGGGAGTTGAAGTCCAAAACTCCTGGAGGGCCCAAGTTTGCCCATGCCTGTGCTATAGTGTATGCCACAAACACAAAAAGTAAGAGTTAAGGGAGGCATTGCTCTGTTCACCATAATCAGGACTAATCTTCATACGTCAACAATATAGGGATAATCATAAACTCACTAACAGTCGCAAAGTCACAAATTGAACTATTGTGGATCTATACTGCAGAATGATTGAAGTTTGGCACCACTTTAACTGCCATGGCTCAATGCTATGGAATGCTGGGATTTATAGTTTTCCCAAGGCGCCAGCACTCTTTGGCAGAGAAAACTAGAGGCATCGTAAAAACAACAACTCCCGAAAATCCATTATATTGAGCCATGGCAGTGAAAGTGGTATCAAACTGCATTAATTCTACAAGTATAGATGAACCCTGTGAACATAATATTATATATTGTATATATGCGCTGTCGCACGCTGGGCCTGAAATAATGTCTGTTTACCGGACGTGCTCTCTGTATGCCCAACGGGACGCTGGGGTGCCTCAGCTGAAGGGCCCCTTAGATTTCCCAGCACAAAGTTCTAATGAGGCTCAACATAAGTTCAACAAAGTTTTTTATTTGGGCTTAAATCTTCAAACAAATGAATTAAACACTTTATAACCTTGGAAAATCGGTAGCTTCCTCAATCTGCCAATAAGGGGAAGACAACTGGTGTTAGGCTTCAAACAGTGAGACTGAACAAAGGTCCTCCTTTCCCTCCAAAACCCTGGGAAAAGGGGCGGGTCTAAAGATTCCAATGATGATTGCCAAGTTGTTGGCCCTATGATTGCAACCTGAGGGAAGCTACATTTTTGCAAAAAGCACGGCTTAAATAGATTCATGCAAACTAGCAGTGCAAGAAAAGGAATATAGCACAATATACATATAATATTATATTATAATGTAATACAATCTATATAAATAAAAATGTAATGCTCGTTTGTGGGATTAACAGAACTCAAAAACCACTGGACGAATTGATACCAAATTTGGACACAATACACCTAACAACCCAATGTACATCCTTCACTCAAAAAAATTGATTTTGTCATTTGGGAATTGTAGTTGCTGGGATTTATAGTTCATCTACAATCAAAGAGCATTCTGAACCCCACCAACGATGGAATTGAACCAAACTTGGCACACAGTTCTCCCATAACCAACAGAAAATACTGCAAGGGTTTGGTTGGTAGCGTCCTTTGGTTTTGGAGGTGTAGTTCACCTGCATCCAGAGTGCACTGTGGACTCAAACAATAATGGATCTGGACCAAACTCTACACAAATACTCAATATGCCCAAATGTGAACACTGGTAGAGTTTGGGGAAAATAGAATCTTGACATTCGGGAGTTGTAGTTGCTGGGATTTATAGTTCACCTACAATCAAAGAGCATTCTGAATCCCACCAAAGATAGAATTGGGCCAAACCCCTCACACAGAACCCCCATGTGGGCCATAGCAACGCGTGGCAGGGGACGGCTAGTATAATAATAAGATATTATAATTATATATACTATATGTGATATAGTATATATATACTATACATATATACTATATGTAATATGTAAAATGTAATATATGTATATGTAATATATATACTATATGTAATAAAAAGTAAGTAAGTAAAGTAATGTAATATTACTAATAATATTACAGTGTAATGGTATAGTACAATATAGTAATATATAATACTGATATTGTGCTATGCTAATAATATAATATATTATTATATGTATATATATCTTATAAGCTGCTCCGAATCCCCTTTGGGGTGAGAAGGGCGGCATATAAATGCTGTAAATAAATAAATAAATCTAATTCTTCAGTAATAGACCCATCACAGATATATAAACCCATTTTTCCTAGTCCCAACAGACCTCATTACCTCTGAGGATGCTTGCCATAGATGCAGGCGAAACGTCCGGAGAAAAATTGCCTCCAGAACATGGCCATATAGCCCGGAAAAACCTACAACAACCCAATAGACCCATTGTTATACTGGGTCTTTAGTATACACGCTGGGGTTTGCGTCCAAGATGCCCCAAGTACAACACAGCATTTGATATTCGTTGTCGGTCTCCCATCCAAATACTAACCAGGGATGACCCAGCTTAGCTTCCAAGATCAGAGGGGATATTGGGCCTTTAGGGATATGTAGTCCAACCCAACAGCTTAACTTCATCCTTTCTGACCTATGGTGACCCTGTTATGGGTTTTGTGCTCAGAAGAGGCTTGCCTTTGCCCTTTGAGGCTGAGACAGTGTGACTTGCTCGAGGTCCCCTATGGCCTTTCATGGTTCAGCAGATTAAAATCCACCCAAGGCAGCCTTTACCCATGACAATACCAGCTCGATTTTGGAAAAATCAGCTTCACCAGTGGAGTTTCTGGTTGTTTTGCAAATGGCCTTGAAAAAAATATAGTATTCCAAGTCTTTTGCCTATCTAACTCCAATGGGATACACACCTAAGGAAGCCAGAGGCTGTTTTGCTGCCTGCCTGAGTCTCCTCTGACCCCCTTTTTGGGCTTTCTTTTGATCCCTTTCTCACCTTTTCCTGCTTTTCACCCCTTTCCTCTTCCGGAAAGCTCTCCAAACGTGGCGCAGCAGCGTGCCAAGGCTGCTTGTTTGCGGTCTCTCCCCATCCCACCACTCGAGGGCGCCAGAGAGCAACCGAGGCGCCGCAGAGGGCGGAGAAAGATGCGAGGCTGCTGCATTTACTCCTCCTCTTCCTCCGTGATCAGCGCTTTAGTTGCCATGGCAACGACGAATGGCGCCCTGGGAATTGCAGTCTTTGGCGGGGCACTTAGAATTCTCAGCCAGAGCGCTGTAATGAATCACTGAACTACAAACAACATAATTCCATAGAATGTTGCCATGGCAGTGAAAGTGGAATCGAAGCGGTGCAACAGTGCAGTGTGGGCAGGGTTCAAATTTCCTTGCTTTTATGACAAATTAAGTGGTCAATTCCCATGCCCCTTCTACACTGCCATATAAAATCCGGATTATCTGCTTTGAACTGGATTATATGGCACTGTAGACTCATATAATCCAGTTCAAAGCAGATAATGCGGATTATCTGTTTTGTTAATTGCAGTGTAGACTCATATAATCCCGTTCAAAGCAGATAATGTGCATTATCAGCTTTGACAATCTGGATTATATGGCAGTGTAGACTTGTATCATCCAGTTTGGAGCAGGTAATGTGCATTATCGGCTTTGACAATCCGGATTATATGGCAGTGTAGACTCATAATCCAGTTCAAAGCTGGTAATGTGGATTATCTGCTTTGATAATCTGGGTTATATGGCAGTGTAGACTGATAATCCAGTTCAAAGCAGATTATGTGGATTATCTGCTTTGATAGTCTGGATTATATGGCAGTGTAGAATAATATAATCCAGTTCAAAGCAGATTATGTGGATTATCTGTTTTAATAATCTGGATTATATGGCAGTGTAGACTCATAATCCAGTTCAAAGCAGATAATGTGGATAATGTGGATTATCTGCTTTGATAATCTGGATTATATGGCAGTGTAGACTCATAATCCAGTTCAAAACAGATTATGTGGATTATCTGCTTTGATCATCTGGATTATATGGCAATGTAGACTCATATAATCCAGTTCAAAGCAGATAATGTGGATTATCTGTTTTAATAATCTGGGTTATATGGAAGTGTAGACTCATAATCCAGTTCAAAGCAGATAATGTGGATTATCTGTTTTGATAGAACCCATAAGAATACCTTGGTTTTTTTTTGGTCATGTCAGGAGCAACTTGAGAAACTGCAAGTCGCTTCTGGTGTGAGAGAATTGGCCATCTGCAATGATGTTGCCCAGGGAATGCCCGGATGATTTGATGTTTTTATCATCCTTGTGGGAGGCTTCTCTCATGTCCCCGCATGAGGAGCTGGAGCTGATAGAGGGAGCTCATCCGCCTCTCCCCGGATTTGAACCTGTGACCTGTTGGGTCTTCAGTCCTGCCGGCACAGGGGTTTAACCGACTGCGCCACCAGGAGCTCCATAAGAAGTCCTGAAGGCCCATAACAATAACAACAGCATAAACAGAGAGATGTCTTAAGACACACTTGAGGTTTAGCATAAAGCGGGAATTGTGCAGAGTGTTTTACAACACATGTGATGTTCCCATTTAATATGATCATTTCAGGTTCTGATAATTAGTAAGACCTCAAGCGGCCCTCGGGCAGCCCTTGTATTCAGTGGGACGAACCAATGGTTAAGCAATTTAGCCATAAAAGGAAAAGAAAAACACAGGATTGTATATTTTTTCAAATGGCAGATTTATGTGAAGCCCAAAGGGGTGGACTGACAACAAAGCGGATAGGGTAGGCTAGGATAATGAGCAAGATTTTGAAATGGCCGTTTTGAATTAGTGGACAAAGTGTATGATTTTGTTGGATTTTTATACGGTAACATCTAAAACCACTTTAAATAAAGTCAGAGGTCATTGTAGCTTTTCTTCACTTTGGCTGGATCTACACAGCTCTATATCCCAGGATCTGATCCCAGATTATCTGCTTTGAACTGGATCCCAATACTATCACTGCTTGTGTGCGCTCAATTATTGCTTCCTTTATTCCCCTGTTATTTCCCATTCCCTCTCTTTGTATTAGGACCACCATTTCTTTTGTTATAACCCAATCAGTCCCTAATACCAGGGAGCAGACCACCCCCGTTACGCCAACCCCACTGGCTGCCAGTCCATTTCCGAGCACAATTCAAAGTGCTGGTCTTGGCCTATAAATCCCTATACGACTCCGGCCCAGCTTACTTGTCCGAATGTGTCTCCCTCTATGTTCCACCTCGTAGTCTAAAATCTGCCAGGGAAGCTCTGCTCTTGGTCTCCACCAGCTTCACAAACACGGCTGGTGGGGATGAGGGACAGGGCCTTCTCAGTTGTGACCTCCACCTGTGGAATTCGCTCCCCAGTGAAATTAGATCGGCATCCTCCCTACTTTCTTTCAGAAGAAAACTAAAGATGATACAAAGACACCCCCTTGAGACCCCTCCCGATCCCCCAGGTTGAGAAACTGTTTTAAAGACGCGGTTGTGGAATCAGGCTTTTGGCTAATGGAAATAACGGCACCTGAACAGTGAATTGGACCAGACGGTTGTTATAATGAAAATGCCTTTATGATTGGATAACTAATGTTGTTTTAATGTATTGTATGATTGCTCTTAATGAGACATGCCACACCACTGGAGAAATTACACTGCTTAGCCAGTATTGCACCACCTGACATCCGCCGGGAAGTAGCAGCCAATAGTGAAAGGACCAAGGCAGAGACATCTCCAGCTCATCCCCTGTTTGGGTATCAGCCAGCACGTAATCAAGACATAGTTTTCTAAGATCTACAGAGACACTCGCTGGAACACCTCAGCAAGCGAGAGTCCAAAAGTGGCAGGCTCAAACCCAGAATTTCAATCAATGGCTGATACCAAATGAGAGACTCCCCCCTGGGCACACAGAAGACTGGGCGACTTGGAAGCGCTGAACAGACTGCGCTCTGGCACGAGATGCAGAGCCAACCTTAAGAAATGGGGCCAAAGTGGAATCCACGACATGCGAGTGTGGAGAAGAGCAAACCACAGACCACCTACTGCAATGCAACCTGAGCCCTGCCGCATGCACAATGGAGGACCTTCTTGTGGCAACACCAGAGGCACTCCAAGTGGTCAGATACTGGTCAAAGGACATTTAATAGAACAGCAAGTCTGCAAACTTTGTGTTTTGTTAATTTGTTTGTTTTTAATGCAATACAACTGTTTTGGTTCGCTCCTGACACGATAAATAAATAACTTGCTTAGTTTCCAAGAGATTCACAACCTCTGAGAATGCCTGCCATAGATGAAGGTGAAACATCAGGAGAGAATGCTTCTGGAACATTGCCATACAGGCTGGAAAATTTACAGCAACCCAGTGATTCCGGCCATGAAAGCCTTCGACAATACAGGGCCCTTCCACACAGCTCTATATCCCAAAATATCAAGGCAGAAAATCCCACATTATCTGAGTCTGAGTGTGGACTCAGATGACCCAGTTCAAAGCAGACATTGTGGGATTTCCTGCCTTGATATTCTGGGATCTAGGGCTGTGTGGAAGGGCCCAGAGAGAAAGAACTCTTTAGCAAAGAAGGGCCAAGTCCCTCCCCTTGGAGCAGAGGCATGTAAAAAAAAAAACCCTGCTAATAGACAAATAAGTGATGCCACATGTCTGGGCTGTGTTTAGCAAAGCAGGGTTGTTGGAGTTGCTTGCTTTTCCAGACACAGAGCAGAGGTTTTGGGGTCCAGGCCAGCTTGGGCCTCCTAATTCCCTCCCAGAGAAATCTTTTCCCCTCCTAGAGCCCCTTGGGCTCCTCCCCAGATCTGCAAAAAAACCCTCTGCCCCCTTCCTCCCCTCCCATTTCCTTCCCTCTGTCCCGTGCTGGAATTCGCTCCCTCCCTTCCCATCCTGCATCCCAGCAGCCAAGGAAAAGCTTGGAGGCCCCCAAGTGCCTGGGAAGGGGCCTTGCCCCACATCAAGGACTCTCCAGACCCGGGACCAAGGTGAGGGGTCTTTGGGATGGTTAGAGATGGGGAGGAGGAAGGGCTGCAAGGGACTAAGGGGGGGGGGGTTAAGAAGGAACAAATGTGTGGGTAGGAAGGAAGGAGACCAAAAATGAGAAGGAAGGGGTTCAAATGGTGGATGGGTTAGTAAGTAGAGGATCCAATGGGTGAGTGAGTGAGACCAAGCTTGGGTAGATGGGTTGGATTACAGGCATGGGCAAACTTCAGCCCTCCAGGTGTTTTGGACTTCAACTCCGAATTGTGGGAGTTGAAGTCTAAAACATCTGGGGGGGGGGTGAAGTTTGCCCATGCCTGGGTTGGAAGAAGTTCTAATGCAACGACCCCTTAATACAGTTCCTCATGTTGTGGTGACCCCCAACCATAAAATTATTTTAGTTGCTACTTCATAACTGTAATTTTGCTACTGTGATGAATCGTAATGTACATATCCGATATGCAGGATGTATTTTCATTCACTGGACTAAATTTGGCACAAATACTCGATGCACCCAAATTGGAATACTGGTGGGGTTGAGGGGTTGATTTTGACATTTGGGAGTTGTAGTTGCTGGGATTTATAGTTCACCTATAATCAAAGAGCATTCTGAACTCCACCAACAATGGAATTGAACCAGACTTGGCATACAGAACTCCCATGACCAGCAGAAAATACTTGAAGGGTTTGGTGGGCATTGACCTTGAATTTGGGAGTTATAGTTCACCTACATCCAGAGAACACTGTGGACTCAAACAATGATGGATCTGGATCTAAATTGGCACAAATACTCATGAATATTCCCAAATGTGAACACTGGTGGAGTTTGGGGAGAACAGACCTTGATGTTTGGGAGTTGTAGATGCTGGGATTTATAGTTCACCTACAATCAAAGAGCATTCTGAACCCCACCAAGAATAGAATTGGTCCAAACTTCTCACACAGAGCCGTCATGACCAACAGAAAATACTGTGTTTTCTGATGGTCTTTGGCGACCCCTCTGACACCCCCTCGAGACCCCTTCCGATCCCCCAGGTTGAGAAACTGTTCTAATAAATGGGAAGATAGGTGGCTATACACAACTGGCAGTCAAAAAACAAAGTTTCTGGAGTATTACAACTACTTTCAAAGTAAGTACCATGCCATTAAACAGGAAATAACAGTTTCATACCAGGAACAGATTGTATTCCCGATTTTGTTACATAGTTTTATGCATGTTACCATTTAAAGAAGAGTCTGAAATCTAAAAGTGATCTAATAGCCCTTAGTGAAATAAATTGCCTTGGAGGATGGGGGATTCTCCTTCTCTGAAGGTCTTTAATCAAAAGTTAATAAATGCCTATCAGGTCCCTTCTACACTGTCATATAAAATCCAGATTACCCGTGTTTGAACTGGATTGTATAGTAGATAATCCATTTCAAAGGGGATAATGTGGATCATTTGCCTTGATAATCCGGATTATATCGCAGTGAAGACTCGTATAATCAAGTTCAAAGCAGATAATGTGGTTCATCTGCTTTGATAATCTGGATTATATGACAGTGAAGATTCAGATTACCCAATTCAAAGCAAATAATGTAGATCATCTGTTTTTATAATCCAGATTATATGGCAGTGTAGACTGAGATAATCCAGTTCAAAGTGGATAATGTGAATAATCTGTTTTGATAACCTAGATTATATGGCAGTGTAGACCCAGATAATCCATTTCAAAGGGGATAATGTGGATCATCTGTTTTGATAATCTGGATTATATGGCAGTGTGGACTCAGATAATCTGGTTCAAAGCAAATAATGTGGATCATCTGCTTTGATTACCTGGATTCTATGGCAGTGTAGACTCAGATAATCCAGTTCAAAGCAGATAATGTGGATAATCTGTTTTGATAATCTGGATTATATGGCAGTGTAGACTCAGATGATGCAGTTCAAACCAGATCATGTGGTTCATCTTTTTTGATAATTCGGATTATATGGCAGTGTAGGCTCAGATAATCCAGTTCAAAGTGGATAATGTGGATCATCTGCTTTGATAATCTGAATTATATGGCAGTGTGGAAGGGGCCTCAGAAATACTTTGACGGTGTGTTCTCCGTGGCAGGGGTTGGGCTGGATGACCTTTGTGGTCCCTTCCAAACGATGGGTAGGTGCTAGGCAGGCATGGGCAAACTTGGGCCCTCCAGGTGTTTTGGACTTCAACACCAGCTGTTAGGAATTGTGGGAGTTGAAGTCCAAAACACCTGGAGGGCCCAAGTTTGCCCATGCCTGTGCTAGATGGTTCAGATTGGAAGGGAGGTAGACAGAAAAGTATTCAAACAGGAGGGAAGTTGGGTTGCAAGGAGTTATTGTCCCATAGATTCCCCCCTTCTGTCCCATAGAATTGATCCTGATCCAGGTCCTTTGCTACAAACTGTTAAATGGATGGACAGGCGTGTGTTTGGCAGCTAGAAGCCCTTTTCCTCCAGAGTTGTGTGACTTCGCTCAAGACAAAAGATTTTGTTTTCCCTTTATGAGACATCTATTTAAAAATAACCGTTCCCAGATTCATGTCGCAGACTGAGCATAGGAAATTTTTCTTCACCCAGGGCCATTGAAATCAAGGCAAAGTCCAGTGTGGAAAGTCTCCCAAAAAGCAAGGAAGGGGGGTACACTAAAAAAGTAAGAGTCAGATATAAAAACTGGCATTTTTTTCATACAGCCTCGGCTATAAGTGTGGGATAGGCATGCCCCATCCTTTCTCACACACACCCCATACCCTCTCCGACCCTGATGATGACAGGAAGTGGGTAATCCACGGAAAATGTGTAATTCGTCCTTGATGGTGTGGTTTGAAAGCACTGGGATGCCAACAACTTTGTATTCAAATGTGTTGTTGAAGGCTTTCATAGCCGGAATGCCTGGGTTGCTGTGAGTTTTCCAGACTCTGTGGCCATGTTCCAGAAGCATTCTCTCTTGATGCTTTACCCACATCTATGGCAGGTATCCTCAGAGGTTGTGAGGTTTATTGGAAACTAGGCAATGGGGTTTATATATCTGTTGAATGTTCAGGGTGAGAATGAGAATTGTCTGCTTGAGGCAATTGTGAATGCTGCAATTGATTACCTTGATTAGCCTTACAGCTTCAAGGCTTGGCTGCTTCCAGCCTGAAGGAATCCTTTGCTGGGAGGTGATTATCTGGCCCTGATTGTTTCTTGTCTGGAATTCCCCTGTTTTTTAGTGTTGTTCTTTCTTTACTGACCTGATTTTAGAGCTTTTTAAAATAATAATAATAATACTGGTAGCCAGATTTTGTTAATTTTCATGGTTTCCTCCTTTCTATTGAAATCATTCACATGCTGGTAGAAGTAGCCAGGTATTGAAGCTACAAGACTATTCAATGCTAAACAAGGTAATCAATCACAGCATTCACACTTGCCTCAAACAGACAAGAGTTCTTTCTCCCACCCTGGACATTCCACAGATATATAAAATGTGGCGTAATGTAAAATAAACCACATGTAGTTCACATTTGATCAGCCCACACACTGCCTTGCCAGAGAAAGAAAATATGCCACGCAGGTGAACAGTCCATAACAAGGAGTTTACTCTTTGTAGTTCAGAACAACCTATATATAAATGTGATCAGTTGCATCAACTCACATAAATGTCCTTTATGAGAGATTTAAAATTGTCTTTCTTTTGTCCATGTGGATAAAAGATATATAAATGGTGGTGTAATGTAAAATAAACCATGTGTAGTTCACGTTTGATCAGCCCACACACTGCCTTGCCAGAGAAAGAAAATATGCCATGCAGGTGAACAGTAAATAACAAGTAGTTTATGCTTTGTTGTTCAGAACCACATATGTACTATGGGATCAGTTGCATCAACTCACATAAATATCATTTTATGAGAGATTTTAAATTGTTTTTCTTCGTCCATGTGGATAAATTTCTTCAGCAGATCATGAAGCAAGAGCACACTCCAAACTCTGTCTCTCTCTGCTTCTCTCTGAGCATCTGGATAGCTCCAGCCTGATAAATGTAACAGTATCCAAAAGTCCCAGGTTCAGCCTGCTCCCTGGGCTAGCCCAACCAATCAGTTTAATGCATCTTATTTTACAATTGACACACACACATACTCGCTGATTCTTTGCATGCTTCAACATAAACCCCACTTGCCTTGTTTCCAACAAACCTCACAATGTCTCAGAATGCCTGCTATAGATGTGGGTGGGACGTCAGGAGAGAATGCTTCTGGAACATGTCCATACAGCCCGGAAAACTCACAGCAACCCAACTCTGTATTTGAGAGGAAGGGTAATAAAGAACAAACATTGAGTGCCCAGCTGGTGCTAACGGGTCAAGACTTCGGGGCAGGAACTCATCGTTGAACTCAGCAAAATGAACAGGAAATATGTAAACACAGCTGGAAGCGCAACGTACCACATTTTTGAAGAAATATAATGCATGTTGCCATTTAAAGAGAGTTCAGACCATGACATTTGGAATCTAAAAATGACCTAATGTTCCATGGTCAAATAGATTGCCTTAGAGGATAGTGGATTCTCCTTTGAAGGCCTTTTATCAAAGGTTGATGAATGTCTCCCAGGAATACTTTGGCAGTGTTTTTCCCATGGCAGGGGTTGGACTGGATGGTTTTGTGGTCTCTTCCAAACTGCAAATCTTTGATTGCAGTACTAGACATTTATTTTGGTTTAATTTTTCCCCTCCTTTCAGAAATAACCTATGTTTTGGCTCCTCCTATATTCCTTTGTCTGAGCAGAATAAAATGTGTATTATATTAGTTCCAGGTGTATGTGTGTGTGTGTTTAGAGAATTTTAGTTATTGTAAGAAACAGACTGGCAAAACCAGCTTTGCGTATTCCTTTTCATAAAAAGTCTGTGGGTTTGCCATGTGATGATAGGCAACTTAAAGACACACACACATAACAAACAAACAAGCAAGTAATTAAATACTGGTTTGATCCCCATTTTAAGGGAGAACATTATCTTTTCTGTTTAACATTCTAATTCTGTTTTATTCTTCTACGCTGCCATATAAAATCCAGATTTTAGGCTTTGAACTGGATTATATGGCAGTGTAGACTCATACATTGTCCGGATGCCCGACCACTGTCTCCCAAAGCCGTTGCTCTACTCCGAACTCAAGAATGGAAAATGGAATGTTGGTGGGCAGGAAAAGAGATTTTAAGATGGGCTCAAAGTCAACCTTAAAAACTCTGGCATAGACATTGAGTACTGGGAAGGCCTGGCCCTTGAGCTCTCCAGCTGGAGGTCAGCTGTGACCAGCAGTGCTGTAGAATTTGAAGAGGCAGAAATGGAGGGCGAAAGAGAGAAACGTGCCAAGAGGAAGGCACATCAAGCCAATCCCGACTGGCACCGCCTTCCACCTGGAAACCAATGCCCTCACTGCGGGAGAAAATGCAGATCAAGAATAGGGCTCCACAGTCACCTATGGACCCACCGCCAGTACACCGATCTTGGAAAACAATTCTATTCGGACAACGAGGGATCACCTAAGTAAGTCTAGATTCATATAATCTAGTTCAAAGCAAACAATGTGGATTATCTGATATGATAATCTGGATTGTATGGCAGTGTACAAGGGGCCTCAGTAGTTCCTCTTAAAGCTTGCTTTGCAGATCTTTGGTATTTTAAAGTAATCCTCCTCCAGACATATTCCATCTTGTCAATATCCTTCTTGAACTATAATATCCAGAAGTAGACCCAGAATTCCTGGTGAGATCGGGGTGCTCTTCTCCTCCTGATGCAGCCTTGAACTGCGTTGTCTTTTTTTTTTTTTTTGGTGCCACATCATGCTGTTGACTTGCGTCCACAGTGGAATACTGTTCTGCTTTCAAGCCATCCTATATTTGTGCATGTAGTTTTCTAACCATGCATTTATTTCTGGGGAAATTCATCATGCCATTGTCATCCGTGAAATGTTGGAAGGCTTGGATCCTGGCTTGCTTGTGATTCTCTATGAAATGTGTTTGGATTTTTTTTCTAGTGAAATATGTGAAAACTCCTAATCACTGTATTATTATTACTATTTTGCTTCCATGTCTAATTAGAAATCTATCCATCATGGGGGTCAGCCGTGGCTGTTTGCTCTGCGTTAAAGTGAAAATGTTTGTCTTCAATCTCATCTTCTGGGTGAGTGACAGTGTGTGTATAAGAATCCCCATTGTGAAGTGTATGTGAACTCTATGCTAGCCAGATTTGTGCATCAGATAGCCTTTCAGTACAGTAGGTCATTCAGGCTGCTTCCAGATAGCACTAAATCACAGGTTTTAAACAGGGGCAAAAATCCTGGGACTTCAGAAGAGGTCCACATACAGACCTGTTGGTCCAGAGATTTCTGCCTCTGTTGTCCAGACTTGATGCTTTGTTGCGAGATTTAGAGGCTCCCAAGATGGCTGTCATGGAACTTCCATCAGAAACTTCAGCGTTTTTGCAATAAAAACCCTCAAAAGGTGGATATGTGGAAAATCACTGCAAAAGTTCCGTTCTTTGTCCTGGCCAGAGAAACTGTTCCCTCCAGACATTTCATGAAGTATCTGCCACACAAACAAAGTTTACCCTGTAGGACCACTTTTGCCCAAGTCAGCACTGCACAATTAAACAGGAACACACACTTTCAAGCCTGGAACAGAATGTTGTAATTATTGACACTTTTTAGAGCCTGGCTGCCTGGCTATCTGTCCAGACAGATTTGGTTGTGTACTTGTGGCATTAAACAACAGGGTGCATGTTCCTGGGTTATACATGGCTGTTCCTGATTGCTCTTCATGTGAAAAGATGTACTAGGGGGCCACTACTTTGTCCTGGCCATGTGTCCTCCACACATTTCATGAAGTTTCTGGCACACAAACAACGTTTTTACCTTCTACTCAAGTGTCACCTTCTTTTTAGGAACCAACCAATCAGGAACAAACATCTAAAACCCGGAAACAAACCCAGATAAAAAAATCCCACGATTTCCAATTGCGAGGACATACAGACATGCGAAGATCCGCATATTCAGCTCAAAACCGCAATATTCCCACACCTGGAAATTTTGGGGGTTTTTTTGCCTTTTGCAGCGATTGCTTCCACATTCACAGGGAATGGCATTTGGCCTCCCTCCTGTTTGCTGCGGAAGCTTCTGGGTACTGTCTGGACAGGCCCTCACACAGTCCCAGGATTTTAAATTAATAAAATATACACAAACCTATCTTATAGGGTTCTAGTGAGACTGAATGAGGTCGAGAATGGATTTGCTGCCCAAATGTTGTAATTCTAGGTATCTGAGAACCTAAGACAGGTTCTCCTCTCCCAACTGTTTGCTGAGCTGTCATTGAATATGAATCAATCAATTGCTTGTAGATTTGTGTACAATAGAAACCTGAAGGCAACTTCAGTAACAGGAATAAAAACTTAGTTTTATTACAGAAAGTGTTTGCACGGTACCTACACACACAAAGACATATATATGAGGGTTATCTGGAAAGTAAGTTTACAAGATTTTTAAAAAATACAAAGAAAGAATATATTTTAATAAAACTTACCTGGATTACATTATTTTTCCACATAATCACCATTCAGTTCAACACATTTTGTCATCCGTGGGATAAGTTTTTGATGCTTGTGTCACAGAAGTTTCCCTCCGCCTTTTTCAGCCAGTTCATCACTTTGATTTTTACCTCGTTGTCATCGGAAAAGTGTTATCCACAAGGTGTTCCTTCAATTTAGTGAACAGATGAACATCACTGGGTGCGAGATCGGGGCTGTGAGAGGGGTGGCTTAAAACATTCCAACCAAATGAAGTCAACAACTCTTATGTTGCATGAGCGGTGTGCGGACGTGCATTGTCATGAAGGCAACAGACTCCCGCTGTCAGCATCCCACAGTGTTTGTTTTGGATGGCTCTGCGAAGTTTCTTCATGGTCTCACAATATATTCCGTACCCATTTTGTCACATGTCTTGACATTACGTCCTCTCCATAAACTGAAACGTTTTCACAATTAATCGCAGTGGCGTTCATGCCCTTCGCATTTAGGTAGCGTATTACAGTGCCGACTTCGCACTTGGAGGGAAACAGAATGAGGACGCTCACCTCTAACCTTCACCATAATGCCAGTCGATGAGCTACTGACAACTGGCAATGCTCGTTCATTTCCGCTGGCTTCCTGCTACACAGCAGTGATAACAACTTCCCCCACGAAAATTCCCTGCAAGAGCTATGTGCCTTGTAATCTTCCTTTCCAGATAACCCTCGTATTATTGGAACAGAAGGAATTAAAGTGGAGTTTGGCCTTAAGTTTGCAAGAGCAATTAGAATAGAATAGCATTATTTGTCATCGTGCTGTTAAACAAGGAAATTGCATACACATACACACCACAAAACAATACATCGATCCCTTCCTACCACCACTATTTGCTTTACAAAAGAACTGCTCCAAATAAAGATGAAAATGATGGAAACTGTTTTTGTTTGGCACAGCTATCTATATGCTTTTAATTCCCTTTTGGGGTAACGTTCCTTGTAGAAACTGTGCTGGTCCAGAGGCATAAGAAGAAGGGGATGATAGACTTCCACATTCACTGGCTACATTCTGACTTTTTATCTGCCTCTCCTCTAGCTGGGCGGCTGTGGAGTCCTTGGTGTGGGAGTTTGGCTGGCCGTTTCCCAGGGCCGCTTTGCCACCCTATCGTTCTCCTTCCCATCGTTGTCGGCTGCTGGCTTCTTCATGGCAACTGGGGCAATCATCATGGTTGTGGGCTTCCTTGGATGCTTGGGGGCGGCCACGGAGCACCGTTGCCTCTTGCTCACAGTAAGTAGTATCTCTCTACAAGGTGGAATGGAGGTGTTTTCAAAGAAGGAGCTGTGTTAGGGTGCATCTATAACACAGCTTGATGCCACTTGATTGCCATGGCTTGATGCTGCCTTTTACTCACAGTGAGCAGTATCTCTCTACAGCAGTGGTTCTCAACCTGTGGGTTCCCAGATGTTTTGGCCTTCAGTTCCCAGAAATCCCAACAGCTGGTAAACTGGCTGGGATTTCTGGGAGTTGTAGCCCAAAACACCTGGGAACCCCCAAGTTGAGAACCACTGCTCTACAGTGTGGGCTGGATGTATTTTTAAAGAAAGAGCTGTGTTAGGGTGCATTTATGCTGATGAATTAATGCAGTTTGATGCCACTTGATTGCCCTGGTTCAGTGCTATGGATTCATGGGAGATGTAGTTTTATAAGGTACTAGCCACCCCCTGCCACACGTTGCTGTGGCCCAGTCTTTGTATATGTGTTTTGTGTGTGTGTATATGTGTTTATGTGTGTGTATATATTTGTGTATATGTGGATGTATATATGTGTGTGTGTATATATATATATTTGTGTATTTGTGTGTTTATGTGTATATATATTGTGTATATGTGTGTACTTGTCTATATGCATATTTGTGTGAATATATGTGTGTGCATGGTATACATATATGTGTGTGTATGTATATTTGTGTGTGCTTGTGCATATGTGTGTGTGTGTGTGTGTATGATGTTCTTGGGAGGGGGTTAAGTCTGTCCCACTGGGGTTTTCTTTTGGTGTTTTTAGGGGTGATGGACACCCATTGGACTATTAGGTGTATTGTGACAAAATTTCGCGTCAATTCATCCAGTGATTTCCGAGTTATGTTTCTCCCACAAATGAACATTATATTTTTATCTGTGTAGATGTGTTTTGTGTATATGTGTCTACATGTGTGTTTGCGTATATAAAAGTGGTTTTGCGCATACGTTGTAATGTATTTTTGGGGTTTTTTTGGCTTTTTAAGTATCTTCTGCTGTGTTTTTCAGCGTTTTTATGAGTGATGATGACTTGTAGGCCTGATAGAATCATAGAATCATAGAGTTGGAAGAGACCTCATGGGCCATCCAGTCCAACCCCCTGCCAAGAAGCAGGAATATTGCATTCAAATCACCCCTGACAGATGGCCAGATGATAGGTGTATTGTGTCCAAATTTGGTGTCAATTCGCCCACCGTTTTTTGGGTTCTGTTAATCCCACAAACAAACATTACATTTTTAGTTATATAGATTTCAGTCTTCTCTGCCAGAGAGTGCTGAGGGTGAATTGGACTCAAGATGGGCAATAGATACACAAGTGTTATGTGAAAATTTTGGCAAAGATTAGCAAGAGACACTGGGAAATACAGAACAATTTGAAGCAGGGTTTAAATCCATAATCTATTTGAAAAGCCACTGTTGGGAGTAGGATTCCTATTGGTTCAGGAATGTCCAATCTGCATGTGAACACAAACTCTAAGCTCTATGTTTTATCCATCTCTCTCCATCCCAGTTTTTTGTGGTCCTCTCTACTCTCTTCCTCCTGGAGCTGGTTGGATTGCTGGTTTTTGTCACTTGCAGAGACAAGGTAAGACCTTTAGTTGTCGTACAGATAAGAGGGACAAATGGCATGGGACTGATAATGTTCAACAAGATAGCCAGAGGTTTCTGTATCTTGGGGGAAGGATAAGCAAAAAGTAAATTGATTCAGAAGGTGGCATGCCTTGAATGCATCCTTTGTACAAATCCAATTTCACACTTTAAACAGAAAGAAAGCTGCAACCCAAGTTGTGTGCATTGGTGACTTGGGTTTCCTTTGAAGAGCTGCAGCACACAGGGATTTTAGGTTCATCAAACACGTTTTGCTGCCTGAAGTCGTACTGCATATAATGCTACTCCCTTAATGAAATCGAGTGGCTTGGGCCATAATCCTGTGTCGGTTTAACTAAGAAACTTCTCCCACTTCCCAAACCTGACGGAAACATAATTCAATACAACCTTACATTTGTTATGTGGTCTTTGGTATTAGCTGTGGTTTGGTCTTAGGACTTGCCATGGATAACAAAATATGTGGATGCCCCAAACCCGTTATGGATTTTCTATGCTGGTATGCTGTAACCCTTAGGATCCCCTGTTGGTGCAGCAGGTTACACCACTGAGCTGCTGAACTTGCTGACTGAAAGGTCGGTGGTTTGAATCCGGGGAGCAGGGTGAGCTCCCGCTGTTAGGCCCAGCTTCTGCCAACTTAGCAATTTGAAAACATGCAAAAATGTGATTAGATCAATAGGTACCGCTTCTGCGGGTAGGTAACGGCACTCCATGCAGTCATGCTGGCCACATGATCTTAGAGGCGTCTACCGACAACGCCGGCTCTTCGGCTTAGGAATGGAGAGGAGCCCCACCCCCCAGCGTCAGACACGACTGGACAATGTCAAGGGAAACCTTTACCTTCTGCTGTAAGCCACCTTGGGTTCTCATTGTAGAGAAAGGCGGGGTAGAAATACCCTAAATAAATAAATAAATAAATAAAATATATACAATGTCATAGCAAAAAGAAAGGGAAAACGTTACATGAAGAGTTCAACTTTTAGTGAGCATCTAAAGGACTGGGAACTTTGAATTATGCTAGCTCAGGCATGGGCAAACTTCGGACCTCTAGGTGTTTTGGACTTCAACTCCCACAATTCCTAACAGCCTACCGGCTGCTTCATTCAATGTGTTTTTCAAATCTTTTGTCTAGTTTGACAAGTATGCCCAGGCTAACCTAAAGGAAGGGCTTAAGCTGTATGACACAGATGACAACTTGGGCTTAACCAAAGCTTGGAATCATGTCCAGAATGAGGTGAGTGTCCAAACGATTCTTTTAAGACTGGTAAGGAATGGCAGGTGGGGGTGTGGGTTTTTTTCATGTCTCCACTTGATGCCTCCCTTTGCTTTTCAGTTCCGGTGCTGTGGCGTCCAGAGTTACGCGGACTGGTTTGAGGTGCGCAACCAGACGTGGGTCCCTATGTCCTGCTGCTTACAGCAAAGTGACACTTGCCAAGAGGACAGCACCAGTTGGTGGAAAGAGGTGAGAGGATGGCAGCAAAGACTGGCTTTGTGGAGAGGGAGGAATCCATATATTCCACCCTTCCCATGAGACTCAGGAAAATCAGATCTTCCTTAGGAGGCTTTTCTTTGTAGTAAAATAACATGGTTGCACTATTTACAAGAACAATGTTTCATTAACACAAATGAAACATTCTTTATACTTTCTTCTTTGTTTCCACAGTGGGCTTCTTTCTCATGCAGATAAACAGCTTTGCTCTCACAGAGGCTCCTCTCACAACGACCTTATACTGGAGCTTCACACAGTAGCTTTTTGCACACAGCAGCCTTTATACACTGGAGCTTTACGCACGAGGCCTTCAACCTGGGGCTTCTCTCACAGAAGCTTCTCACACACTGACTTTTCATAGACTAAGGTCTACCTCACACAGAGGCTTCTCTCACAGACTAAGGACTACCTAACACTATGAGGCCTTCTCTGACAGACTAAGGCCTTTGCCCCACTGAGGCAAACTAACACAGAGGCCTAGTAAGCTACAGGCATACCTGCTTACATAGAACTGCAGCTTTTGCTGAGTCATTGCATCCGTTTAACCCTTTCAGTGCTTGACTCACATTTTTGTAATTAAAAATACCTAGTTAATTTTTAATAAATCTGACAGAAAGCAAGGATATATGTACATTTGCTGAAATTTTAGGAGAAATAGCTAAGACCGTACTGTGGGTACATCCTCAATTTTCTCTCCTTCCTCTATCAGTTTTTTAAAAATCTCAAAATAGTGACAAATATAATGAAAGTTGTACTATTTCTGTAACCAAACTCATCAGCTAAGGTTTTCTGCTAAAATAGGAACTATCAATTTGTTGAACTTGTATTTTCTGTTAGTGAAAATTCACACAATCAAATTGCAAAATTAGGGCAATGGCACATCATGCATGGGAGCCCACGGTGGCACAGTGGGTTAAACTGTTGAGCTTGTTGACCGAAAGGTCGCAGGTTCAAATCTGGGGAGCGGCATGAGCTTCCGCTATTAGCCCCAGCTTCTGCCAACCTAGCAGTTCGAAAACATGCAAATGTGAATAGATCAATAGGTATTGCTCCTGCGGGAAGGTAACGGTGCTCCATGTACTCATTCCGGCCACATGACCTTGGAGGTGTCTACAGACAATGCCGGCTCTTCGGCCTAGAAATGTAGATGTGCACCAACCCCCAGAGTCGGACACGACTGGATTTAACGTCAGGGTGCATGGACTTCATCTTCCATACCTTCTGACCAATTCTGCAGTTTGGCTTGTGTTTATTTTGTGTGTGATTCCCTGCAGCCCTGTTATGAGAAGGTGAAGCTCTGGTTAGGAGAGAACATTTCTGCAATGGGCATCTTTGCTGCCTGCATCATCGTTGTCCAGGTGAGGTGGCCAGCTTGTTGCTAAGGACCAATTTAGCAATGTCTGCATCCCTTTACACAATTTACCTGCTTTTGATATTTATAGGATGGGAGAAGGAGCTATTCTGTAGTAGCTCAAGGGGCAGAAAATAGCAGCCTGTAATTTAAAGCAGAAGAATAATTAAAATAGAGGGTAGATGACCTGAGGATTCATTAAGCATTCCTAGAATTTACCAAGCATTGATCACACCATTCAAAGTTTATCACTGCTGTCATTAAATAGGGAAATTGTGGCATTCAGATTTCTTGAACTATACATACAGCAGTCTTTTAGCAGCACAACCAATGAAAAGTAATGCGAGGACTTTGTTCAATGGAATCATACAAGGAAGGTTGACTTGTTACAGTAATCCCCACCTCATCTCCAATCAGACTGAATGGAAATATGGGTGGTGGAGTCACATGCCTCTAGGGCTGTTTTCAGTGGTAGAGCACATGCTTACATGCATAGGAAGCTGTATCACGTTTGAGTTGGGTCATCTAGTCTTCATGGCTCTTTTACTTGCAATGTTGTGATCCATCACAGAGCTACTGCCGCTGTAGGCAATACTAGAGTAGACTAGACTAGGAGCCTCTGGTGGTGCAATACCGGCAGGACTGCTGACCGAAAGGTTGGCGGTTTGAATCCGGGGAGTGGGGTGAGCTCCTGTCTGTCAGCTCCAGCTTCTCATGCGGGGACACGAGAGAAACCTCCCACAGAATGGTAAAACATCTGGGTGTCCCCTGGGCAGCTTCCTTGAAGGCGGCCAATTCACTCACACCAGAAGCGACTTGCAGTTTCTCAAGTCGCTCCTGACTTGAGAAACTAGATGGTGAATGGCGATCTGGCAATTTCATGTTCCCCAGGTGACGGCACTACAGCGCCACTGATTAAGGACTACCTGTCTTTTCTGTCATTTTTAGAGGCACTAGGACAGGACAGAGGTGAACATTTTCAGACAATGGAGATGTTATGATAACGTAAACTAGGGATCAACCCTACTGCTTCCAACCTGATATCTCACTCCTCTCCTTCCCAAACAGGTCTTGGGCATTGTGTTCTCCATGCTGATGTACTGCCAGGTCCGGAGAGCAGAGAAGTACTATGACTGAGCCCCTCTGAGCCTACTCCTTGTAGCTCAGAGACATAAAGCTATGAAGCAGTAGTAAAGGTGTTTCATCCGAAGGAGCTACTTTACTTTCTCTTCTCAGCCCCTTCCTTCTCATCTTTCAAGACGTTCCTTCCTCTGCTACAGCTTGTTCCTGCCATTTATTGAATGCCTTAACTACTAAGAAGTATTCTCACTCCAGGATAGACCCCACTCTCCTAAAAGATCCCCTCTGTTACTTTTTTAAATTCCCCATGTCTCTTTTTAGCCCTCAAGTGAAACTCCCTTCTCTCCCCACTATATCTTGTATCATAATCTCTCTCTCCTTCTAACTCTGCTGCTTTTGTATATAACAGAACTATACCAAGTACAAATAAACACCTTATAATCACAGTCCGCTTCCTGTTGCGTATCTGTACTTTTTGGTTAAGGTTCATTCCTTTTTAAAAGGGACTTTATCCCCACCATTATCTTTCAAGGGACCCTTGAGCAGAAATCCCCATTCATTTAAATGGCAAGACCTAGAAGAATTCTTCCTATTAACTACCCATTATTAATCTCCTCAAAATTAATTAAATGAATGATTGCCAATGAAGTAATCAGACTTTGGGGATACAAAAATAGCAGGAGAAAAGAGATAAGCCTGCTCTCCTCACATCATTTCTATTTGATAGAGTTCACATGCCTGGAGGCACAACGTGAGTCCTTAGAGCAGAGCTTGGAAATGTTACTTTTTGGGCTCTCAGCCCAAGATCTTCCAGAATGCCCAACCACAGACAATAAGCAGCTTTAGAGAAAAAAAGTCACTTTTCCAAGAGGACAACAGGCAGTTCTCCAACTATGTATTGCCTTTATTTCAAATTTCTGGGAGTTTAGTTCAAGACTTTCCCTTTTTACACACAGCAGCCTTCACACTGGAGCTTCCTCTCACAAGGCTTTCAACCTGGGGCTTCTTACACCAGGCCTGCACACACTGAGGCCTTTCTCACACAGTGACCTTCTCATACTGAGGGCCTCTCTCACACTGAGGCGAATTAACACTGAAACCTACTAAACTACAGAAACAGCTGCTTATATTACACTATAGCCTTTCCTAAGTCATTGCATCCATTTAACCCTTTCAGTGTTTGACTTATATGTCCAGTTAATTTTTAGTATTTCTGGTAGTATTGCCTTTATTTCATATTTCTGGGAGTACACTTCAAGTCTTTCCCTTTTTACACATAGTAGCCTTCACACTGGAGCTTCCTCTCACAAGGTTTTCAACCTAGGCCTTCTCACACCTTCAGGCCTTCACACACTGAGGCCTATTGCACACGGAGGCCTTTCTCACACAGAGACCTTCTCATACTGAGGGCTCTCTCAGACTAATGCCTCTTTCACACTGAGGCAAATTAACATTGGGGCAAACTAACACTGACACCTACTAAACTACAGGCACTGCTGCTTTTAGTAAACTATAGCTTTTCCTAAGTAATTGCATCCATTTAACCCTTTAAATGTTTGACTCACTTACATAGTTAATATTTAATATTTCTGATAGTATTGCCTTTATTTCATATTTCTGGTAGTGCACTTCAAGGCTTTCTCTCTTTAGATATCTTGCTCTTTTCTTTAGTTATTCAAACCATATACAACACAACAAGACAACACAAGGAGTTGGTAAAAGACATATTTTTATTATTGGCTAGTAGGTTGGCAGGAAGGAGAAAAAAATAATACATCCTCTCCCTTCCAATTCACCAATCATCTTTGGACAAAAATAGAGGGCCAGAGCCAGAAAGAGCCCTTGAAAATCTGATACAAAAGTATGCTGGGCGAGCAAGGTGGCAGAAAGAAGGGGATAAACAGAGGGTTGTGTGTGACTCTTAGAGCCCCCATCAAGGCTCATATCTGAACCACCCTCCGCAACAGGAAAAGGAAAGACCCTGAAATGCCACTCCTGCAAACTGGCAGAGACTTCTGCATGGGGAGGAAGAAGAGAGGGGAGAGAAGAAGAAGAAAATGACAGTACCTCCCCATCACTCCAACGAGGGCTCAAACTGAAGTGCAGACAAACCCAGCCTATGTGCAAAGGATCTTTTAAGACACTTATAAGGGAAACAGGGATTAGAAAAGAAAAGAAAAACTATTCTGATTAAGGGAGCCATCAGCAGCCAGGGTTGGTAGAGTGGGGAGCACACAAAGGGGGATGCGGTGAAAGTTTTGTCAGTAACTCTTTGTAGTGTTTTTTCTTTCCTCATTTAAATGTATGGATGTCAGTACCCCCTTACAGAACAGCTATCGTCACTCCTAGTTATCCAAGATAAAGGACAATGTAGGACAGGTTTTCTGAGCTGGAGAGAGGAGGGGGTTCATGAGACCCTCCAGCCCAACTGTAGTGTGAGATTGAGGTGATCACTGTAAGTTAAAGTTTATGGGAGCTCAAGCTTGGAGAGGAGGGAAGATTTGGACTGTATGGCTTGAGGGCAGCTTCCAACCCTGTCCACCGGACTTTGAAGGGAGTGGGGGAGAAGGGCACCAACTGGGGAGGGGGAGGCAAAGGGACCCCCCAGATCCATCAGTATTTCCGCTGCAGCTTCTGGAAGTCGCTCGTGTTGAGCCGTGGCCGAGGCAGGTCCCCAAACATCTCTGTGCCGTCCGAGACTCGCAGCACCAGCGCCCGCATGCTGGCAGCAATCTTCTCAAGATCAGGAGATGAATGCTGCAAAAAGGGAAGTACAATGAGAAGATGGAAGACTCCCCCCCCCCCCCCCTATTTCCCAAGATTTGCCACATTTCCTGCCCTTGGTGGTTCTTAACTTCACCTCTTAACAATGCCTACCATGCAAAAATGTTTTTTTAAACTACCATCCCCAGTCAAAAAAATAATTCTCCCAACCTTGGGCCTTCACCTCCCACTTGTTATAGGCATTCAATACTTTTGAAAATATCCAACATCAAGAAAGCTGATTTCTGCCTAAAATACACACCAAACTATTCTGCACCATTTATTCTGCTGGCACTGAAGAAAATTAAAAGGTAATAGCCAACCACAAAACACCTGAATTCACAAAAAATATTGGTCATATGAATTCAAGGCTAACTGCAGGCATAGCAGATCTCAGAAACTTTAAAAAAGGATGACAGCCTTTACTAATCTGGTCATTTAGGAATCAGAACATTGTCAGAAAGTAGAACTGGTTGAGAACTGAACACAGGTTATTTTAGCTCACAAATGTATTTTAGCCACTGGAAAATATGAGACCTGCATAGCTAGGTTTGCAAGGCTACATGATCTCTCTGAAGGCAAGGTTGCTTGCTCATCTGCTCACTGGACCCCTCCTGGCTTATAAAATCACTGGGGGTGGGGGTGGGGGTAGCTGGCGGAGTGGGTGAAGGTGCTGGTGAATGCCTCTTTGATGCAGGGCATAATGCCAAGTATTTCCAAGGAGGCAGTAGTTAGACCCTTATTGAAGAAACTGGCATTGGATCCCACTCAACAACTATAGGCCAGTAGCAAATCTTCCCTTACTCTGCAAGGTTCTAGAGAAGGTGGTGGCCTCACAACGTCAAAGGTTCTTGGATGAAACCAAATATCCATCCCAGTCTGGTTTCAGGCCTGGCTATGGGACAGAAATGATATTGGTTGCCTTGGTGGATGATCTATGAAGACAGCTAGATAGCGGGAGTGTGTCTCTACTAGTTCTCCTGGACCTCTCAGTGACTTTTGATGCCATCCACCATGGTATCCTTCTGGGTCGTCTTTCCGGGATGGGGCTTGGAGGCACTGTTCTACAGTGACTCCGGTCCTTCCTGGAGAGACAAACTCAGAAGGTGGAGCTGGGGGACTCCTGTTCGACTCGCAGGCTGTTGGCCTACAGGGTCCCTCAGGGTTCAATTCTGTCTCCCATGCTGTTTAACATTCACATGAAACTGCTGGGAGAGATCATCCAGAGTTTTGGAGTTCAGTATCAAATCTATGCGGATGACACCCAACTCTATTACTCCTTTCCATCAAATGCCAAGGATGCTGTCCTGCCTCTAAACCAGTGCTGGTCAGCAGTGATGGACTGGATGAGGACCAACAAGCGAAAATTAAATCTAGACAAGACGAAGGTACTCCTGGTCAGTTGGAAGGCGGATCGGGATATGGGATTACAGCCTCTGTTGGATGGGGTCAGGCCTGCAGTCTGGGGGTGATCCTGGACTCATCATTGACCCTGAAACCCCAGGTATCAGCAGTAGTCAGGAGCGCCTTCACACAATTGAAACTTGTGTGCCAGCTGCATCTATTCCTTGAGACGCCAGACCTGGCCATGGTAGTGGCCACCTTAGGCACATCCTGCCTAGACTACTGCTATGCTCTCTACGTGGGGCTGCCTTTGAAGACAGTTCAGAAACTTCAACTGGTTCAGTGATTGGCAACCAGATTACCAACTGGAGCCCCGGACAGGGAGAGATCCACTCCCATGCTATGACAGCTCCACTGGCTGCTGGTCTGCTTCTAACATTTAAAACTCAAAATGATTCAGGTCCAGGTTATTTGATGTGATGAACTGCATCTTCACCTCCAAACCAACTTGGGCACTGTGGTCATTGGAGGAGGCTCTGTTCTCAGTCCCACCCCCATCTGAAGCATGGCTGGAGGGAGCGAGAGAGAGAGGGGGCCTTCTCTGTGATTGCCCTCCTTCTCTGGAATTCACTCCCTTAAGAAATAAAGTTGGTTCCCTCATTTCTCTCCTTCAAAAAAAAAAAAACAAAAAAACAGCTGAAAACCTATCTTTGCTCACAAGCATATGGAGCGGAGGAGGATTAGATGAAGAGAACCTACTACCAGACTACTGACTGGATACTACCAATGCACTTGGACCTTGTTAGATCACATTAGTCCATTTAACAACTTTGGCCATACAATCTATGCACACATTTGTGGATCTTCATGTTGTTTTGATATATTAATTCGGATATTTTATGTTTAAGTTCTATGTTAATTATAATTTTCAATTGGTTATGTTTTATTTAAATTATAGTTGTTATGCTTAAGTTGCTCTTTATATGGGGTTATCTTGGGTTGTTATATTTGTATTTAGTGTTACTGAGGCAGTGAATGTATGCCTTTTTTTATTGTTGTAATCTACCCTGAGTCCGCCAGCAGAGATAGGGCGGAATATAAATAAAGTTGTTTATTATTATTATCATCATTATTATTAGCTGTGCCCTGCCACGCATTGCTGTGGCCCACATGGGGGTTGTGTGTGGGAGGTTTGGCCCAATTCTATCATTGGTGGGGTTCAGAATGCTCTGTGATTGTAAGTGAACTATAAATCCCAGCAACTACAACTCCCAAATGTCAAGATTCTATTTTCCCCAAACTCCACCAGTGTTCACATCTGGGCATATTGAGTATTCCTGTAGAGTTTGGTCCAGACCCATCATTGTTTGAGTCCACAGTGATCTCTGGATGCAGGTGAACTACAACTCCCAAACTCAAGGTCAATGCCACCAAACCCTTCTAGTGTTTTCTGTTGGTCATGGGAGAAATGTGTGCCAAATTTGGTTTAATTCCATCGTTGGAGGAGTTCAGAATGCTCTTTGGTTGTAGGTGAACTATAAATCCCAGAAACTATACAACTCCCAAATGACAAAATCATTTTTTTAGTGAAGGACATACATTGGGTTGTTAGTTATCTTGTGTCCAATTTTGGTGTCAATTCCCCCAGTGGTTTTTGAGTTCTGTTAATCTCACAAACGAACATTACATTTTTATTTATATAGGTTATTATTATTATTATTATTATTATTATTATTATTATTATTATTAGGTTGCAAAAGATACAAAGTGATTACAACTTTGAAATCCCTCAGCAAGCACAGCCAGTACCCTCCCCTACTCACCTTGCTGGTCTCTTCATCTGAAGATCGCAGCTCTTGCCGCTGTTCCTTGAAGCCCCAGATGGGCACTGACACCGGCAAGGATTTGGCATATTGATGGCTGAGTGTTGGGGGGGCCACCTGCCCTGGAGCCTCTTCGCTCAGACTCCCATCTAGAAGAACGGCCAGGGGTGGGAAGAGTGGGCGCAGAAGGAGCAGAAGAAAGCGGGAATCAGTAACAGTAAGCACTGTCATCTCACACTATCCTGGGGGGTGGGGTGGGGGGGTATCCTAACTTAACCATTGTACAAAGTTTCACCATATTCTCAAAAGGCAGGAACTACAATAATATCAACCAAATCTCTTGTTTAACTTGACTTTAATATCTGAGTTTGCTTTTCTGAGAACATGTTATTTTTCAGTTATTTCCCCCAGCCACCACTTACCATCAGTGCTTTCCAAATCGGAGTCAAAGAAGGGTTCGTAGTCCTGTGTTGGGGAGTCCTCATCCATCACAAACAGACCTGGAAATGGATTTTGGATGGAAATACAGGGGGGAGGGAGGGGAGTGGAGAGAAACAGAATAACAGTGAGTCGCCCTTGGGCTGAGAACAGCGGTATATAAGCAAAGTAAATAAATAAAGTAAATAAATAACAGTTATTGTTGTTTTCTATAAAGGCAAGATGGAGCAATCTCGGAATCAAATACACACATGGCTTTTTATACCATAATCTCTCATCAAAGATTTCAAGTGGAGCTGCAGTGATGCAATGGGTTAAACCCTTGTGCTGGCTGAACTCTGACTTGAACGTCGGCAGTTCAAATCCATGAGATGGGGTGAGCTCCCATCTGTCAGCTCCAGCTTCCTATGTGGAGACATGAGAGAAGCCTCCCACAGGATAATAATACATCCGGGTGTCCCCTGGACAACGTCTCTGCGGACGGCCAATTCTCTCACACCAGAAGCGACTTGCAATTTCTCAAGTCATTTCTGACACGATAAAAAAAATAAACATTTCATATATTCATAGAGTTTGAAGGTTCTTAATGGAACATCATGTCCAAATCTTCAACTAAGGTATCTTCTGCAGGTAGCTTATTTTATTTATTGTGTCAGGGGCAGACCAAACAGTTGCATTGCACTGCATTCTGCAGGTAGCTGTCCAGCCTCCATTTTTGAAGATATTAGAGGAGGAGACTCGCCATTTACTTTAGGCAAAAGGTTCCATTATTGAACTATTCTGATAATCAAGAAGGTCCTTCTAATGTTAGAGCCAAGGTGAGGAACTTCTTGCTTTTCTAACTCACCTTTCTCCTAGTAAAGGGCCCATGTGTTCCTCGTGATTTCTACATCAACATACAATTCTAACATGAGTTGGTACATATAACTGCTGGAAAATAACTGGTAACTAGTTTGGTTTGATTTTGCCTTTTGATGGGAGGAGAGTGTCATTGTTGAGACAGTGTCATTGGATTCTTGAGTGGGTGTGCAATTTTAATGCATTTCATAGTTCAATGTTTAACAGTTTTAATAACACAAAAGTTTAATTATTTTTATTAATTCTTATAGTAAAATTCTTGTTTTATATGCTTTCGGTTTTATTCTGTATTGTAATGCGTGTTTATTTTATGCAATGTTTTAGGCACATTGTGCCATATGTAAGCCACACTGAGTCCCTTCGGGGAGATGGAGACGGAGTACAAAAATAAAGTTGTTGTTGTTGTTATTAGATGCTGAAAGATCCTGGATTTTCAGGTGTGGGCTCTTCATAAAGACAGAAATATGTGAATTGTGCATTGTATGAATTAGGACAATATGTTAACTTTACAAGGAAACACATGGATAATTTCATTGAAAAAAAAATTATTTGGGTTTCAATAGTACATAATCTGCTATTTCCTGAAAGCAAATAAATAAATAAATAAATAAATAATAAGACTGAATTTGTATTCTGCCCTATCTCCCGTAGGGGATTCCAGCAACCAAAAACCAGCAAGGCAAACATTCAGTGCCTTAAAACAAGTACTGACATGAATACATGACAACCCACCCAATCCCAAAGCAAACTGATGTCCAACGATTAATTATAACATAAGACCTAACATTACACAAACAATTAAACATTAACATTACATGTAACCATAAAAACATGTACCTCAATTTACGGGGCTCTCAAAGGTTCATTAAAAGAATTACAATTGACTATAACTGCAATAATATCCATGGCGCTGTATGCTGCATGGCATGAATTTTGACCTTTCCTTATGGCTGTCTGAAAAACCTGGCAACACAATCATTACGTGATTAGGATGTCAGACTAGACAGCCCTTTTATCAGGTCCAGCAGGCCTCTTATGTTCTAACTTACCCTCAGAGGCAGATTAGATGACAAGTTAGTTCAGATATGGAACAGCCTTCTCTAAGATAGCAGCCTCCAGATAGCTAGGACTACATCTCTCATTAGTTAAAGTTGCTAAGTAGGGATAATGAGGTCAGTAGTCCAACTGATCTTTAGAATACCAAGTTGGATGAGACTGATCTAAGAGCATTTTATTCAACCAAAGGGGATGAGTCCAACAGTTGCAGACCAACATGGACTTTCTGGCTCAAAATGGGACTCCAAGTGACTTGGGCCAAGGAACTTTACTGGGTTTCAGCAATAACCACAGACACCACAGAGACCTATGGTCTTGGCACGTCTCAGCATTAACTCCCTAACCCCAGTCGCTAAAAATACCTCTGCTCTTCTCTACGCATTCAGGAGTATCATGTTCATTCAGCCAATGGACAAACAAGGTTGGGGGGGGGGGGTCACAAGGGAGCAGGAGAGGCCAAAAGATCAGAAAGCAAGATGCAGAGCTTGGGAAAGTGCCCCTTTGCACTAACCCCAGAAATCCTCTTGTTGGGGATTATGGGAATTGTAGTCCAAAATAGTAACTTTGGAAGAACTAATAATAATAATATATATATTTTTGGTCGTGTCAGGAGCATCCTGTTGTGAGAGAATTGGCCGTCTGCAAGGACGTTGCCCAGGGGACGCCTGGATGATTTTGATGTTTTTATCATCCTTGTGGGAGGCTTCTCTCATGTCCCCGCATGAGGAACTGGAGCTGATAGAGGGAGCTCATCTGCCTCTCCCTGGATTCGAACCTGTCGGTCTTCAGTCCTGCGGGCACAGGGCTTTAACCCACTGCGCCACCGGGGGCTCCATAATAATACTAATACTAATACTAATAATAATAATAATAATAATAATAATAATAATGATAATAATATGGGGGCTGCATAATAATAATAATAATAATAATAATAATAATAATAATAATACTTTATTTATACCCCGCTACCATCTCCCCAAGGGACTCGGTGTGGCTTACATGAGGCCGAGCCCACAACACATCAATAACAAAAGCAATAACAACAAACAATGCAAAACAATTAAAATAAATCTCATAAACAAAATAAGCAATAAACATGAACAATAGCACAACACATGAACTACACATGAGGACACACAGAAACCTGGTTGTTTTAGCGAGGATATAAGCTACAAAGAAGCATGGTATCTTATCCACACACCCTACCCCTGGAGTCACATATGTTGTTGTTGTTCTGTGCCTTCAAGTTGTTTATGACCTATGGCCACCCTAAGAGACACCTATCACAGGGTTTTCTTGGCAAGATTTGTTCAGAAGAGGTTTGCCACTACCTTCCTCTGAGGCATAAAAAAGGCAGAATACACACACAGTACTTTTTTTGCTCAGTAGTTTTGTTCATCCAAAAGTAGCAATGCTTTAGGGAAAAACGAGAAAGGTTTCGGATGAATAACTAGCTTGTGAGAAGAACAGCCCTCCAAACTTTATAAGATCACGTCCTCTCTCTAAGCATTGTTCCCTCTTTCTAGGCATTGTAGACAAGTGCTTATGAAGCATATAAGACAGTGGTTCACAACGTTCTAAAGCTGCAACTCCTTAATATGGTTCCTCATGTTGTGGTGACCCACAAACATAAAATCATTTTTGTAGCTACTTCCTAACTGTAATTTTGCTACTGTTGTGAATCGTAAATATCTAATATGCAGGATGTATTTTCATTCACTGGACAAAATTCGGTACAAATACCCAATACACCCAAATTTGAATGCTGGTGGTGTTGGAAGGGAATGATATTGTCATTTGGGAGTTGTAGTGGCTGGGATTTATAGTTCGCCTACAATCAAAGAGCATTTTGAACTCCACCAACACTAGAATTAGGCCAAACTTGGCACACAGAACTCCCATGACTAACAGAAAATACTGGAAGGGCTTGGTGGGCATTGACCTTGAGTTTTAGAGTTGTAGTTCACCTACATCTAGAGAGCACTCTAGACACAAACAATGATGAATCTGGACCAAACTTGGCACAAATACTTAATTTGCCCACATGTGAACACTGGTAGTTTGGGGGAAAATAGACCTTGACATTTGGGAGCTGTAGTTACTGGGATTTATAGTTCACCTACAATCAAAGAGCATTCGGAACTCCACCAACAATGGAACTGAACCAAACTTGGCACACAGAACTCCCATGACCAACAGAAAATACTGGAAGGGTTTGGTGGGCATTGACCTTGAGTTTTGGAGTTCTAGTTCACCTACATCCAGAGAGCACTGTGGACTCAAACAAATATGGATCTGAACCAAACTTGGCACAAATACTCAATATGCACAAATGTGAACACTGATGGAGTTTGGGGAAAATAGACCTTGACATTTGGGGACTGTAGTTACTGGGATTTAATGCTTACTTACAATCAAAGAGCCCCTTTCTAATGGTCTTTGGTGACCCCTCTGAAACCCCCTTTGCGATTCCCCCCAGGGGTCCCGACCCCCAGGTTAAGAAACACTGACCTAAGAGCATAACAACAGCATGTTTACCTCAACTCACTAGATGTTCTTTGGCCATTCCCTAACATTTCAAGCCCAGCACTTGCGGAAATCCAGAACTTGGAAATAATTACATTCCTTGTTACTTTTGGGGATTTTAAACACTAATTCTTCTGTAAAATAGTGTCACAGATAATATAGCTATTGATTTTGTATAATAAATAATTATTCTTCATTACTTTTAAAATGCCCTGTGAGGTCTTGGGGGATTTGGGATCAACTTCAGGTTGCTTCTTTATACTTCTCATTAGAATAAATAAGCTCTTAAATTAACAGGACCAGATATTATTAATGGCTCAATAGGTGCAACTGCTCCTGATTCATCAACAGCTAGGGGTCTAATGCTGAAGGTTAAAGTGTATATCTTGCTTATTCTTCTTTCCCAGCAATTTCCAGAATCTCCAGATGTTTTTGTTATAATCCAATCTACTATACATTACTTGAATAGCAGAATAAAATGCACAGGATCAAGCTGCTAGTGTCACTGAAGTGGCTGAGCTGAAAATACTTCACTCATGAAGACTTAGTACTTCAGTCTTTGTATTATTTTAATTATTATTTAATTTCAATGCGATTATTCCTAGAATGGGCCCCCTGGTGGTGTAGTGGGTTAAACCGCTGACCTGCTGAACTTGTTGGTGGTTCAAATCCAGGGAGCAGGCCCAGGATTTGTTAGGCCCAGCTTCTGCCAAGCTAGTAGTTCAAAAACATGCAAATGTGAGTAGATCAATAGGTACCACTTCTGTGGGAAGGTAACAGCTCTCCATGCAGTCATGCTGGCCTCATGACCATGAAGGTGTCTACTGACAACGCTGGCTCTTTGTCTTAGAAATGAAGATGAGCACCACCCCCCATAGTCGGACACGACTAGACTTAATGTCAGGGGAAATCTTTACATGCCCAGTTCCCTAAGCCGCTCCTAGGAGGGCGACTAAAATGATCAAGGATCTGGAGAACAAGCCCTATGAGGAGCGGCTTAAGGAACTGGGCATGTTTAGCCTGAAGAAGAGAAGGCTGAGAGGAGATATGATAGCCATGTATAAATATGTGAGAGGAAGCCACACGGAGGAGGGAGCAAGCTTGTTTTCTGCTTCCTTGGAGACTAGGACGCGGAACAATGGCTTCAAACTACAAGAGAGGAGATTCCATCTGAACATTAGGAAGAACTTCCTGACTGTGAAAGCCGTTCAGCAGTGGAACTCTCTGCCCCGGAGTGTGGTGGAGGCTCCTTCTTTGGAAGCTTTTAAGCAGAGGCTGGATGGCCATCTGTCAGGGGTGATTTGAATGCAATATTCCTGCTTCTTGGCAGGGGGTTGGACTGGATGGCCCATGAGGTCTCTTCCAACTCTTTGATTCTATGATTCTATGATTATGCCTAGAATAGTTCATACATGTGCCAAAAAGGGAATCCTGTTTTTTAAGTTGCTCCATGGCACTAATCACCTTAATCCAGAGCCTTCTCTCTGTCTCACCACCCTTTCAGGCCCCTTCTACACTTCTACATAATCCAGATTACCCACATTATCTGTTCTGAACTGGATTATACGAGTTTACACTGCCATATAATCCAGTTCAAAGCAGATAATCTGGATTTGATAAGGCAATGTAGAAGGGGCCTTGAGTTCTTTTGGTGGGAACAAGGGAAGGGGCTTTTTCGGTTGCTGCTTCCACTCTGTAACTCTCTCCCAGAGATCGGAATGGCCCCATTCCTGCTTGCCTTTCATAGGAAGGGGAAAACCTTCCTCTGCCATTGGGCATTTATCAATTGATGGGAGGAGAGCTGTTGGGACAGTGTCATTGGATTCTTGAGTGGGTGTGCAATTTTAATGCATTTCATAGTTTAATGTTTAACAGTTTTAATGACACAAAAGTTTTATTATTTTTATTAATTCTTATAGTAAAATGTAAATGCATTTACACTGATTTTACTTGAATTGTTTTATATTTATTGATAGCTCGCTTGAGTGGTTCAAAAATAAATAAATTAATAAATAATCCAGCTCTCAGTTAACGCTTAATAATCACACTTTTTAAAGATTCTGGAGAAACCACCCATATTGCTTCAGATTTTGCCTAAACTATTATTTTGGCCTATTAGCAACAGCAAACACAGGTCTTGAAGGACTCCCTTCTATCATGCATACTTCCAGAAATGATACATGTTCACCATTTTATTTTACTGTTGAACCTTTGGCATATTCTTTAAGCCAGGTTTTTTAAAAAAATGGGGATGATTTACAGTGTTCTAAACCTTTGCCTAATGCAATTTGTTTTGTCTTGCTTTTGTGCTTCAGTTTTGTTGATTAGAAAGCAAACTATGTTGACGTACAACGTTAGGATGCACATTTGATGGAAATGCAGCCTATATATGTGAAGCTTGTTTTACAGGAATCAACAAATTTTACAGGAATCAACAACAACAAAAAACATACTGAGGATACACATGCTTTTGCTCTAAAATGCCGATTTCCAAGCCCTGAATTGGTTATGTGGATAGTTTTGATCTGTGTATAACAGGCATGGGCAAAGGTGTTTTGGGATTCAACTCCCACAGGGAGGGCCAAAGTCTGCCCATGCCTGTGTATAATACTAGCCAACAAAGAAAAAAGAAGAGGGATCGACCAAGGGCAAGATGGATGAATGTTATCTTTGAAGTGACTGGCTTGATCTTGAAGGAGCTGGGGATGGCAATAACCGACATGGAGCTCTGGCATGGGCTGGTCCATGAGGTCACGAAGAGTCAGAAGCGACAGAATAAACAACAAAGCCAACAATGAGCAGCCACCTATAACTCGGTTCTCTCTTTTTTGGGAGGATTTGGTACCTTTTGGAAACAAACTCCACATATGTTTTTAAAAAACAACCCCAGACTTACCGGTGGTGTCACTAGGATGGTCTCTCCCACCTGGCTGCTCCAACTCAGTCAACGTGTTCCTGTCTCCTTCATCATCATCATCTTCGGGTTCCTGGACTTCGGAGGCCTGTGGCAAGGGCCCCTGGGGCGTGGGTGTCCGGTGTGGGGCAGGCTCCTCTGGAGCGTAGGTCGGGGGCAAGCTCCTGGAATAGGAGTCATGGCTGGGAGGTGGCCGAGGGGCGGAGGGAGGGCGGGCCGCATAGGTGAAGGCAGTGGTCTTGTGAACCACCGCAATATCTTCGAGGTAGCGTTGGACGGCGTCCGCCAGAGCACCACTTCCATGCTGCATGTAGCTGAAGCCGGTCGGGGGCGGGGCCCGGAAGGCGGTGAGCAGCACAATCTCGTTTCCTGTCTGACGCCGGTACTGTTCTGCTGCGGCAACCAAGGCCGCCCAACTCTCCTTGTGGTTATCTGCCATGTCTGTCATCCTGGAGAGAGAAAAGAATCAATTGAATTGATATTTTTATATGTGCACGTGTTTTACTGTATTTTATATTGTGTTCACTTTTATGTTTGTTTTTAGGCACTTTGTGCCATCTGTAACCTGCCCCGAGTCCTTTCGGGGAGATGGTGGTGGCATATAAGAATAAAGTTATTATTATTATCAACGTTAGGATTATCACACAAGCAAAAAGAGAAGGGCATTCAAAAGGCATGGGCGAACTTCGGCCCTCCAGGTGTTTTGGACTTCAACTCTCACAATTCATAACAGCTGTTAGGAATTGTGGGAGCTGAAGTCCAAAACACCTAGAAAGCCAAAGTTTGTCCATGCCTGGCATTAACGCTCTATCGAGTATTTTTACAAAAACTTAGCCAATCCCTTTTTATGTAGTTCAGTTGACTTGAAATATTTAATAGCCTGTACTTGATAAAAAGAGACTTGGTTTTAAATTACCCACATTTACTTGAGTCTAATGGGCCATCGAATTTAATCCTCAATTTTCAAAACCCTGAAACCAAAAAAAGTATTTGCTTATGAATGTATTTGCGACAAAAGGTGCACTCTTTGTAATATGCCCATTATGGTTGCTGCCTGCTTAGAATTCCTTCTTGGAAAAAAAGTGCTAAAACACCAATGTTTCAGCAATGGAAAAGAAAATATTGGGGCGCATCTATGCTGTACAATGAATCCGCTTTAATTGCCTTTGTTTGATGCTATGGAGTCATGGGGTTAGTGATTTTATAAGGTCTTGAGCGTCCTCTGCCAAAGAATGCTGATGCCTGACCAAACTACAAATCCCAGAATTGCACAGCATTGAGCTATGGCAATTAAATTAAAGATGACATTCGTCAAATAGGAGCTCCAGGTGCTCCTGAAACAGCTTCCCCTTCTGCTTTGGGTCAGCATTAAGATTACCATATTACATGAATCTAATGCACACTTTGGCAAGGTAATTTAGCCAAAAAAAGGTGAGCATTAAGTTTGAGTAAATTCGGCATGTTGCCGTTGTGTGCCTTCAAGCTGTTTCTGACTTATAATGCCCTAATCATTGAATTTTTTTGCAAGATTAATTCCAAAGAGGTTTTCCATTGTTTCCTCTGAGGCTGAGAGAACAGGATGTGCCCAAAGTCCAACAACAGGTTTCATGGCTCAGTGAGGATTCAAGCCCTGATCTTAAAAGCTGTAGTTTAATGCTCAAACTATCCCCCTATACTAGTTCTCAAAACACAAATTATTACACAATACAGATATCAGAATGGTTGCTTGCAGGATTACAGCTCCCAGGATGCCTCAACAGCTGCTTATATTGACTGGAGATTATGGAAGTCTCAGCCTAAAGAATAATTTTCATGCCTCTTTTCACAAAATGTGTTACACACATTTTCTGAAGGTCTTTCTATTAAAATAACTACAGTAGCAGACTCTTGAGGGATTTGTAGATGCTGGATAAATGTAGATTCTAGTTCCTTGAGAGTTACTATTAAAAGTAGGCCAAACTAACACTGTACCCCATACTATACCATACCATAAATTCTGTCTTTACTTGATAATAATATTGAAATGGAGTAATAAAAAACAAATGAAGACAAACTTAATGTAACACAGTTTTACTGTATGATTTAAAAAGAGCTTTTCTTAAAATTCAAAGGATTATTTCTTCAAAAAAAATGCTGGCTGCTTGAATTTTGGTCTACTGTAATCATAAAGAAGTTACCATATCATTTAGGGGCTAAATAGTTTCAGCTGAATCAACAAACCAAGATAGGGAAACAATCCTCAGTACAGTGTAATATCTATTAATATTGAACTTCATTGACTAGTGCAGGCACAGGCAAACTTGGGCCCTCAAGGTGTTTTGGACTTCAACTCCCACAATTCCTAACAGCCTACCAGCTGTTAGAAATTGTATGAGTTGATGTCCAAAATACCTTGAGGGTCAAAGTTTGCCCGTAGAGAAAGAGACCCAAGAGTCTTGGCTTTTTTGTAGAGGAAAATTTGTTAATAAATCAGAATAGCTGGGCTCTGGGTGCAGTTTGACCCCCTGTAACTGTTATGAGCTCGATGTTAAGGGATTGTGGGAGTTGTAGTTCACAAGGTCTTCATCCTCTTCGGCGAAAGGGCCCTGGCCAAACTACAAATCTCATAACTCCATAGCGTTGAGTCACAGCTGTTAAAGTGGTATCAAACTACAGGAAAGGGAACCAGCCACAAACTGTGGAAAGGCAGAAACCAGGAAAATCTGGGTCCTCTCAGCCTTGCATGGTTGCGTTGTTTTCTTCTTTTCCAGTTGTTGTAAGCCGCTTCGTGTCTTGACTAGAGAGATAAAAGTGGGATGCAAATAATAATAATAATAGAAACCAGGGCACCTGGGCCCTCTCAGCCTTGCATGGTTTTGTTGTTTTCTTGTTTTGCAATTATCATAAGCTGCTTTGTGTCTTGACTAAAGAGATGTAGGGTGTTAATAAATAATAATAATAATAATAATAATAATAAATAGAAACCAGGACACCTGGGCCCTCTTAACCCTCCATGGTTGTGTTGTTTTGTTGTTGTTGCTTTGCAACTATTGTAAGCAGCCTTCTGTCTTGACTAGAGAGATAAAAGTGGGATGCAAATAATAATAATAATAAGAAGAAGAAGAAGAAGAAGAAGAAGGAGAAGGAGGAGGAGGAGAAGGAGAAGAAAAAAAGAAACCAGGATACCTGGGCCCTCTCAGCCTTGAATGATTGCATTGTTTTCTTCTTGTTGTTTTGCTATTGTTGTAAGCAGCTTTGTGTCTTGACTAGAGAGATAAATGTGGGATGTTAATAATAATAATAATAGAAACCAGGACACCTGGGCTCTTTTAGCCTTGCATCGTTGCGTTGTTTTGTTGTTGTTGTTTTGCAATTGTTGTAAGCTGCTTTATGTCTTGAGTAAGAGAGATAAACGTGGGATAATAATAATAATGTATATATAATAATAGAAACCAGGACACCTGGACCCTCTCAGCCTTGCATGGTTGTGTTGCTTTCTTTTTATTGTTCTGCTACTGTTGTATGCAGTTTTGTGTCATGACTAGAGAGATAAATGTGGGATGCTAATAATAATAATAATAATAATAATAGAAACCAGGACACATGGGCTCTTTTAGCCTTGCATGGTTGTGTTGTTTTGTTGTTGTTGTTGTTGTTTTGCTATTGTCGTAAGCCGCTTTGTGTCTTGAGATAAAGGTGGGATTATATATATATATACACACACACACATATAATAAAAACAAGGACACCTGGGCCCTCTCAGCCTTGGATGTTTGCGCTGTCTTGCTGCTGTTGTTTTGCAGTTGTTGTAATCAGCTTTGTGTCTTGACTAGAGAGATAAAAGTGGGGTGCAAATAACAACAACAACATAGTAACAACAATACAAGCTAGGACTACAGGACCACCTGCAAAGAGAAGGGAGAAAGCTTAAGAAAGGCTTTGGGAAACACTCCAAAGAAGGCTTCCATCATAAATGGGGTCCAATGTTTGGGGGAAACCTTGGCCCCCATTTCAATAAGGAAAGCAAACAGGACCCAAGACTCGTAGGTTCCCTCAGATTATGACATACATTCATGGGAAATGGGTACAAAATAACTATTTTTCCAGACAAAGCAAGTTGGGTGAAGGATACAATGATACCCAACGCCAAACATGAGGCAAAGCCCCCAATGGCCCCACAGCATTCCCCTTCCCATTGATTACCTTCCTCAGCTTCTGGACTCTCCTTCCGAGCTTGACCACCGGAGCCTCCCCCTTCTCCCCCTTTCGGGGCAACTAGGCCAAGGCCTGACCTCTCACCTTTAGCCTTCCCCAGGACATCCAACTCCCCCTCCTCTTTAAACAACAACCGCCTCCTCCTCCTCCTCCCCCTCCCTTCCCCACCCCCTCGGCCCCGCCTCTTCCGGTTGCCCTCAGAAGACATGGAAGCGACGCCCACGCCTTGCCCTTTCCAAAGATGGCGGAGGAAAAGGCAGCGCTAGGGAAAGGCGAGCGTGAAGGTTTTTTGCCCAAAGCAAAGATGGAGTTAGAAGATGACGTAGAAAAGAGGGCGGAGTCACGGGGAAGGAATAGAGGAGGCACTGCAGGCTACTTCAACCAGAGAAGTCAGCCATAGCAGAGCACCAAGTGAACCAGCCTGGACACAGCATATTATTTGAGAACACAGAAGTGCTGGACCACTCTCACAACCACCATGTCAGACTACACAGAGAAGCCATTGAAATCCACAAGCATGTGGACAATTTCAACAGAAAGGAGGAAACCATGAAGATGAACAAAATCTGGCTTGTTGTTGTTCATTCGTTCAGTCGTCTCCGACTCTTCGTGACCTCATGGACCAGCCCACGCCAGAGCTCCTTGTTGGCCGTCACCACCCCCAGCAATCTGGTTACCAGTATTAAAAAACTCTAAAATTGCAACAGCACAACAGCAGAGAGGAAACAAACAAGGACATCTAATCACATCTCAACAAAAAATTGCTCCAGGCACTGTCAGGCAATTATATGCTAATCAAGGTGGTCAGCTGAAACATTCACACCTAGCCCCAGCAGACAAGAGTCCTTTGTCTCACCCTGGTCATTCCACAGATATATAAACCCTTTTTCCTAGTTCCAACAGACCTCACTACCTCTGAGGATGCTTGCCATAGATGCAGGCGAAATGTCAGGAGAGAATGCCTCTAGACCAGGGGTCCTCAAACTTTTTAAACAGAGGGCCAGGTCACAGTCCCTCAAACTGTTGGAGGGCCGGATTATAATTTGAAAAAAAAATTGAATGAATTCCTATGCACACTGAACATATCTTATTTGTAGTTCCAAAAAAACCCACTTAAAACAATACAATAATTAAAATGAAGAACTATTTTAACAAATATGAATTTATTAGTATTTCAATGGGAAGCGTGGGCCAGCTTTTGGCTGATGAGATAGGGTTGTTGTTGTTGTGTGCTTTCAAGTCATTTCAGACTTAGGTTGACCCTGAGCAAGGGCCGGGTAAATGACCTTGGAGGGCCATATCCGGCCCCCGGGCCTTAGTTTGAGGACCCCTGCTCTAGACCATGGCAATATAGTCCGAAAAAACCTACAACAACCCGCTGTTGTTGTTTATTCATTCAGTCGCTTCCGACTCTTCGTGACCTCATGGACCAGCCCACGCCAGAGCTCCCTGCTGGCCGTCCCCACCCCCAAATCCTTCAAGGTCAATCCAGTCACTTCAAGGATAGCAGCCATCCATCTTGCCCTTGGTCGGCCCTTCTTCCTTTTTCCTTCCATTTTCCCCAGCATCATTGTCTTCTCTAAGCTTTCCTGTCTTCTCATGATGTGGCCAAAGTACTTCATCTTGGCCTCTACTATCCTTCCCTCCAATGAGCAGTCAGGCTTTATTTCCTGAAGTATGGACTGGTTGGATCTTTTTGTAGTCCAAGGCACTCTCAGAACTTTCCTCCCAACACCACAGTTTAAAAGCATCTCTCTTCCTTCGCTTAGCCTTCCTTATGGTCCAGCTCTCATATCCGTAGGTGACTATGGGGAATACCATTGCTTTGACTATGCGGATCTTAGTTGCCAATGTGATGTCTCTACTCTTCACTATTTTATTGAGATTGGTCATTGCTCTCCTCCCAAGAAGTCTTCTGATTTCCTGGCTGCAGTCTGCGTCTGCAGTAATCTTTGCACCTAGAAATACAAAGTCTGTCACGGCCTCCATGTTTTCTCCCTCTATTTGCCAGTTATCAATCCGTCCGGTTGCACTAATCTTGGTTTTTTTTATGTTTAACTGCAACCGAGCTTTTGCACTTTCTTCTTTCACCTTGATTAGAAAGCTCCTCAGCTCCTCCTCGCTTTCGGCCATCAGAGTAGTGTCATCTGCATATTTAAGATTCATATTTCGTCCAGCAATTTTAACCCCAGCCTTGCATTCGTCAAGCCCCGCACATCGCATGATGTGTTCTGCATACAAGTTGAAAAAGTTGGGTGAGAGTATACAACCCTGCTGTACGCCTTTCCCAATTTTGAACCAGTCTGTTGTTCTATGGTCAGTTCCCACTGTTGCTACTTGGTCCTTATACAGATTCCTCAGGAGAGAGACAAGGTGATTTGGTGTGCCCATACTACCAGAATTTGCCACAATTTGTTATGATCCACACAGTCAAAGGCTTTAGAATAGTCAATAAAACAGAAATAGATGTTTTTTCTGAAACTCCCTGCCTTTCTCCATTATCCAGCGGATATTGGCAATTGGGTCTCTCGTTCCTCTGCCTTTTCTAAACCCAGCTTGTACATCTGGCAACTCTCTCTCCATGTATTGCTGGAGTCTTCCTTGCAGGCTCTTGAGCATTACTTTACTAGCATGAGAAATAAGTGCCACTGTACAAAAGTTTGAGCATTCTTTAGCATTTTCCTTTTTTGGTATGGGGATATAAGTTGATTTTTTCCAGTCTGATAGCCATTCTTGTGTTTTCCATATTTGCTGGCATATGGCATGCATCACCTTGACAGCATTATCTTTCAAGATTTTAAACAGTTTAGCTAGCATCCCGTCATCTCCTGCTGTCTTGTTACTTGGAATGCTTCTTAAGGCTCACTCACTATGGTTTCGCTCCTAGCATCATTGAGGTGCTCAAGCTCCAGCGCCACGCCAAGGCAGCAATCCTTTGCTGGAGATAAAACGGAGTTTTATTTATTTTGTGTCCAAAGCATTGTATAAATAAGCAAGTATAAAACTAATAAAGGGAGCACAAGCAGCTAAATAATTTTAGACTAAAAGCGGGCAGTAGTGACTGCATTGTCTGTCACTTTAAATTGTTCTTTCTCTGTGCATGAGGCAGGGCATGGTGGGCAAGCATACAGATGGGTGAGTTTTCCAGGCTGTATGGCCATGTTCCAGAAGCAGTCTCTCCTGATGTTTTGCTCACATCTATGGCAGCCATCCTCAGAGGTTGTGAGGTCATGAGTCTGAGGATGCCTGCGTAGATGTGGGAGTAATAATAATAATAATAATAATAAAACTTTATTTGTACCCCGCTACCATCTCCCCAAGGGACTTGGTGTGGCTTACATGAGGCCAAGCCCACAATACATCAATAAACAAAACATCAATAAATCAATACAATACAATTCATATAAATCACATAAACAAAAATAGGCAATAAACAATCAACAGTGACATACAAACATTTAAAACCAATGGCTGGGCCAAATGTAATAGATTAAAATTAAAAAATAATGCTGACATGAACAAGGTAGGATATAATTGGGATAGGATTTTCAGAGAGAATTGAGGGAACGCAGTCAGTCCTAAATCAGTGGTAAAGTGCATTTTGAGGGCATATTGCTGAGAGTTTTCCTTATTCTGGGAAGGCACACTGGAACAACCACGTTTTCAGGCTCCTCCTAAAGAATGCCAGAGTTGGGGCATCCCAGATGTCCTTGGGAAGTGAGTTCCAGAGTCGGGGGGCCACCACCGAGAAGGCCCTCTCCCTCGTCCCCATCAATCGAGCCTGCGAAGGAGGTGGGAGCATGAGCAGGGCCTCTCCAGATGGTCAAAGAGATTCTGTGGGTTCGTACACAGAAATGCGGTCACGCAGATAGGCGGGTCCCAAACCGTTCAGTCAAGAACATGGCCATACAGCCCGGAAAACTCACAGCAAGCCAGTCTTTCCGGCCGGGGCTTTAGTACAGCGCGATTGGTGGGGATGAGGGACAGGACCTTCTCGGTGGTGGCCCCTCGACTCTGGAACTCACTCCCTAGGGACATCAGACATGCCCCAACGCTGGCAGTCTTTAGGAGGAGCCTGAAAACGTGGTTGTTCCAGTGTGCCTTCCCAGAATAGGGAAACTCCCAGCAATATGTCCCTAAATGCACTTTTTAGTGATCTAGAATTGTCTACATGCTCTATCCCTCTCCAAAATTTCTATCCTGTTTGTATGTCACCTGGTCACACCCAGCATTATTAAAAAAAAATCAATTAATTAGTACATTTGGCCCTGTCATAGGTTTTTAAACGTCGTTGTATTATTGTTAATGTTTATTGCTATTTTCTGTTTATGAGTTTATTTATTGTTTGTATTACTGTTGCTATTGTTTTTATTGTTGTATTGTGGGCTCGGCCTCATGTAAGCCGCACCGAGTCCCTTGGAGAGATGGTAGCGAGGTACAAATAAAGTTTTATTATTATTATTATTATTATTATTATTATTATTATTATTGGGTTCTTGTGGGTTTTTTCGGGCTATAGGGCCATGTTCTAGAGGCATTTCTCTTGACGTTTTGCCTGCATCTATGGCAAGCATCCTCAGAGGTAGTGAGGTCTGTTGGAATTAGGACAATGGGTTTATATATCTGTGGAATGGCTGGGGTGGGGCAAAGAGCTCTTCCCTGCTGGAGCTAGGTGTGAATGTTTCAACATTAGCATTTGAAGGCCTGGCTGAGCCTTATTATTATTATTATTATTATTATTATTATTATTATTATTACTGCTGATAAATCACCAGCAATGATAACATCGTCGAAGGCTTTCATGGCTGGAATCACTAGGTTCTTGTAGGTTTTTTTGGGCTATAGGGCCATGTTCTAGAGGCATTCCTCCTGACGTTTCGCCTGCATTTATGGCAAGCATCCTCACTACCTCTGAGGATGCTTGCCATAGATGCAGGCAAAACGTCAGGAGAAATGCCTCTAGAACATGGCCCTATAGCCCAAAAAAACCTACAAGAACCTAATGATAACATCTATCAACCGAAAGGTTGCCAGTTCGAAACCCCGGGTCAGCTTGAGCTGCCGACTGTCAGCCCAGCTTACTGTTGTCCTAAGCAGTTTGAAAACAGCTTGAGCTGTAATTAGAGAAATTATGTAACATTAAAACAAGCAGAGGAGGTATTTTATGACACCATAAAGAAAAAGTTCAGAAAATGCCCGGCGACCAAAAGGAAGGAGGAAGTCCTAATGGCACTTCATAGAAGATAGAGTGACAGCACACCCCTGTGGGTGGATTAGAGCACAACCTTACAAGACGCCAAAGACAACATGCCGCATTGTGTGAGTTTTCTCCCATTTAGTCAGCTGCTTATTTATTTATCGTGTCATCAGCAACCATTGTATTACAATTCTAACAGAGCAAAACAAACACACAGATTAAAAAGAAAAAGGAAAAGAAACACACAGATTTTGTAAATTTGGTATTTGGTTAAATGTCCTTTGACCAGTATCTGGCCACTTGGAGTGCCTCTGGGGTTGCCGCAAGAAGGTCCTCCCTTGTGCATGTGGCAGGGCTCAGGGTGCATTGCAGCAGGTGGTCAGTGGTTTGTTCTTCTCCGCACTCGCATGCCGAGGATTCCACCCTGTAGCCCCATTTCTTAAGATTGGCTCTGCATCTCGTGGTGCCAGAGCGCAGTCTGTTCAGCGCCTTCCAAGTCGCCCAGTCTTCTGTGTGCCCAGGGGGGAGTCTCTCATCTGGTATCACCCATGAATTGAGGTGCTGGGTTTGGGCCTGCCACTTTTGGACTCTCGCTTGCTTGGGTGTTCCAGCGAGTGTCTCTGTAGATCTAAGAAAACTATGTCTTGATTTAAGTCGTTGACGTGCTGGCTGATACCCAAACAGGGGATGAGCTGGAGATGTCTCTGCCTTGGTCCTTTCACTATTGGCTGCAACTTTCCGGCGGATGTCAGGTGGTGCAATACCGGCTAAGCAGTGTAATTTCTCCAGTGGTGTAGGGCGCAGACACCCGTGATAATGCGGCATGTCTCATTAAGAGCCACATCTACTGTTTTAGTGTGGTGAGATGTGTTCCACACTGGGCATGCATACTCAGCAGCAGAGTAGCATAGCGCAAGGGCATATGTCTTCACTGTGTCTGGTTGTGATCCCCAGGTTGTGCCAGTCAGCTTTCGTATGATATTGTTTCTAGCGCCCACTTTTTGCTTGATGTTCAGGCAGTGCTTCTTGTAGGTCAGAGCAAACCTTCATTTTTAGCCCCCTCCCATTTTGCCCTATTCCAAGATGGCGTCTGAAGCACATCTCCCTTCACAACCGCTTCTTCCGCCATTAACAGTAATGGCGTCAAAGAGGCAGGAGGGGCAGAAAAGGACCCGGAAGTGACGAATTGTTTTTCCCGGAAGTGGCTGTCAGGGAGAATGGAGCTAGGAGGCTGCAGGGTGAGCGGTGCCTTTGACCCATTGGGGTGGGGAGGGTTCGCCTCCCACAGAAAGAGACCAGGCTTAGAGGGGGAAAGAGAGGTTTCTCTCCCTGGAGGAGTTTAGTTCCCTTTGTGGGAGCCGTGGGAAGGCCCTGGCGCCCATTTTGTGAATGCAGTGGGTGGGCGGTGGAGTGGGAAGCCTTTTCCTCAGCTGAGAGGTCGAGGGGAGACTTATGCAGGCACTTCAGGGAGGGCCCAAAAGGCACAGAGACTTAATCAGGTTTTGAAATGTCTTTGAAATGCACTGTACTGCAAATGTTATTTCACATATAAACAATATATTTTGTTGCAAATTAGAAACAAAATAAATCAATAAAGGGGCTATTAAATATTGCAACACCTTTGTGACTTTTGGCCCACCATGTGTGTGTATGTCTGCCTGTGTAATGTTTGTGTACTTTATGTACATACATATTTACAGTATATATACAGTATATTATACTGCGCATGTGTGTGTGTATATATATATATATGAGCGAAGGAAGATCGATGCTTTTGAGCTGTGGTGTTGGAGGAAAGGTCTGAGAGTGCCTTGGACTGCGAGAAGATCCAACCAGTCCATCCTCCAGGAAATAAAGCCCGACTGCTCATTGGAGGGAAGGATACTAGAGACAAAGTTGAAGTACTTTGGCCACATCATGAGGAGACAGCAAAGCCTAAAGAAGACAATTATGCTGGGGAAAGTGGAAGGCAAAAGGAAGAGGGGCCGACCAAGGGCAAGATGGATGGATGGCATCCTTGAAGTGACTGGACTGACCTTGAAGGAGCTGGGGGTGGTGACGGCCGACAGGGAGCTCTGGCGTGGACTGGTCCATGAGGTCACGAAGAGTCGGAGACGACTGAACAGATGAACAACAACAATATACACACACACACAGAATACGTGTGAAAAAGATATTGGAGTCCTTGTGGACAACAAGTTAAACAATGCCATTATTGAACTCCTGTAAACATACATATGCTATTTATCCATAAGCACACATACACACAAATAGAGGCACAGTAAAGCAGTGTCATTTACGAACAACTGCAAATACACACACACACACACACATATACACGCACCCATAAACCAAAACCAAACCAATACCATTCCCAAACTTCTGCAAACACACATATACACATACAGATACATACACAATAATTTGTAAATCAATGTTATGCCTGTAATTTTGTCCCTTCTATATATTTTCCCACTGTGTTGCGATGTTGTGATACAGTCTGTTTGAACAATGCCAAAAAGTAACTTAAAATGATTCTCCACTGTAGAATAAATGTAGTTTGACATCATTTGAACAGTCATGACTCAATTCTTTGGAATCCTGGGATTTGTAGTTTGCTGAGGTACTAGCACCCTTTGTTTGACAAGTCTATAGACCTTGCAAAACTAAATTCTCAAGCTTCGCTAGCATTGAGCTGTGGCAGTTAAAGTAGTGGCAAACTGGTTTAATTCTAAAGGATAGATGCATTCTGAGTTTTGTGCCATAATTGTATATTGAGGAGGAACGGGAGGGCTGGCTTTTGTGGCTTTTTCTGTCCTAATTGCCCATTTTCTTCTGTTCCAGGTTGCATTTGAGAAAGATGGTGTCTACTTGCACACCAGTGCAAAGCGTCATCCCGATCAGGATTCCCTCATCCCAGGGGTTATCCGCATCATTGAAAAGGTGGGTCCAATGTGGGTTACCAACTGAAATGGAAAAGCCATGTGACTGTGAGGCAGGGGGTGGGTGGGTGGTGGTAGTCGTCAGATGCTAGCACTGAGGAATCTGTTCGTGTTTGGAAAATATTTTGAACCTTGATTTAGCGTGACATGAAGAAACCGCATTGAGTTATGTTCTGACGTGCTGCTTCTCAGATATAACATAGTGAGGAATTAAGGGACTTTAACTTCTGGTTTTGTTTAACCATAGCTTTTCATATTGAAACCAACAAACTGTGATTTGTACTAACTGTGGCTTACTTGAAAGTATCATAAGGGGAAAGCAGGACACCTGATTCCTAGACTTCCTGTATCTTGTTCACAGAATGTTAAACAATGCTAAAACAATGTACAATATAAAGCCTAGAACACTAAATAGAATTATACCATTAAAATAATGAATTAAAATCATTACATCACCAATACAGTTGCCCATCTATATGTATGACTTCTGAATCCCATGGATTTTACCATCCATAACACGGAAATATTCTTTCTGGAAACAAAACCTTGATTTTGTTATTTCTATAAGGATCACCATTTTATTACAACTTTATGCAGTATATAATGAGACTTGAACATCCATAGAGGGTCCTGGAACCAGACCCCATTGGATACCATGGGCTCACTGTATTCTAGATCAGGGCTTCTTAAACTTTTCCCACTCATTACTGCTTTCTACCTGAGAAATTTTCTCATGACCCTTTCCTGCCTGAGCAAAGTTTATGCGAACCTGGGTATATGGATATATAAAATATCTATATACCCATGATAAATTATATAAATGATAATCAGCATTTGCAATGCTTGTTAAACAGGCTTGCTAAACAGGCTTGCTAAATGTTCATTTTTGTGAAGTGCAAATGAAGCATTTTCTGCAGATTCCACTGTTGTTGCTGACAGATTCATGTAAATGTCTAGGTGGCATTCAGAAATCTTTTACAATTTTTGAGATCCCAACATTGAACTAAGGGGACCCCATTTGGGTTTGGGACCCACAGTTTAAGAAGCAGTGTTCTAGATGGCCTCTTGATTTTACAAGTGGCTTTTAGAAGAAACAGTTTTTTTCATCTTTCCTGAAATTTGCATGATAGTGTTGACCGTTCAGATTTCCTTCATTCATCTAGAGTGTCTCAATACAGTGTATGTACTCTAATTATGTGTATGCTAAACTGGGAACTGTTATATTGTGGATTGTTTAATACAGTACATGTACATCTATGGATAGTGTATTTTGGCGTTCAAGGCCTTTTATAGAATGCTGTTTCTTCCTTTCTTCAGGGTTCAGATACTTTGCTGCAATGGACACCTATAGAGGAGTCTTCAGATTCTGCTCAAATTGTGTACACCAAGAAGGTGAGACCCCTTTCCTGGTATTACAGTCCTTCACCCATATCTCTCAAATCAACTTTTCAATGCATTTCATCCCAATGATTTGGCAAAAATTATGGATTTCCTTTAGTGACTATTAATTGTATCAGGTATCCTTAGTATGCTTTTTTATTCTTAGCATACCACTGTGTTGTCATAGATACAGCATTGGCAAAACAGTGGACTGCTGTTTTGAATTAGTTTCCAAAGAAAATTGCAGCAGGAATATGAAATAACTTTGAAATTACTTCTGCATGTGTTCTTGATTTGAACTGTTTCTTGAGCTGTGCTTCTCTTAACCAGATTTGAGTACTTCTGTAAAAAAATTTCAGAAGCTTGTGTATTATTTTTCATATACTTTCTACAAAAAGAGTTAAGTTTCTTGACTTCTCCACTTTGCACACTAATGTCATTGTTAAATTTATATCTTATTCTTTTTTGCTGTGCTTTCCAGTTTTGAGGTAGCCTCTTTTTCATTGAGTTGTCTCTGAGGCACTTTTAGAATAGTAAAAGCTTACTGTGGTATTGGAAACTTCTTTATATGTATTTATTTTTATCCTGTGATTCATTAGACAATACCTCAGGCAGGTTACAGCTTACACAAAATATAATCCAATGTCAATGCACTCTGTTAGTATTAGTTGTTATTTGTCATCAGGTCAGTTTCATCTGGTCACCCTTTAAATGAAAAGCCTCCGGGCCTGGTCACCATCTACTCTGCTTAAGTATTAGAAATTAGGGCCATGGCTTTCTTTATTGAACGAATCCATCTGTCATATGTTCTTCCTCTTTCCTAACTGCCTACCATTCTATCTAGGGTTATCGAATGAGTTGTGTCATCTCATGATGTGGCTAATGGCTGAGTCGTTTTGCCTTGTTCTTTACTTTCATTTATTTGTCTTTCTAGCAGTCCATGATATTCTTAGAATTCTCCTCCAGCACTATAATATGCTGGATTCCGACATGGGTATTCAGCCATACATTTTACACTTGAGGGTCTTATTATTTATTATTTACCACACTTGTAGCCTGTCCTTCTCACCCGGAAGGCAACTCAGGGCGGCCTAACAAAGCTAACAATTTGATGCCAGGTATAAACATACATCAAAAAATAAACAAGGCATTAAAACCAGATCAATTAAAACACAACATTAAAACATCAATTAAAATCACACAGTCCAGGTCATATTTCAGGGACATAGCTTTATAACTTCCCTTTCATTTATAGAAAGCAGATGTGGCATTCACATTTGTTGTGAGTTGGCATTTGCAACCAAAAAGTATGTGCCTTCAACTTAATGGATCTGTCATGGGTTGTTTCCCCACACCTCTTTTTTGGCAAACTGCATTGGGGTAACTGCTTTAGAACACAATATGCTTTGTGTGGGCACAAAGATTCGTAGCCTTCCACATCAGTTTTATACAGCACTTTGAGCAGAAAGAGACATGAGCTAAAGTGAGCTCTCTCACATTGTTTTCCCCCTGCATAATCCTTTTTGTCAACAAACAGGTAGTAGCGGTCTGGCTGTACCAGTGGCTCCGCATTCCTTGGTCTTATCTCACTGAGAGCCTAATTGGTCTTGTGCCCTTATTGTTTGAGTGGCCAGAAGTCATATCTAAACCTTCCCCTTATCCTCATGCCTTCTAAAATATACATTAGGATGGAGAGTCATGGGAGTGTTTGTGTATTGCACTGGACACTAGGAGACCAGGATTCAGATCCTCATTCATCCATTGAAACCCACTAGGTGATCTTGGGCAGGTCACACCCTCTCAGCCTCAGAGGAAGGCAAGGGCAAATCCTCTCTGAACAAATTGTGCAAAGAAAATGCCGTTATAAGCTTTCCTTAGCATCACTATAAGTCAGACATGGCTTGACAGTGCACAGCAACACGTGGATATATAAACAGATCCCAAAAACAGATTCTTAGAATTTGAACCCAGTGAAGGAGATCTGCTTATGATTTGGGGACTTAATGGTGTTAAGGGCACTTCTGCTCATAGGTTGTGGAATCTGACTATGATCACATGGGAAGGTGGTTTTTCTCTTCTGTAAACTATTGCGACCTATTCATCACCAAATCAATTCATTTCGCACCAATGGGGTTCTCATTATGACTACCCTAAAATTTTGTGTGTGTGGTATGCATTGGTCAGGCCCTGATCTGCAACATTCTTTGCAAAACTTGTAGGGACTTGTATGCTCTCTCAGATTGTAACACTGTCCTTTCTCCCTCTCCACAGGAGCCAGTGGGCTGCCAGACTGAAGAAGAACTGTTTGATCCAGGTTATGAACCAGATTGGGCTGTGATCAGTACAGTGGGGACTCGATCTCGGGTCCAGGAAGAAACAGATGGTAAGTAAAGAAAGATAAAGAGGGCTGTTGCTTAGTGTAGCCAAGAGACATGGATCTGAGCTTAGAAAAACTCCTCTGTGTGGCTACTCTTTCCATGTTCCGCACAGCCAGCATGGCCATGGCTTGAAACTTTTCTGAATATTGTAATGGACTAAAAGACATGGATTAAGAAATATTGATAAAGCTGTACATACAGAGACCAGGTTAGTGTAGGGCAACCTGTGGGTCCCCAGGTGTTTTGGCCTATAGCACCCAGAAATCCCAGCCAGTTTACCAGCTGTTAGAATTTCTGGGAGTTGAAGACCGAAACGTCTGGGGACCTACAGGTTGAGAATCACTGGTGTAGGGAATAAGTAACTTACTAGCAATTATGAGTTATATCTTCCCAAAAGAAAAAAAATCCTTACACATTAAGACTTGTGTAACTACAGGACCCATATTCCCTGTCTCACAAACTCATGCCCAAAATTTAATGGTCTCTCTAAGAATTTTCTAGATCCTCCAGGAGATTCTATTGTATACTTCCCCTGGAAATTACCACAAAGTTGTGTTGGAGGACCTGGCAAATTCCTAAAAATCTCCAGGTACTTGAATGCAACTTTATGGCATGTTTGAGCCAGAAATGAATTAAATGTCATTTGGTTGTATCCATGGTTTCAGTGTGGTCCGACCAGGAAGATATCCTCCATAGTATTGGAGGTTTTACTGTACCACTTCTTCCAGTTTTCTATTTCTGTATGTGCTCTCAAATCGCTTCTTGATTTGTGGCAATCCATTAATTTCATAGAGTTTGCATTTGAATACTCAAAGATGGTTTTGAAAAGATTTCCAGTTTCTCCCTCTGAAATATAGCCTATAGCAGATTGTTTTCCTTCACAGTCTCTCTCCAAGTCCTAACCTACTGAGCTCCCTTGATTAGATAGAACCTAGTGTCCTTACCCTTGTTTTTTTTTTCTTCCCTGCCAGCTTCTGTGCCAAAATCCCCAATCCCTCGTGGCCAGTGGGCTTTCACTCTCAGCTTGTCTGACCTGAAATCCATCCGCAAAAGTAAGCCAGGTCTGGGCTGGTCCTACTTGATTTTCATCACCAAAGACGGTATCTCCATCCAAGCCCTCCATTTTCATCGTGGGGGCACCAAGGCCCTGCTCAAAGCTCTCTGCAAATATGTTATCCTTGCCACGTGAGTGACCCTCATTCTTATTGTCTCATTTGCCTGAAAGACAAAAGGGCTGGAGTTGATTGGGGAGGGGAGCTCAAATTTCTTATGGAGGACCCTCATCCATCTAGTCTTAGACTTTGTGGGTGCTGTTGATTTGTGTTAATGTGACAAAGCATTGGGAAAACATGCTCCACTCATATCTCCCAAAATATTTTACTCATCTCGTTCTTGTAATGGGAAGAAAAGCAATCTGAAGTTATGGACTTGGTGTGGGAGAGGATAACTTTCAAAAAATGAATTTTGATTTTTTTTTGTGCCTTTAGCTCTAGTTAAGTCCTAAATTAGTCCCAGTTTTTGGAAAACAATGGCAAGAGAAGATTGTTTGAAGCTCGTTTTGGTAGTATATTATAGAAAGCAGATTGCTGGATCTGATGGACATTTGGTGAGATCTTACAAGGCTTTTTATTTCCCTGTTTACATGACAAAGTGGCTTTTGTTTTCAGACTAAGTTCATCAAAATTGTGTAGTAGAGTTTCTCCTGGATTGTAATAGTTGAGGAAAAGCATGTTAAGATTTTTAATTACTTTGGAAGGTATTTTATAGTAGAAAAGCAGAACGTACTGAAAATAAATAAAAAGCTCGTGCCAGAATGTGTAAATTACTCAGCTTTTCTTTAAGTGCTTACAGAATCGGTGTCTCAGGATTACCAACAGTAATTGGGGTGTGGTAGCTAAGACTGTTGCAGATAAGAAAAGTAGTAGTAACCCTGTGTTGATTTGCTGATGGTTGGAGGTTGGTGAATGAAGATAGAAGAGAGAGAGGTTTTACATATTGTAAATACTTTGTTAGTATTTGTACTATTGGTACTATCACTGTAATTTAAGAAAGAAAAGCCTTCTAATTGGAATGAACAGCTTTGTTCTGTGACATGAAGAGAAAAGCTTTGTGTAGGATGTCTGGCATAGGGTGAATCAAGAGCACTTCGTGTGTGCTGATTTTCTACATTCAGAAAAAAAGCATTCAGAAAATGGGATTACAAACTGCAATATGTATTTTGGAAAAACCCTACTATGTTGTTTATTTATTTATTTGCAGTATTTATATAGTGCCGTTATCAAGCCCGAAGGGGACTCAGGGCGTCAAGTGTTGTTGCAAAGTAATGCACCACGCACTCTTATGTGAGGAAGAGGAAAGCCAGGTGTATTTAGCTGGTACTTTAGGAGCCAAGTCCATCCAGAGGTTGGGACTCTAATGACCCCTGATGGGCTGGTTAAGTTTGGATGGTTGTGCCTTTTCCACAAGGCTACAGTGAGAGAAGCTAAATTTCCAACTCAGTAAGATTCACTCCTACAGGTTCTCTCAGTCACATAAAACTCATTAAAAGCAAAATCAACTGTCCAACCAAGGTTAGGCAACCAGGTTCCCTGTACCCTGACTTTTCCCAGTTGCTGAATGGCCACGCTTCCCTTGCTTTTTCCAGTTACTCAGAGTTTGCTAGAAGAAAGCCTGGTCAAGAAAGACTTGTATGCACTGTAGATGTCATCTGCTGAGTGCCTGACATTGTTTAGCCAGTATATTAGATGCAGGTGGAAGAATTGAACCCCCATACAAGAAAAGATTCCCTTTTACTAGTATAGGCTGTATATCTCAGAGCTAAGAGCACTTGGGGCACAATAAGAAACTTTCTGTAACTTTCCTTCTCTCGTTGCAGCTCTCCCAAAGATTCCCGTCTCTACCTGGTTTACACACACGACTCGTATGCCCTCTCACACTCCTTTGATGAGCTTCAGCTCTTTGATGACAGCTCTTCCAACCTGGTGTCAGTGAGTTTCTCTTTTAAAAACCCATGCATTTAATTTAGTGGGTTTGGGACAGAACTTTGGAAAAGTGCCTTTGGGGACTGCAGGTGCTACAATTGCCCAATCAACTAGTCTGGACTAAGGTTGCCCCTGGGAATTGCAGTCCAAAAAGTGATATTTCCAAACTTTAGTTTGGAATGTGGACTACCACAGAGTTCCCTGGGACAGAGAGTGTGTAACCTGTCCAATGGGTTTCCATGACAGAATGGGGATTCAAACTCTTGTCTCCAGAGTTCAGGTCTTACTCCCAAACCACTATATCACACTGAAGAGAAACTCAGATTTAGTGAAGCCTGATACTAAAAGGCTTCAAAGCTGTGGCTCCAGCATATGAGGAGAATCAGCCCCTAGGATTAGCTAATATATGCCACCACTAGGTAGAAACTTGGAGAGGTAACAAGTTGTAAGACAGCCTCTTCAAATGTTGGGAGAAAGCTCTCATTGACCATTCCACTTGGAACAGATTATGCCCCATAGTATCCTATACAATGCAAAGCATAACCTTCCAATATGCTGTCTTTCTTTCCCTTAGCGATTCCTGCAGGACCCATATGCCGCCACATTTGGTGGCTTTTCCAAAGTCACCAATTTCTTCCGAGGGGCTCTCCACCATGAAGATGGAGTGGGTCAGCATTCCCAGGGCGATGCAGCTGCTGCCAATGTCGAAGATGAGACCGGCTTTGAAGTTATCACCTGTGTAAGTGCTGGGGCAAGCAGCTCCAGTGAGGAGCAAAGAAGGGTGGTAGGAATGGTAATCAGCTGGGCATCATGTGTGCACTTGTGGAGTATTTATGTGCAGAGATATCCTTCCATAGACCAAAACAAGCTTTGGCCATCTGCAGTCTCCAGCAGCCATCAGCTGTTACATCTTGGTTTTCTGTTCTGCCAAGGTTAACCATGTTGAGGGATGGGCAATTTGTGGTCCTCAAGATGTTCTTGAACTTTCAATCCCATCATCCTTCATCATATGTTGGCTAGTGATTATGAGAGTTGCAGTCTCAAGGACTTCTTGAGAGCTGCAAGTGGCCCACTCCTTTGGTCCAATTCCATCCTTGGTGGAGATCATAGTGCTCACTGATTCTAGGTGAACTATAAATCCAAGTACCAACAACTCCAAAATGTCCAGGCCAATTCCTCTCAAAACCCACCAGTATTCAAATTTGAGCATAATTGGATATGTATACCAAGTTGGGTCTAGATCTATCATTGTTTGGGTTCATAATTTGCTCTGGATGTAGGTGAACTACAACTCCTATAAATCCTTCCAAAGCCCTCCATTATTTTTATTGGTGATGGGCGTTCTGTGTACCAAGTTAGTTCCTTGGCCATCGTTGATGGAGTTCAGAGTGCTCTGAGATTACAGTGAACTATACATCCCAGGACCTAGACTTCCTATAAATCTAGTTTGTTCAGTTGCTGATCAATTCCTCTGTTTACTGTGTGGCATAGAAAATAATAGAAAAGGGTTAAGGGAGAGGCAGTGGGTGGGGTCATGTACATTCCACACCAATGGAGAGAGTCAGAAACACTGGGAAGTCTGTGGTGGAGGAAACACATACGATATGGGATGGAATTGTCCCTGTATGAAAGCCTTCACTTGGGTGGTGTTTGTGGAGGACCTTGGCAGGGCTCTTAGACATGTTCACGGTGCTCACTATAACCTTCAATGTCATTGGAGGGAGGGTGGCTCCTGTTTAGTGGGAGCTAGAGCTGTTGGTGGAGGCAGGAGCTTGTCTGTGGAAGTGGACACCCCAGCCACACACACACATACATATTTTCACTTTTATTAAGTGTATAGAAGATGATGATGATGATGATTATTATTATTATTGTGTTTATTTATACCCCACTTTTTCTTTCCATAAGGAGAAAAAAAGCTCCCTATGAAGATTCCTCATTTAAATCCTTTCTGTTTTCCCCTGGCAGCAGGCACAGCTAGGAGAGCGACCATCTGTCCAGAGAGAGGCCCCAGTTACAGAGCAGGAATGGGAGCAGCACTTGGATCCTGATGGGCGTGTGAAGGACCTCGCTGGATTGCGCCGGAAGATCTTTGCAGGGGTAAGACATGCAGGAATGACTGGTTCAGGTGACTAGCCATTGGTCGTGGGCAAGGAGGAAGCAAGGTGACAGTGTAGGTGAGGTGACAGGGTGGGTGTAAGATGGGATTGTGTTCCTTTCCACCCTGACCTCTTTGTCATGAAATAACCTGGCCTAATAAACGACCTTCCCCTTGCTGATTTGTTTGTCCTCTTCCAGGGTCTCAGCATGGCATTGCGCAAGGAGGCATGGAAGTACCTTCTGGGCTACTATGCCTGGGACAACACCAGTGAGGAGAACAAGGCACAAGTGAGGCGGAAAACGTAAGCATGGCTCAGGATTGTTTTCCAAGGAGAAATGGAGCTGACTTTTGATCAGTTGGCTCATCAGTATTCAAGGCTCAGATTCCTAACCTGACCATATTTTTCACTACTGCCTTTGTCAGAGATGAGTACTTTCGCATGAAGCTACAATGGAAGTCGGTCAGCGAAGAGCAGGAACAACGGAACTCCTTGTTGCGAGGATACCGTAGCCTGATTGGTAAGTATCCATTTAATCTCCCAGATCTAATTGATCCTTGGTTTTATAATTCTCAGTCACAGCATGTGTTCTTTATTCATATTTCCCCATTTCTCTTAGCTGACAGTGCAGGCTTATCTGTGTGCAACAAGGTATTCTTAACAGTTGAAAATACATGCATAGAGAATCCTGTTGTCTTATTCCTAAAAGCTATTCTTTATTTATTTATTTATTTATTTATTTAGAACTTTTATATCCCATTCTTCTCTATCTCCTTGGAGGGACTCAGAACGGCTAACAGCAAGAATTCAATGCAAGACAATAATATAAGTTTAAAACCACATACAAATACAATAAGTTAAAATTCATATAAGTTAAAATACATATGAACCAATTCGCCAAGTTAAAAACATCATCCAATTCCGTCCGCACATTGTGGCCAATAGCTCTTAGTCTTTATTAGTATCCACCATCACTTTGCGCATGCCTGATTCCAAAGCCAGGATTTCACTTGCTTCCTGAAGGACAGGAGGGAGGGGCGGACCTAACCTCATTTGGGAGAGAGTTCCACAGTCAGGGGGCCACCACAGAGAAGGCCCTGTCTCTTGTTCCCACCAGACGCGCCTGCAAAGGTGGCAGGACCGAGAGCAGGGCTTCTCCAGAAGATCTTAAAGCTCTTGATGGTTTATAGGGAGAATACGTTCGGACAAGTAAACTGGGCCGGAACCGTAAAGGGTTTTATAGGTTAAAACCAGCACTTTGAATTGTGCTTGGAAGCTAATTGGCAGCCAGTGGAGCTGGCGTAACAGGGGAGTTGTGCGCTTCCTGTACTCAGCTCCCCTGAATAACCTATTGCAACATCCTATTTCTAAGAATGATTAGTCCATTATTATTGTGCCTGTGCATATTCTTTATTTTTCATACTGTTATGTATTCATGTGTGTTATATAACTATGATGTTGTTTATTGTTTGTGTTTTCGATTTGTGTTTTTAGTTATTCTTTATTGTAATTGTCATTTGGGCTTGGCCTCATGTAAGCCACTCCGAGTCTCCATTGGGGAGATGGTGGCGGGGTAACAAATAAAGATTATTATTATTATTATTATTATTATTATTATTATTATTATTATTATAGTCAAATGCTTCTGGAAGCTCAAGCAGGATGCAAGACAATGGCTCTTTCCTGCTATTTCTTGCCAAGATTTAGTATTCAGTGGCACATCCGCTTCAAACATGAAGGCTATATTTGGTTAATCCTGGCCAAACTCATTCATTCATCGGCGATCACTCATGTCCTGAGTAGGATGGCTTTCCAAGCGTAGGGTCTTGGCGGTGGGTCCGTGGGTGACTTGTGGAGACCTATTCTTGGTCCACATGTTCTTCTGCAGTGAGGACATCAATTTCCAGATGGAAGGCGGTCCTGGGTAAGATTGGCTTGATGCACCTTCCTCTTGATGCCTTTCTCTCTTTCGCCCTCCATTTGTGCCTCTTTGAATTCCACAGCATTAGAGCTTGGAAGTATCTATTTAAAAGTAGGAAGTTTCCGTGAACTGGTAAACCAGTCCCTTTTTTAACAATTTGATTATTTTTTTACTGTTTTATTGCTCTTAATGAATGTTCTATTTATTGTTTAATTGTTATTATACTATTTGTTATATGTAGTGGCATCAAATTGCTGCCAAATGTAATTTGTCCTGAGTCCTCCTTTGGGGGTTGAGAAGGTACGGGATAGAAATACCAGAAATAAATAAATAAATTATAATGAGGGTTTTTTTTCCTATACTAAATATGTGATAACTCACTTTATGCCTTTATCTGAACAAGGGATAAATGTCTCATTTCTGTGTTCTCAAATAATATGCTGTGTCCAGGTTGGTTCATTAAGTGCTCTGCTATGATTGACTTCTCTGGTTGAGTTATTATTATTTGAGAGCACGGAAATGCTAGACCAAGCTAACAACCACCCTATCAGACTACACAGAGAAGCTATTGAAATCCACAAGCCTGTGAACAAATTCAACAGAAAGGAGGAAACCATGGAAATGAACAAAATCTGGCTACCAGTATGAAAAATAAAACTCTAAAATAGAGACAGTAAATAAAGAGAAACACTCTGAAAATGGGAATTACAGACAGGAAACAATCAGGGCCAGCTAACACCTCCCAACAAAGGATTCCCTCAGGCAGGAAGCTGCAAGGCTTTGCAATGCTAAGCAAGGTGATTAATTGCAACACTGACACTTGCTTCCAACAGACAAGAGTTCTTTCTCCCACTGTGGACTTTCCAAAGATATATAAACCTCCTTTGCTTAGGTTCCAATATACCTCACAACCTCTGAGGATGCCTGCCATAGATGTGGGTGAAATATCAGGAGAATGCTTCTGGAACACGGCCATACAGCCCAGAAAACTCACAGCAACCCAACACTATAGTTTTTTGTATAGTTATTTAGGTCTGTTTTGACTAAACAGGGAAGAAGGAACACCACATTGTTCACTTGCTGGCTCAGGTGCTATTGTGAGTAGTGTAACAAAAAGTTGAACATAAGGAAAATATATTTTGTACCACATGTCAATACATTGTAACTATATTTCTTGGGAAAGGGAAATAATGGCATTTGTTATACAGTCAGCTCTCCACATTAACTGCTGTTAGAGGTGCAGAACCCTCCCAGAAGTGGGAAACTACAAATAACTCTTTTGGGTTTTTTTTTTTTACCCGAGAGAACATCTCTATAGAAATCTTTAGGACCTGCTGCATGACACTATGGCCACCTTCCACAGGAGGGCATTTTAATCAAAAGTGAAATCTGCAAATGTGGAGGGCTGCCTATTGTTACTTTATAGAAATTGATGGTTTTTTTTAAAGTAATAGTGGTAACTAATCCTTCAGTCTTGAGGTTTGGGAATATAACTCTAATGTCTTAATAATTTGTCTGCTTTTTTTCTGGAACTGTTTTGGAACTTTTTAAAAAACCGGGACTGGCAGAAAAGTATACAGGCCATCCCCAAATTATGAACAAGATAGGTTCTATAGGTTTGTTCATAAGTTTATGTATTTATTTATTTGCTATATTTATATACCACCTTTCTCACTCCAGGGGGAGAATCAAGGGGGTTTACAGCATATGAATTGGCAAAAATTCAATGCCATATATATATAGAAAGAAAAAAATCATAACTAAACATTAACATATAACTGTAAATTAAAATCATTAAAACCATTAAACATAAGACATCAACAACATTAAAACAAAGCATTACAACATCCTAGTATAAATATTAAAATAACATGATCCAAAAATCGTACACCGTAGCCATTCTGATTGTCATTGCACATATTTCTCAGTTATTCTTTGCACTGCATTATTTTACTGGCCAAAGGCTTGGTCCCACAACCACGTCTTTGTTTTCTTTCTAAAGGTCAGGAGGAAGGGTGCTAATTGAATTTGTTTGTAAGTTGGAACGGGTGAATTTTTAGTGTAACTCTAGCCACACACACACACACACACGTGCATGCATGCATCTTTGGATAGCATAGGGAAGGCTTAAGACCCCTGTGGTGTTTGTTTTGGGTGCTCCTGTTCAGAAGATTTCACCTCATTCTCTGTCCCTGTGAAAAATTGGATTTTGAAAAAATTGGCTTGTTATGGAAACAAGGCTTGGTGAAAAAGCTTCAACGAAGACACTTTTTCCCCATGCTAACTCTTTCAGAAGTGACTTTCCCTTCCAAGGGGTAGATTTCTCTCACATTCTGTTGTCTCACCCTCATTCTTAACTCTGAGTCATTTGTAAGTTGGATGTTTGTAACTTGGGGACTGACTGCATATGGTAGTTTTCTAAATTGGACCACATCACCAATTCCAAAGGAATTACAAAGTGGCTACCCTAGTTTCGGTTTCTTCATGAAGTTAACCTTTTCCTTATTTTTTAAAACTTTTATTGGTGTGTTTGCATCACACAATTCAAGCATGCAAAAATTCAGTAGTACTTAAATGCAAAACTCAGTACTGTAATATGGCCATATTAGTTGATTTGACTGAAAGAAACAGTACATGGCAGGCATTATCTCCTCCTTTCATTCTGAAAAATGACAATGTTTCCCATGGCTTAGTGAATTGATTTTAAATAAATATTCTTTCTTAGTCTAATGTAATAATATCAGTTTCATCATAATCGCAGTGTTCCCTATGGATTAGTTTGATCGTTGGCAAAGAGATAGCTTTTTCCAGAATGAAACTGTCCAGTTTTTAGCTGCTGTCAATAAATTAACAATACATTCCAAATGGATATTACCTGCAATACCTTTTAAATTATTCAGAAGAATTCTTAAGTGGATCCATTGAATGTTTATATCCTAGAGTGCGTTCTGTGGAATGCAACTTCCAAGGCGACTGCACTTTCTTCCGGTGCCAAGATCAATAAATATAGTCTGCATCCAATATACTACAACACCAGCATCTGACCTGGTTATGCTAATTTTATTTTCTTTAAAAAACATGTATTGCTTATGATACCATTTATAAAGTGTTATAAAAATAATTTTGCTTCAAAATGGTAGCAATCAATCTCCAATTTTTTCCTGACGACGGCAAAACATTTTCACTAAGAAGCTTGATTTTTCATTCTGCCTGTTCCTTAATGTTACATATATTATCCTTGGGAACATTTGTTATAGATTACGTAATGGCATTAAGATACTGGCTATCTAATTTTCAGTTGCTTTACGGATAATCCCTTGCATGGAACTTGCCTTTTTTCATGGCTGTTGATTACTGAATTGACACTTCGTGAGTTGTCCACAGAGCCTCATTGTCGATTCCATCTCCAATTTTAGTTGGTTTTTAAGGATTTCATGCTCAATATGCATCGCTTTGCACTCACATAGCTGCAGAAGCAGGCCAAGCAATTGTATCTGCAAATTGTGTCAAGGAAAAGATAGTTTCAGCAATCGCTTCCAGATCCTATATATGCCTAGCCTGGGGTTGGAAAGGAACAATATACAGCGCAGAAAAATCATAATCAGAGGGGGAAAGCCATGATACCATAGCAACAGCACTAGTGACACAATTCAGACTGCAGTGCCTGTGTGTCATCTTACACAGAGGAAGCTGTGAATTTGTGTCCACAGAGAGGGGCCAGGATAGCTTTCTGCCCCAAGCACTATGATGCAGTGGTTTGTTGTTGTTGCTCATTCGTTCAGTTGTTTCCAACTCTTCGTAACCTCATGGACCAGCCCATGCTAGAGCTCCCTGTTAGCCGTCACCACCCCCAGCTCCTTCAAGGTCAATCCAGTCACTTCAAGGATCCCATCCATCCATCCATCCATCTTGCAGTGGTACCTTTCAGGAAAAGAAATTCCACCTAAACGTTAGGAGGAGCTTTCTAACTGTTAGAACTGTTTGGCAGTGGAATATGCATCCTTGAAGCTTGGTGGAGTCTCCTTCTCTGAAGGTTTTTAAGCAGAGGCTAAGTGGCCATTTGTCAGGAGTGCTTTGAATGTGTTTTTCTGCATAGCCCTTGGGGTCTCTTCCAACACTATTATTCTCTTTTGTATACTCCACGAACTCTACTAGCACAGGTAGTGTGAATGCATTGCTGAAGAGACTTGGATATCACACCAAGAATAAACTAGAGTCTCCTTATCCTAGACACTGCACACAACAAACAAAGTGAGAGAGCAGACAACTCCTAGAGTCAAATATGTGAGTCTCCTAGTAGGAGTCCTGCAGAAGGAATGCACAAGCCTCCTTTGGACAAAAGGTCAAAGCCCACTGAAAAGGGGAAAAAAACATTGCCCTGTCACAGAAAGAGAGGAACTCCAGCAGAGCAACTTGTGGCTGGATGGCCATGTGTCAGGAGTGCCTTGATTGTTTTTTTCCTGCATGGCAAGGGGGTTGGACTGGAAGAACTTAGTGGTCTCTTTCAACACCATGATTCTTTGATAATGATATCAAAGCTCATTACAGTGTTTCATATTGTGCCAGTGTCATCTTCAAGGTACATAAATAACCTTTAGGATGCTTTTATACATTTGCAGAAAGGGATGTGAGCCGCACGGATAGGAACAACAAATTCTACGAAGGCAGCGAGAACCCTGGATTGGTCCTCCTGAATGATGTGCTGATGACCTACTGCATGTATAACTTTGATCTGGGTGAGTTTGGAAGAGGAGAAAAGGGGGACAACCAACTTGGCTTTCAGGGAAGACTTAGTGTCCTTCCAGACGGACCCTATTTCCCAGGATCTAATCCCAGGCTTTTTGCTTTAAAATGGATTATATGAGTCCACACTGCCAGATAATCTGGGATAAGCAGAAAACCTGGGATCAGATCCTGGGATATAGGGCCTGTTTGGAAGGGCCCTTGAGTTGCTTGGCCTAGAATATTTGCTTAACCAAGTTGGGCAGAAGTAGAGATATGGCTAATGAAAGAGTAGCAAGAATTTATAATCTCACTGTTCCTTGCGTCCATCACAGAGGAATATAGGATGTGTTCTTTATAATAGGACCTAATGAGATTAGAGAGAGCACATGCTGCCTATTACCTAAAACTGACTGATTATGCATATATTTTAATGCCACAATAATCACTTGCATACTTGTTTTCAAGCTTCTCACAGCAGTATGAACCAGCAACTTGACTTAGCTTTTTTTTGCTCATACATGAAAGTTGAGAAAATAAGGATATGAATTCAGTGCTGAACAGAAAGCAACGTTGACAGTCCTAGAAACCTCCCTGGTTAGTCTTTTTCAAGGAGAATTTTAAAAAGGTCTTCTATCTGTTCAGAATACTTATCTTCAAGTTCTGACTCCTGACAATGACAGTCTATGAAGTCACGAAGGACATGGGAAAGAACTTGATGAGCCTACAACTTGAGGCAGTTTGTTGTATATTCATTTATTTTAGCAATTTACGAACTCTATTTTTTGCTTCTCTGGGCAGGTTATGTCCAAGGCATGAGTGACCTCCTGTCTCCCATTCTCTACATCACCCAGAATGAAGTGGATGCCTTCTGGTGCTTTTGTGGCTTCATGGAACAGGTGGTGAGTGCATGGTCTTGAGGGGGCTCAGTTTATCGTGGAAAGGTAGCCCATTTCCATGTAATTGGGGGCTAAAATTACAGAGGATGAGGTGAAGGATCTGGAGACCAAGTTTGACCTGGATAAGAGACCATTCAATTGAAGTAAGATGCCCATCTTCACATTTTTGAAGGGCTGTTCTCATGAATGGCAGTGAAACTCCAAATTATGCACCCAAATCCTAATTGTTGGAAAGAATTTCTCAAGTATAATTGGTTTAGACTATAAATTAGTGGATATTCTTGCTCAGATGCTTGGAGGAAAGAATTGCCATATATACTCGTGCATAAGCCAACCCAAATATAAGCCGAGGCACCTAATTTTACCACAAAAAGCTGGGAAAATGTATTGACTTGAGTATAACTGAGGATGGGAAATGCAGCAGCTACTGGTAAATTTCAAAATAAAAATAGATATAAATAAAATTACATTAATTGAGGCATCAGTAGGTTAGATGTTTATGAATATTTACATAAAACTGTAATGTAACTGTAAAGATAAGATTGTCCAACTCTGAATAAACCATTATTCTAACCTTCTTTGATGTAAATGTGCTTCTGTATCCTTCCAATAATAATAGAGTAAAAATCAATGTATTAATCATTATTATTACATGTAATTACTTTACTGTATTATTATTACACTTATTATTTTTCTCCATTGTTGCTATTATTACATTTACATTATTATATTCTATTATTATTACATTTATTATTTTGTTCTAAGTGTAATAATAATACAGTAAAGTAATTAAATGTAATAATAATAATAATAATAATAAATATAGTAAAATGATAAATGTAATAATAATAATAATAACAACAACAGAGTAAAATAATAAATAACTTTGACTCAAGTATAAGCTCTCTACGTGGGGCTGCCTTTGAAGACTGTCCGGAAGCTTCAAATGGTCCAACGCTCGGCAGCCAGGTTACTAACAGGAGCTGCACTCAGGGAGCATACAACTCCTCTGTTGCGCCAGCTCCACTGGCTGCCAGTTTGCTACCGGGCACAACATTTGGATGATGAGACTGGATCTTGATTCTAACTATGATATGAGATGTTATGATGTTTATTGATTGTTATAATGTTATTCTTTTAACTTGTTTTTAACTTATTTTTTATCATGTTCAAGTTTTGTATTTGCTTTGTTAACTGCTCTGAGTTGCCCTGAGGGCTAAGAAGAGCGGTATACAAAAATAGTAAATAAATAAATAAATAAGCCGAGGGGGGATTTTTCAGCTTTTAAAAAGGGCTGATAAACTCGTCTTATACTTGAGTATATACGGTAATCCTCAGCTATCAGAGTTGCTGTAGCAGCGGTTTGGGCATCAGGGCAGGAAACCTTTAGTTCTCCAGGTGTTTTGGATTACCACTCCCATAGTTCCTAACCATTGGAGCTGATGCAGATTTCAGGATGAAACATCTGTTAGTCATCATTGATACTAGGTTGGTGTGAATACCTTTCGTGGCGCCCTGTGATTCTGATTCCTCTGATCGGAGCTTGTATTGGCATGAATATCATAGTGGTGTTACCCAGTTAAGAAGATAACATGAGTTAAAAATGTGTCCCTGTGCCTTTGCTTACACTCTCTTGTTTTCTGCTGATAGCACCGCAATTTTGAAGAAAGCCAAGAGTCTATGAAGCGACAGCTATCACAGCTCACTTTGCTCCTCAGGGTGCTGGATCCCCCGCTTTGTGATTTCCTAGGTAGTTGGCGGATTGTCTCTGGGGCTGGGGAAACCTTATCAAAATTAATTTGGGCCAACCGATAAAGATTAAAAAATGTCAGTTTGGCTATTTTATGGTGAAGTACAAGTTTGAGATATAAGTGGATTAATTCTCAGTCTGTGATTATTTGGGGAGGGGCCACTTCTTTAGCTTCACCTCACCTCAGTCTCCTAGCTGCTTCCCTTTGAAAGGTGAAAATAAACATTAAGATGAAGACAACCTATTTGGTTAAATCCCAGTAATTGCAAACTATGAAAAGGAGATGTGCCCACCTGCACTTTCCCAACTCCCATCATGCCTTGCTATTGGTTATGCTGTCAGAGTTGATGGGAGATGAAGTCTCACAGGCATAAAACAGTCTTCCTGACTTCTACTTTCTTTTGCTGCTATCATCAGATTCGAAGGAGTCCGGCACTTTGTGCTTCTGTTTCCGTTGGATCCTGATCTGGTTCAAGAGGGAATTCGCCTTCTCTGAAATACTTCAGCTGTGGGAGGTGAGATTGAATTGAAACCTTTTGGGATGTTTTTGAAGTTGTAAGAGGATTTCTGATTTGAGTGCAGAGTGGGAAAATAATTGGAAGCTTGGAAAGTTCCTGAGGGGAAATTACCTTGAGGTTTCCTGTACTCATTGGGTTGAAAAATATCCCAGTGGATCAGCTACTTTAGAGATGCACAATGTATAGAAAGAATTGATACAGCTTTAAGCCAACCTTTTGATCAGAGTGCTTTGATTAGAAAAAGTGTACTTTTTGAGCTGTGGCTCCCAGTGAACATCTTGCTTCAAGATTCTGGAAGCTCTAATCCAAAATGTAATATTTTTTTTAAAAGCCAATACATTATAACTTACAATTACTATCTGCTCTAGATGAGCTACTGGAACATCTGGGATTGTTTTCATTATATCATTTACTAGTCATCCCCTGCCACATGTTGCTGTGGCCCAGTCTGTGTATATGTGTTTTGTGTGTGTATGTATGTGTATATGTGTATATATGCGGTTTTGCGCATGCGTTGTAATGTATTTTTATTTCTTGCTTTTAAAGTCTTCTACTCTGTGTTTTTCCTTGTTTTTATGAGTGATGGTTACTCGTTGGCCTGATAGGTGTGTTGTGTCCAGATTTGGTGTCAATTCACCCAGTGGTTTTTGAGTTGTGTTAATCTCACAAATGGACATTACATTTTTATTTAGATATATTTATTTATTTCACATATTCATATCTCGCCCTTCTCACCCTAAAAGGGGACTCAGGGTGGCCTTACAGCAGGCAGCGATTCGATGCCAATACATACAAATATAAACAATTTATTTTATTTATCGTGTTATCAGCAACCAGTCATTTGTATTACATTTACATTGTATTTGTGTTTGTTTTTGTTAAAACAAATACAATTAAAACCATGCAATTAAACATTAATTATTAAAACATCAATTAAAATCATTTAATTCAGATCGTAGTCCAAGACTTGTCCAATTGTCAATTCCATTAGTCCATCATCCTTATCGCACTATTTACTGGTTGAATGCTTGGTCCCACAGCTGTGTCTTAAGCTTCTTCCTGAAAGACAGGAGGGAGGGAGCTGAACTAATTTCATTGGGGAGGGAGGTCCATAAACGAGGGGTCACCATCGAGAAGGCCCTGTCTCTCGTCCTCGCCAGTCGCACTTGCAAAGGTGGTGGGATCGAGAGCAGGGCCTCCCCAGAAGATCTTAATCTCCTTGCTGGCTCATAGAGGGAGATATGTTCAGACAAGTAAGCTGGGCCACAACCATTTAGGGCTTTATAGGCTAAAGCCAGCACTTTGAATTGTGTTCGGTAGCAGACTGGCAGCCAGTGGAGCTGATGTAACAGGGTTGTGTGCTCCCTGTAAGCTGCTCCAGTCAGGAATCTGGCTGCCACCCGTTGGACCATTTGAAGCTTCTGAACAGTCTTCAAAGGCAGCTCCATGTAGAGTGAGTTGCAGTAGTCTATTCGGAATGTAACGAGTGTGGACCGCTGTGACCAAGTCAGACTTCCCAAGGTACGGGCACAACTGGCACACAAGTTTTAATTGTGCAAAGGCTCCCCTGGTGACCACCAAGACCTGGCGTTCCAGCCTCAGCGATGAGTCCAGGAGAACTCCCAAGCTGCGAACCTGAGCCTTCAAGAGGAGTGTAACCCAGCACAGGCTGTAACCCTATGCCCTGTTTGGCCTTATGACTGAACAGGAGTACCTCTGTCTTGTCTGGATTCAATTTCAATTTGTTCACCCTTATCCAGACCATCACAGCTGCCAAACACCAGTCAGGACCTGAACAGCCTCCTTAGTAGCAGGTGGAAAGGAGTAGTAGAGTTGAACGTCATCTGCATACAGATGGCATCAAACTCCAAAACTTCAGATGATCTCCCAACAGCTTCATGTAGATGTTGAACAACATGGGGGAACAATAGTGATCCCTACAGGACCCCACAAGACATGTTCTAGAAACATGGCCATACAGCCTGAAAAACCTACAACTACCCTCCAGGAAGGACTGGAGCCACTGCAAAACAATACCTCCAAGCTCCATTCCTATGAGGTGTCCCAGAAGGATACCGTGGGCTTAGGCATCGAAGGCTACTGAAAGATCCATGAGAACCAACAGGGACACACTCCCTCTGTCCAGTTCCCAGTGTAGATCATTGTAGCTCCCATATTTCAGTATACTGGATGAGGCTGGTGGAAGTTATAGGCCAAAATGCAAAAGATCACTCCTTATGGTTACAAGAAAAACCATAAGAAGAAGCAACTACTTCTGGGAATAGAAATCTAATTTCTATTCTGTCTCTCTGAATAATCTTGTGCCATACAACACTAGTTGCATTGGATGAGTTTATTTCAGGTAACAATTCCCAGAACCCCCCAGTTGGCAAGGCCAGTGGTCACTTTCCTAAGGCCTGATTCTCCAAGAATAAAAATGGCTGTGAGCTAGTAAATAACTGTTTTCCATTTTGTGGAGGGGTATCAGCCCATAGCAAATTTCTTGGCCTATTACATGGTTTGGGTCCAGGTCTCCTACAGGATTGTTTTCTCCCACACAATCCGCCCTTTAGAATGCTTAAGTCATCTGGCGGACGCTTGCTGCAACCATCCGGACCCTGGCTGTTGACCGTCACTGAGATGACCTTTTTATTGGCTGCCCCATGACTGTGGAAGGACCACAGATAAATTAGCGGTTGAAATTCAAGACACAAATGAAAACCTATCTCTTCCGGCAGGCCACCCAGTCAAGTTTGACTCATGAGCTTTAAATCTGCATTCTATTACCGCTCTATGTTGATTTTTGTGCCCTGTGTTTGGTGTAGGATTTTTTTATTTTGGTATGTTTGATCTAGCCCCCCCCCCCCCCCCCCCCCCGATGGCGCAGTGGGTTAAATCGCTGAGCTGCGGAACTTGCTGACCAAAAGGTCGGCGGTTTGAATCCAGGAAGCGAGATGAGCTCCCGCTACACCCTCTCCTGGTGTATCATTATGTTTATTTATACACAATTTCTATCTCCATAAATGAGACTCAAAAGTGGCTGTATATGTGTTCTTCCTCATTAATAGTTTTTGTAAGCTTGACCACACTTTGATCTTGCTTGGCCTCTCACATGTTCTAGTTCTTATGTGTGAAATGTTGGTAGGTATGCTACACTGAAGCCCCCCTGCTGGCGCAGTGGGTTAAACCACTGAGCTGCTGAACTTGCGGACCGAAAGGTCGGTGGCTCAAATCCGGGGAGCGGGGTGAGCTCCCGCTATTAGCCCAAGCTTCTGCCAACCTAGCAATTTGGAAACATGCAAGTGTGAGTAGATCAATAGGTACCGCTTTGGTGGGAAGGTAACAGCTCTCCATGCAGTCATGCTGGCCACATGACCTTGGAGGTGTCTACAGACAACACTGGGTCTTCGGCAGCAAATAAAGCCAATGGGATTTTGGCTAGCATCAATAAGAGTATAGGGTCTAGATCCAGGGAAGTCACGCTACCCCTCTATTCCGCCTTTGTTAGACCACACCTGGAATATTGTGTCCAATTCTGGGCACCACAATTGAAGAGAGATATTGACAAGCTGGAAAGTGTCCAGAGGAGGGCGACTAAAATGATCAAGGGTCTGGAGAACAAGCCCTATGAGGAGCAGCTGATAGAGCTGGGCATGTTTAGCCTGAAGAAGAGAAGGCTGAGAGGAGACATGATAGCCATGTATAAATATGTGAGAGAAAGTCATAGGGAGGAGGGAGCGAACTTGTTTTCTGCTGCCCTGGAGACTAGAACGTGGCACAATGGCTTCAAACTACAAGAAAGGAGATTCCATCTGAACATTAGGAAGAACTTCCTGCCTGTGAGAGCTGTTCAGCAGTGGACCTCTCTGTCCTGGAGTGTGGTTGAGGCTCCTTCTTTGGAAGCTTTTAAACAGAGGCTGGATGGCCATCTGTCGGGGTGCTTTGAATGCAATTTTCCTGCTTCTTGGCAGAGTGTTGGACTGGATGGCCCATGAGGTCTCTTCCAACTCTATGATTCCATGACTTCATGTCAAGGGGAAATCTTTACATTTACTATGTTTTGATCTATGCATTTTATTGCATATATTTTATGTTTATATGTTTTGACTTGAGCTGTTAGGAGAGGAAGGTAACCAATAAAATGTATTATATTATTATCATTAGCATTATTATTATCTTTAGGAATTCTGACACTTTGGCTGCAGACATAGCAAAAGAGTACATTTAACTCCGGCCTTCTTGTGCTACAGGAGATTCTCTGCTGTTAAGTTGGGTTTCTTTTCCCCTCCATTCCAGGTTCTCTGGACAGGATTGCCTTGCCCCAACTTCCACCTTCTGGTGGCCTGTGGCATTCTGGATGCAGAGCGGCAGGCTCTGATGAACTCCGGCTTTGGCTTCAGCGAAATCCTCAAGGTGAGGAGGCCTGGGGAGCTCTCATCTCTCGCTTACTTGTGTATGTGTTTGTGCTTGCACTCTGCTTAGTGGACAAAGGCAAGTGCCATTTGCACTTTCAGCTTGTTATAATAAGAACAGCCAAGTTTGTAGTTCTCTTGGGTTTATATACATGAAAATGCATGGTCGCCATTTGTTTTGAAGCCAAAAGAGAAAAGGGTCTGCCCTTCCTCCGTCATTTCAAACCCTCCCCTCTTAATTTTCTTGTCTGTGGTTCTTTGCTGCTGTATCCAATTTCCCTTTGTGCTACACTCTGCCCTCTGCTGATGTGTGGGATTTCTGCTGAATGCTTCGAAAGCTGATATGGCCCAATATCCATCAGTTTGGTCAGCGTGTGGTGTTAGTTTTTCCCAACACAAATATCAATCCTTACCCCCAAATCCTCTGGTCCTGCCATATCTATTTGCCCTTTTTAAGAGTCGGTCAGCATATTTTACACAAATGTTCCAACTTGCATTACTTATATTTTGTAAAAACATTATAACTTGAAATTAAATTGCAGTCGTACATCATCCATCCTTTATCCAATTCTGTTCTTTTATCGCTGTTTTAAAAATAAAAATAATTAATACTGTTATTAAATCTTATGTTTAATATTGTTTAATAATTAATACTGTTATTAAATCTCATGTTTAATATTGTTTCTTAACTCTGCTTTTATTTTTTTTATTTTAGTCCCTTTTACTAGTTGTTCTAATGCTACTCATTGACTTGAAATAATTCTTTCACTCCTTCCCCCCAATTTCTGATCAAAACATCTATATTTCTGTTTTCCATCCTATTTCCTGCATATTTATTTTCTCAACTGTATTATCTTTCCCCTTTTTAGTTTTAATTTGAGTTTCTCATTGGCTTTGTTGGTCTTCTCACAGCATATTAATGAGCTGACAATGAAAATGAGTGTGGAAGACATCTTGTGTCGAGCTGAGGCAATCTACAGACAGCTGGCAACTACTCCTGTGAGTTTCCTCCAGCACAGTATGGAGTCTCTGTTATCTTGGCATTCTTTGGGGAGACGTAGAGTCTCTGCACACTCTTATGCCAGGCAAACTGAGTGAGCAGACAGCTCTCTGTCTCATTTCCTGACATTCTTGGTAAAAGCAAGATGTATAACATAATTGTTGACAAGTAGACAAGACTCAGGTAACTATGGTCTAGTTGTGAACATAATCCCTTACAGATACTGGGGTCTTAATGTATCGTCTTGATTACCAATGACTCTCCAGGGGTCCCGTCCCCCCCAATCATACTCTTCTTAATCCTTCTAATGAATTTTTTGGTGGCTGCTGTCAGACTTTGGAACTCCCACCCAAGAGAGATCAGAGTGTACTCATCCCTGCTTGCCTTTCACAGACAGGTGAAAACATACTTCTATCATCAGACATTTAGGAGATGATGAGGAACAGGCTGCTTGGGATGCTTGGAATGAGAGTTGGTGGGCATATTCGATTTAAATGCAATTTTAATTGTATGGGTATTTTTATTGTATTTTGACTGTAGTTTGTACTCATGGCGCAAATATGTAATTTTTTTAACTTTCATATTTGCCATGTTTTAAATTTATTGGGTTGTCATGTTATTGAGTCCCCATTCGGAGAAAGGCGGGATAAAAATAAAATAAAATATAGTAAATTATTAACTTGATGCTGAAATCTTCTGTAGACATACTGTGTTTCAGCATTCATGGGTCATCAATTATTTATTATTTATTTACTGTAATTATACCCCCTGGAAAGGGACTCAGGGAGGCTTACAATAATTCAATGCTAGATTCAGACAATGACAGTAAAACACAATATTATAAAACTGTAAAAAACATATACATATCAATTAAATAATCTTTTAAATGATTAAAACATATCAAACATATAAAAAGTCTAGCACCAACTGAGCTTTATAAGCATTAAATCAATTGCTTTCACCATTCTTATGCAGATTTCGTCATACTTATGGGTCATATTAATCCCCAAAGGTTTGCTTAAATAGCCAGGTCTTAAGATTTTTCCTGAAGCTTAAGAGTTAGGGGGCTGTTCTGATGTCACTGGGGAGGCAGTTCCATAGTTGCATGGACACCACCGTGAAGGCCCTGTCTCATGTCCCCACCAACCTCGCCTACAACGGGGGTGGGACCAAGAGCAGGGCCTTCCTGGAAGATCTTAACAATCGCACCGGCTCACAAAGGGAGATGCATTCGGACAGATAAGCTGGACCGGAACCATTTAGGGATTTATAGTCTTAAGGCCAGCACTTTGGGTTGTGCTCGGAAGCGAATTAGCAGCCAGTGGAGTTGACGTAACGGGTGTTGTACATTCCCTGTATGCCACTCTGGTCAACAATCTGACTGCCACCCAGTGGACTACTTGAAGCTTCTGAACAGTCTTCAGAGGCAACCCCATGTAGACTGCGTTGTAGTAGTCTGTGCAAGATGCAACCAGTGCGTAGACCACTGTGGCCAAGTCTGACTTCCCAAGGTACAGGCACAACTGGCGCACAAGTTTTAATTCTGTGAAGGCTCCTCTGGTCACTGCTGAAACCTGGGGTTCCAGGCTCAGCGATGAATCCAGGATCACTCCCAAGCTACAAACCTGCGCTTTCAGGGGGAGTATAACCCCATCCAGCACAGGCGGTAACCCTATACCCAAAGCGAGGATGGGATGGGATCATATAGCAGAGATGTGTTCTTACAACTTTACATACTTAACCTCTGTGGTTTCCGTCCCCAGGACCTTCCCCGCAATGTTCAGGAACTGCTGGGCCTCTCGGAGGGCAAATCCCCGACCCCCAGCACAGACACGGCTAGCTCCCCACAGCCGCTGTCTCCCAGCCAGGCCCAGGAGATGGAACTGACGGACAGTGTTTCGCCCAGCCTGCCGGACAGCAGCATCGAAATCTTGCCTACCGAGGACGCCTCCACTTCTCAATCACTTACTCCTTGAGAACCTCCCATCGTGGCCACTGTCTTCTTAACACAAGCACTTTAACCAGGGCAGGGTGGGGGCTGGGAATAAGGCAAGATGGGTGGAGGATTAGAGGCGTTGTGTATTCCCTGGGGTTCAGGTAGCTGTAGGAGCCGTCAACACTTACTGAGCGTAGATGGGGCTGGGAGTAGCTGTCTTTCCCCTCCACCCCTGAGTTTCCCCCTTACTCCCATCCCAAGTGGCCTCCAAGGACCCCCGGTGCTTGGTGTGCATTGTGTGCCTTTCCCATAATGCACTGGGGTATGGCCATCTCTCAAAGAACAGTCTGACTTGGTATGGAGTTCACCTTCTTGTCCTCGGATGTGTGGAGAAGGTGGAAAGGAGCAAGTGAATGGCTGCCATGCTTTTTTCCTTTTCTACCCTGGCTTCCTCAGTCTTTAGATCGGACCTACACAACCTGCAGGCCTCCTTATGTTTGGGCCTCCAACTCCCAGAAGCCCTAGCTAGCTTGTCCAATGGTCAGGAATTCTGGGAGTTGGAGTCCAGAACACCTAGAGGGCTATAGGTTGTGCAGTACTTCCTTTCACTGCCTGCTATATGATGCTCCCATTTCACTCCCATCTGCAGTATTCAGGCTCATCTGCTGAGCTTGAGACTGATGGTGGCGTCTTTTCTCTCCAGGTCGCTGATGAAGCTTTTCTCTCCGACCGTGGAAGTTAAGAAACAGAGGTCCTTTGGTTGAGAGAAATGAGGGGGTGGGGGAATAGATTTGGAGCATTTTTGTGAGCAGAAAGCTTGCCAGTGGGAGGCAGGCAGGTTCTCTCCAAAAGAAACATGGCATCAGAGGGAACAGCAGTAGAAGCTGGAAGGCAAAGCTCTTAGGTCCTTTGGTTCTTTGCCAGGGAATTCCTGTTGACGTAGCTCCTTGTGCTTCCCTCCCTTGGCCAGAGGATCGTCTCCCTTCCGGCTTGCCGCAGTCCTCTTTGTGCGTGGTTTTGAACTGACAGCCCATAGATATGAAGGGGAAAGATGTCAGACTCTTCTGTGGTGCCTTTCCACCTTAGGGCGCATGTGGATTTGATGACTTATGTGCCTATGGGTACGTCTCACGGTCGAACTGCCTGTTTGCCAGCCCTTACTTTGGCTTCTATGTTTCCTTCATAACGTACATTAAAAATGTAGTGTCAATTGTTTGGGTGTGGGGTTGTTTTTTTGGATGGAAACCCACTCACTTTGAGCTATTTGCTTTGGCCTGGCAGAGCTTGGAGATGGGAGAAGCAAAACAAAGCTTGGAAGTCCATAACACAGCATTCTGTTCAGAAAAAAAAGCAAATTCCTGCTGCTCATATGAAATTCTCCTTTTTTGTCTGCACTGCACATTTCAAACTAGTTCAATCTATGGATTTTCCTAAGGCCATTTTGCATTTTTTTTTGTCGTATCAGGAGTGACTTGAGAAACTGCAAGTCGCTTCTGGTGTGAGAGAATTGGCTGTCTGCAAGGACGTTGCCCAGGGGATGCCCAGATGATTTGATGTTTTATCATCCTTGTGGGAGGCTTCTCTCATGTCCCCGCATGAGGAGCTGGAGCTGACAGAGGGAGCTCATCCGTGCTCTCCCCGGATTTGAACCCTGTGACCTGTTGGTCTTCAGTCCTGCTGGCACAAGGGTTTAACCCACTGTGCCAACAGGGGCTCCGCCATTTTGGATAGCATGAGGGTACTGCTTTTCTTTCCAGAACTAGATTTTCCACTGCTTGCCCCAGACAACAGTCAGCCAGGCTTTGAAGCTGCAAGGCTATTAAATGCTAATCAAGGTGGTCAATTGCAACATGCACACTTGCCTCAAGCAGACAAAAGTTCTGTCTACCACAGATATATAAACCCCACTTACCTAGTTTCCAACAGACCCTTCAACCTCTAAGGATGCCTGCCATAGATGTGGATGAAACATTGGGTGTGAACTTTCTCATCAGGAGAGAATGCTTCTGAAACATACAGCCAGGAAAACTCACAGCAACCCAGGAGTATATTTGTTTGCTATTCCAGCTCCAGTTCTTAAAACACATTCCTGAGGTGTATAAGTGATACATATCTGCTTCCTGGAGTCACTACTTTCACTCAATGCCAATTGACCGATCCAAGAGTTCCTGTAACAAAACGGCATGCCTGAAGCCTGAACACCATTTGCTCTTTTCTAATAAGCACAGAGGTTTCCTCCCCAGACTTGCTTGGAGATGGTGGTAAATTAGACACATTCATACATCAGAATTATAGCTCTTTATTCCACGTTTAATTGCATGGTTCCATTCTATGGGATCTTGGGATTTATAGTTTGGAAAGGCACTGGAAAACTATAAATGGCACCTTTTGAAGTTCCAGGATTTAGTAGGACAGAACTGTGGCGTTAAAGCAGAAACATAGTGATATAATTCTATAGTCGTTTGGGGGGGGGGGGTGTCTTTGAATTCTGGGAGTTGTAGTTTACCAACACAAAAAGGAAGAGAAGAACAGGCAGAGAGATCTTCAGCCTTCTCTGCCAAATGAGTTCCTAAGATACCATCAGAAATATGTGTTTTCTGATGGTCTTCGGCAACCCCTCTGAAACCCCCCTCGCAACCCCCCCCAGGGGTCCCAACCCTCAAGCTGAGAAACACTGATGTAGACGCTATACTATTTATGCAGGCCAAAATCCCATTGGATTTTTTAACCACCAATGAGGACGAATAGTCCAAAAAGCTGCTAAAAAGGTGAGATGGAACTGGCAGGGATGAATCACAACAAAAGTGTAACGCCATGTGATATGGCAAGTTATGATTGTGTAAGTCGACCTCAATACCCTAAATGCATCAGATCCCATTGAAGCTAAGCAGCAGGGTCAGCTGTAGTTAGAAACTCCAACAAATGCCAGGCACTGTAAATAAATAAATAAACAATCAACAAACAAATCTTTATTTATATAACGCTCTATCTCCTCTGGGGGACTCAGGGTGGTTTCCAAATTGTAAAAACACAAAACCATACAGAGTAAGCAAAAAAAACCCAACAAAATAAATAAATAAATAAATAATGATTAAAAAACAGAACAATACATATGCATAAAATAGTCAAACAACACATGTACAATAAAACCAATCGACCTTATTCTTCATGCCAGGATTAACTATTAGGGCCGAGTTTTCAGAAAGGACCTAGGCAGTTTGGGATGGCCGGACCAAAGGTAGTGAAAACTAAGCCATAGGGGGCCAAGGAAATGGGTGAAGTGCAGTAACCAGACTCAACAGTAGTAGCAATGGAACCTGTAGATGCTCATTTCTTGAGCCAATTGAGGAACTGACCAGGGTAATAGGTAGGGGTAAGAGGCCAGATTCTAACTAGTGGCCAGAGGGCTGGAGCTCATGCTAATCATTCTCGAAGGCCTGGTGAAACCACCAAGTCTTCAAGCTCTTATGAAAAGAGGAGAGGGATGGAGCCTGTTTTATTTCCCTGGGGAGGCGTTCCGGAGGCAGGGGGGTCACAACCGAGAAGGCCCTCTACCCAGGGGCGTCTCAACCCATTACGCAAAGTAAGCATTTGCAGTATAGTTGATTTTGCCCAGGGATGCTCTTGAGGCGCTCTTGGGGGAAAATAGACCTTGACATATGTGAGTTGTAGTTACTGGGATGTATAGTTCACCTAAAATCAAAGAGCATTCTGAACTCCACCAATGATGGAATTGAACCAAATATGGCACACAGAACTCCCATGATGAACAGAAAATATATATCAATGATTGGTTGGGGGGGGGCACCAAAATACTGTTTGCTTACCGTTGAAAATTACCTAGGGCCGCCTCTGCCTCTCCCTCATCCCCACCAACCGCACTGATGACGGTGGTGGGAGCAAGAGGAGTGCCTCCCTAGTGGGAGATCTTAGAGTTTGTGCTGGTTTGTAGCGGGAGATGTCATCACGAAGATAGATGGGGCCTGAACCGTTTAGGGCTTTATAGGCAGAGGCGGCCCTAGGTAATTTTCAACAGTAAGCAAACAGTATTTTGCCCCCCCCACCAACCAATCACTGATATATATTTTCTGTTCGTCGTGGGAGTTCTGTGTGCCATATTTGGTTCAATTCCATCATTGGTGGAGTTCAGAATGCTCTTTGATTGTAGGTGAACTATACATCCCAGTAACTACAACTCACATATGTCAAGGTCTATTTCCCCCCAAGTGCGCCTCAAGAGCGCCCCTGGGCAAAATCAACTATACTGCAAATGTTTACTTTGTGTAATGGGTTGAGCTGCCCCTGTTTATAGGTCATCACCTACACCTTGAATTTGGCTCAGCGACTTATTGGCAGCCAATAATATTGGCTGCCAATATTGCCTACAGGAGAATTGGTCTTTCCCAATACTGGAAAAGACCAACTCTCCTGTCAGCAATATTTCGGAGAAAGTTCCTCTGAGTATTCCTTGCCTTAGAAAACCCAACAAAATCCATGTGGTCGCCATAAGTTGATGTGCAACTTGAAGGCACAAACGTGTTGCAGAGAGAGTGCAAGCCTTGGCTGCACATGCACTTTTATATTTTTACGTGTGTTACTTTTAAACGCACTGATGTGATTGAAGGGTAATAGCTGCAAGATTTTCCCTTTTATAGTCTCTGCAGCAGAGAAGGAGAAGAGACCTCTGCAGTGAATGCAGCATTGCTTTCTGCCTCTACTCTCTTGATCCCTCTTTCCTTTCTCTCCCGCTGCCAACCTCCCCCCTTCCGCCAGCGCTGCAGGAAAGTAATGCAGGGAAGTGGTGATGCAGTACTAACTGGCAATTCACGCAGGATCGGAAAGCCTGGCAATTTGCCTTGTGCTTCTGTGCCCTCTTTTCCCTCTCCTGCTTGCTTAAGAACCTAGCAGAATTAGGGAGTCAGGCAAGAGAAGTGTCCAAAAGGAGGGCTAGATGTGGGAATATGGAGAGCCCCAGTGTACAGCTCTGCAGAAAAAAGGATGCCGTGTTTTGGCCTTCTCTTCTTGTCTTCAGTACATTCATAAAACTGCCACTGGCAAGCAAGTTTCATTCACTAAAGAGAGAGGAGAGGAAGATTCAGCCGCAGTGTCAGAGAAAGAGGCCAGAAAAGGTGAAGAGGAAAAAAAGCCTGCTTATTCCAGAAAGCAGCCTTGGGGATTGGTACCAAAAAAAGCATTCCTCTGTCCAGTTTCCTAATATCTCCGTTTCATATATTATTTAGACATACCTCCCAACACTTAGCAGATAAGAAGTAGGACACTTATGGCCAAGTAACAGCAGTGTATGGTTAAAATGGCAAAAGTTATTCTTGAGGAATAGCAAGCAAGAAAAGGCTGCAGTGGTCTGCTTTGGCCTGAGCCTACTGGGAAAGACCAACTCTCCTTTTCTCTATTTATTTATACTTGCTGTGCCCCGTCCCAGTCTGATTAAATGGAAAAGAAAAGAGAAAGAGCTGGTTTCTCATATAGGAAAATTTTTTTAATTTATTTTTTATTTATTATAGTGTGCACAAGAAACAAAACACAACAGAAAAACAAAAAATCAGAAAAAAAGAAGAAAGATATAAAAAATAGCAACCAGGTTTACAGAATGGTATACAGTCATTGCTCATTAAACATATGAAAAATCAATCCTATAGGTAATGTCTTAAGGCTGGTAAATGTAAATAATGTAAATAATAATAATACTGGCTTATATAATCTATGTGCCTTGTCAAGAGGAGGGCAACTAAAATGATCAAGAGAACAAGTCCTATGAGGAGTGGCTTAAAGAACTGGGCATGTTTAGCCTCCAGAAGAGAAGGCTGATAGGAGACATGATGAGGGCCATGTATGAAGATGTGAGGGGAAGTCATAGGGAGGGAGGAGCAGGCTTGTTTCTGCTGCCTTGGAGACTAGGACGTGGAACAATGGCTTCAAACTACAAGAAAGGAGATTCTACCTGAACATTAGGAAGAACTTCCTCACCATGAGAGGTGTTTAGCAGTGGAACTCTCTGCCCCAGAGTGTGGTGGAGGTTCCTTCTTTGGAGGCTTTTAAGCAGAGGCTGGATGGACATCTGTCGGGAGTGCTTTGAATACATTTTTCCTGCTTCTTGGCAGGAGGTAGGACTGGATGGTCTCTTCCAACTATATGATTCCATGATATAATACTAGTGCATATAATAATGATATTAGTAACCATGATACTGGT